GTGAATGCGGCGCTGGTAAATGACGCCGAGAGCGGCCGTCGTCGTCCACAGAAACCGCGGTGCTACCTACTTCACCATGAGGATCCTGGCCCAGGCCTTCACTATGACCTTCCTGGCCGAGTGGGGCGATCGCTCCCAACTGACCACCATAATTCTCGCCGCTAGCAAGGTAAGTTTGTTGATTATGTTAGAGCTTGATGACCAGTGTTAACATATGACCATTTCTCATTGCAGGACGTTTATGGCGTAATCGCTGGCGGTATTATTGGCCACTGCATCTGCACTGGTCTGGCTGTGATTGGTGGTCGTCTCGTGGCTTCCAAAATCTCTGTGCGCACTGTCACCATTGTAGGTGGCATTGTCTTCATCGGATTCGCCATTTACGCTGTCGCCATTCCTCCGGATGACATATAGGCAAAGCCATCGAACTCCACACGAGATCGCCCGTTGACGACCCCACATATATGAAGTTTAGTTTAAGATATCCACATTTTCCTTCGAGGAGCAACAGACAGGGCTAGGATTGTATTGATTCATTTAAAGATGAAATGCATTAATGTATTTAACGTAGCTTGCTTGCCAAACAACAGAACGAAACTAAGGAAAAAACAAAAGTGCCTTCAGTGCTTTCTGCCTCGGCCATGACATACAAATTTAGTTCACCCAATGAATTCTTGTGCTTTCCATTTGTTTAGTATTGATTTGATTTGAATGTTCAGTTTCGGTTTCGTGTTAAGTATTAAAGATTGTACATACGCTCCTCCGAGTTGGACCCTTTTTCCATATCCCACGTCCTTATTTGCATATTTCTGTACGTAGCAGTGTTTACTTAATGGAAACAACCAAAATGAAACTTTGTACATTTGATTATGATTATTTTGTATGAAAAACTTAGTAAATTGAGCAAAACTTAAGATTTTCAGAATGTTTTTAATGGGAGCTTCTCTTGGTGATAAAATCCACAGTTTCTTGTTATAGGCATAATTTATTATCGTTAAAGTATTTAAAAAGTTTACAGTTTCATTAACAGTCGAAAAATAATTTGGTTAGGTTAATTGCGAAGGTGCAGAACCTATCATTTACTGCTTTACTGTTTTGGGATCGCGATAGATGCCCGTGAAAAGGATAGATCTTGCGGTGCGATCATAGATGACGAACAGGAACGGATGATTGCACTCGAACTTGGCGGGTTCCACGGGCCTGGCCGAGCGGTATGTGAAGAGGACTGTGGCCGCCGCTGCTGTGCTGCCCTCCTCGTCCACCTTGATCTTGGCCACGTGCTTGGCGTCACCGATGGAGATCGTCTCGGAGGTCAGATCGTCAAAGGTGGCGACGGACTCGTCAAACATTTTGCTGAGTCCCATTTTGGCAAGGATCTAATGAAGAGATCAGAGCCGGTAAGACTTAAATTAAACTAAGGAATCGTGATATGTATACTTACGGGCTTCAATTCCAGGCGCTGCTCGAACTCGAACTTGGCAGGGACACTTCAATTTCGCGGGGCATGGCCTGCTTGAGCGACTCATCCAGGCTGTCGGCATTCAGCCGGGAAAGCACATCTTCCAGAGAATTGCTGTTGAATGGCGGTAGGATGAGCACCATGGAGATGTCGAGTTCTCATCCGGCAAGCTGTCCTCCTTCTCCTGCGACTCGAAGACAGTGCGGTAGGGAAGCTGCAGGACGTGGGCGCGGAGCTGCTCGTCGACGTTCAGAAGGAACGTGCCCTTCTGCTGCATCATGGACACCAGCGAGAAGTTTGAGGGGAGGTGTAGAAGGGCATTGGAGCTGTCTTCTCCGTCTTGAACTGGCTGAGCCACTGACCCTTCAGATAGGCGGCGTTGGCCAGGACCAACCGAGTGCGCGGAGTGATCTCATCGGCACTGAGCATGTTGCGTATTTGGTCATGGTTTCCTTGGCAATCCAGTCGTTAATTTCCTTGCGACTCCTCGGGCTGGTCTTGAAGTTCAGCTGCCTGATTTCCTCGGCCAGGCGCGTCTGTGCACAGTTGGTCAGATGGAGATCATCGGCGAAGAAAATGCGGTCCGCAGAAGAGAACTCCAGGGCATATTGCTCTGTCGCTCCTTGCGGTTCTTCTTCTCCAGGACATAGGCGCTGCGCACCACCTCCTTTGAGTCAGCCCAATCCAGATGCAGACCTTGGCCAGCTCCTTCTCCGTCTCTCCGGTGGATCCGAAATAGGCAGGAGCAGCGCGTGGTAGGTGCTGTACGGCGAGAAGAAGACGTTCTCGTTGGGGTGCTCTGCCGGATCACATCCAGCATGGACACAGCGAAGTTCTGTTGGCCCTTGTAGAGGTTTAGCCGCTGATCCAGAAGGTTGGCGTCGGGCGCAACATCACAGAGACCTGCCAAGGCGATGGCCGGCAGGACCACCACCATCACAGATAAACTAAGGATATGCATTTTGTAGAAACTTGAAGAAAGTACAAGCAATTTATTAATTATTGAAAACAAAATTATCATTTAAAGGTAGCTGAAAGGTATTAGACCCCTCAATTTGTGACCTTGTACTGCCGGCTTTTGAAATGTTTGCTTTGCAAGTGGTTCGTGACTGGAATCGAATCCTCTGCTATTTTTAACTTTTTTGTGAATCCCAATAAATTTATTAGACAAGAAAGAGCTACAAACGTGCACTTGAGCAAGACAAATTATTGAAGCTCCCATCCATCAGCGTCATGACAATAAAATGTCAGAAAATGCTTTCAGAAACAGTAGAGTGATTTCTGTAAAAAAACCCTCACTAATTATGAAGTAGTAAAATTAGAATTGCGAATTTTAGATAATTAGGCAGTTACTATTCCTTTTGTTTACCAAACGAATTATATAAGTTGTCTGGTTTTAAAAAGGCAGTAGAGCTAAAAAAACAATTAGGAGTTGACGAAGTTAACCTTAGAAATGGAAGATTAATCTGATTAATTTTTTTAACCATAGTAACCACAACGATTGAAATTTTGATTCAAAAGACCTTCTTGCTATCCATTCATAGATCTTAAGCAAACAATAAATTGACTTTTGCACGCGGGTTCGTTGAGTGTCGCTTCAGGCTGATTCACAAAAAGCTTTTCCAGTCCATCAAGTCGTTAGTTATCTTTAAACGACAATTGCAACATCTCTGCAGCCACGGCACATAAAAGTGAAAGTTTCCGCCGCTCTGCACTCAAAATTCGCAATCCGAACATAATGAACCCATATGCATCCATCGGAGCATGAAAGAGCGTCCACAGATTGGGAGCTTTATTTCGATCAGGCCATAGCTCCAGTTTTTCACCAGCTGAGCGATGACGAAGTCCATAGTTGCGTGACTGACTGCAGCCGCAGGCATTGAAAAGCGCTTTGTGTGAAAATAAAAAACCCAAAATTAACATTTTCCAATAACCGGTTGCGGATCCCACCGGCAACAGCACCAAGTATACCTATAGTATATGATTCATAAACGGTACACATTGTTGGCGTTTCGTATTTCAATGCGTATGCTCATTGTTGACCCTGTATTGGCGATTTTGTAATTGCCCTCTGTTGGTGTTACTTATTTTTATACCCCACAGACGTAACGCTTGTTTCTGCGCATGCGCGGCGTTTTTGGGAGAATCCGAAAATATTGAACAACCAGTTTTTACTGATAGGAAGCGGACATGTCAGCCTAATTTGAGCTGCATTGAACTTGGATTAATGGGCTTGCCAAAAAATTATTTTTAAATTGAGCAATTGTTTGCAGTTTTTTAAAACGGTGATCTGAAGTAATAAAGTACTTAAAGTTTTTAAGTCTACGCTACCTCAAAAATATTCGATGATTTCTTATAAAAGGTGTCGGAACAAGTACATTTCTTTTCATGAAGTATACCTTTCTTTTGACAGAATAAATGTTTTCTTATTTAAATTCCTCTTCAAAACCTTTTTTTAGAATTCATCAGGCCCAATAAAAACTTATTTTACAATAAGTTCAAAAAGTTACCTATTTAGTAAATACACAATGTGTTTATGTATAAATTTTACTGGGAAATACGTTTATATGATAAGACGGTTTTGTCTTCATTATTCATAAATAAATCATCTTTTCCAAATTAAATACTTCATTTCTATAAGACATGGCTGGGGACCTTATGACTTCTCGCTCAAAAGATTATTTTAATCAAGCTTCAAGAAACATTATAAATATTAGTCATTGTTATTGCAAAAAGTCCGCAAATAAAAATAGAGTAAATCACTGCCTCATTTAAATTGCGTGCGTCAAATATACAAATTCATATGTACACACATATGTATATATGTGCAATCGTTTACATGCTGATTAGTGTTACAGAAATAGGCGAAATATCAACCCGATTCGTTAAATGTTCGTCACGAAGCTCCGGGGAGTTGAACAAATTGGGACAAACACTTGACAAGCACTGGGAAATACCTTTGAGTGTGGGCTTCGAGTAGCACCGAAATCGCACTATAACTATAACTTGGCCGACTGCAGGTCTGTTCGCCTGCGGATAAAACTATGAACTGAGTAGATGCCGAACAGCAACAGGGGACTTATTAACTCCAAGCGCAGCTTTGATATCGATAGACGGTAATCGGTAGCCAACAGGTGATATTAACTCCTGAACGGTCACCCCGTGAAGTGGGTTGCTTCCACAGGTATTTTCTTTGTTTCCGAAAGTAGTGACTTCAAGGTGTCTCCGCAAATGAATCCGAATCGCTTAAAAACTCTTCGGATTTCATCAAGTTTTAGTCAGAAAACTTTTGTGATAAATGTCTAATTATTTTTTAAAATTCTTTTATAACAGTTATGCTTCGACAAGTAAATCTCAAACTATATTGAACTTGATTATAATAGTTCAACAATAAAGATTGTAGCATAAATAGCATTATGCATTTAAAGATACAATTTTTAGACAAAGTGAATTTTTTTGATTCATATAAACCTTAAAGACTTTTATTTCGGTCCCTTCCCTTTTTTGGCAATTTAAAATGTTACATTTAACAAATGCGGAATTTAGGTTTGAGAATGGCAAATTTTATTATAAAAACCTTTTGAAATATTGACTACACGGCCTTTAATTTTTTAAAAACTTTGTTAAATCAATAAAACATTACTTTTACTGCTGCATTTTTCTAGGGTCGCTATAGACGCCCGCGAATAAGACCGTATTTACTCGTTCATCATAGATGAGGAAAAAAGGGATGGTCGCAAATGAACTTGGTGGGATCTGGTTGCCTAGCCGATCGGCTGGAGAAGAGGATGGTGGCCGCCGCGGCGGTGCTTCCCATCTCGTCCACCTTGATTTTGGCCACGTGTTGGGCGTCATCGATAGAAATGTGCTCGGAGGTCAAGTCTTCAAAAGTGGCACGATTTCCGAACATTGTTCTTATGCCCATATTGCCGAGGATCTAAAGAAAATACAACAGATTAGTAAGACACAATTGGTTAAGTTAAATTACTAGATAAACAGAAAGACGGTTTCCTAATATATGTATTTCATTTGTAAACTTACCGAGTCAATCCCAGACGCTGCTCGAACTGGAACTTGGGCAGTGACACCTCCATCTCGCGCGCGTATGTCCGTTCAACCAACAGCTTTAGATTATCTGCATTCAGTCGGGATATTACATCATCCACACTGTCTCGGCTCGAGGTCGGCATGATAATCACCATGGAGACATCGGACTTGTCCTCAGGCGTGGATTGGCGCGTGTCCTTCGACTCGTATTGTGTACGGTACGGTAGCTTAAGAATTTGGGCTTGCAAATGATCATCGGTGTTCGACTTGAAGGTGCCGGTCTGTTGCATCATGGAAACCATTGTCTGCTCATAGTTGTTTATGTAGAAGGGTTCACAGAGGTCTTTTCCACCTTAAACTGACTGAGCCACTCGCCCTTCATGTAGGCGGCGTTTGCTAGGACCATGATGGTGCGAGGAGTGATCTCATCGGCACTAAGCATGTCACGAATTTGGTTATTCGTTTTATCGGCGATCCATTCGTTTATTTCATATAGTGCCTTGTCTGGTGGTATCTAAAGTCATCTTCTCTATTTCATCGAATAGAATGGTCTGAAGGTTTTCGGACACCGTCACGCTGTTGTCCACGAAAATTCGGTTAACAGACGAGAGCTCCAAGGGACTTTGACGGACTCGCGATTGGTGTTGTCTCTTGTTCAGTATGTAAGCGGAGCGCACCTGCTCCTTTTTGGATGCCCACTTTAGATTCAGTACATTGTACAGCTCCATCTCTCTGACTGGAGGATCCGAAATAGGCAAGCAGCAGGGCGTTGTAGGTGCTGAACGGTGAGAAGAAGAGGTTGCTGTTCGGATCGATATTCCGGATCTGTTGCATCATTCTTATGGAAAAGTCCCTTTCCCCTTTATATATTCTCGTAAACTCTTTTGCATAAGATGGTCTGGCGTGTCAAGGACGGCCAGGGCCAGTACAGGGAAAAGTCCCAGCAGGACCAAGCTTAGGATTTGCATTTCTTAGCTGTGGCTGGGAATTAAAATACAAATTAGTTAACTTGAAGTTAAGGTTTAAATTAAATTCAATTCAAATTGCAAATCTTTCTTGCAAACATTTTTTGTTTAGGTGCACCTCCAAATCTTATTTAATTTTGATCCAATAATGAACTCAACCTTGCCCTCATATACACAAACATTTTGAATTTATTAGTTCTATAAATCTGTCACCGTTCTTAAGCGCCAGGTTCATATGGAGATAACCGGTGGACTTTCCCAAGTCGAACTTAGATAACCCGAAGAAAAAAAAAGGTCTTCGGGAATTTCCCTATGAAATTTTGTCAACTTTTTTTGGATATCTAACTTATGACATTGTAGATCATTACTTCATATCTTAATAATATAAAAAATTAATTTTATCCATAATTGTTTTGGGGTTTTTTTCTTATTTTCAAATTTAAGATCAATTTTTATAATGAGTGCTTCAAGTATACTAAGTTTTATTATATTGACACGTGTCCTTATCAGTATCTAAATGAAAATTTATAAATAAATAAAAATCGTCAATTAAATCTCTTTGTTCAAGGCTTAGGATTTAATTATCTTTTTAATTATCTCGTTTCTTACAAAAATATATATGTTCATACTGATAAGAAATTGCACTATAACACGTATGTTTGAATATTCGTTGGAAGCTCTTATGTATTGATCTTGGTTCCATCGGTATACATGATAGGTGGATACTAAAGCACAGAAAAATATATACCCTTGTTGTTACCTTTATCAAATGCTGCACCAAAATGTTTTCAATTCAGGACTAAAGACGTCTGGTCATCGGCACTTAAATCTTAAACTCAATCATGTGGCAAATAAAAGTCCAAGCCAAGCTCTGTTTTTGAAACGATAGGCAGCAGAAAATGTTCATCACTGAAATAAGGCGGTCAATTTTTAAAACAACAGATTATGGAGGAAATAAGAAAAAGTTCAAAAAGGTTTATTTTTACTGATGAGTTCCAATTTTTTTAGCGGTTTTTTGCCACTAAAAAAACGCTTAATTAGTCTCTATTTCAAGATACGTAATACTTGCTGATGCGCAGTACTTGTTTTTCAATAGTTTAAGCCAGTGTATAATATTTTTAGAAATGGCATCCTTTAAAACATGGAATATATGTACTAGGTTATTCAAAGAATACTTATTTTTCCTTTTTCACTAGTTTCGTAATCTATTATTATTTATTTCGATTATATAACGTAAAACATCTCAGTGGTTTTGAACTAAAACGATTACCGATCACGTTCTAGTGATGCCACAGCCGTCGCGACAAAACCGTGACTGATGACCGATAACCGCCGCTTGTGCCACCACTAGTGCCACCCCTGACCAACACACCGCCACCGAGCACAGTCGCGAATTGACAACAAAATTACGCGATAAACAAAACGAATCCTCCGTGGTCCGAAATGAGTGCATTGGCCAGCACGTCGACGGCTGCGTCCCAGGACGCCTGCTACATATCGCTCCTCGGCCTGGCGGAGTACTTCCGCACCTCGCAGCCGCCCAACATCAAGAGATGCATCCAATGTCTTCAGGCGCTCTTCACATTTATGCCGCCTTCGAAGGTCGAGGCGCGGACACACTTGCAGATGGGCCAGATCCTCATGGCCTACACCAAGAACATCGATCTGGCGCGTCAGCACCTGGAGAAGGCGTGGAGCATATCCGAGCCGCTGCCCAACTTTGATGTTAAGTTCGACACCGCTTCCTTGCTGGCCCAACTGCATCTGCAGACGGACATGAACTCCCATCAGGCCAAGGCGATGCTGCGGCGCGCCGTGGAACTTTCGCAGCAAAACGTGTACTGGCACTGCAAGCTACTGCTCCAGCTGGCCCAAATCCACGCCAGCGACCGTGAATACTCGCTGGCTCCGAGCTGCTGGCCGTGGGCGCGGAAAGTGCCGACGAGGCGAGCGCCACGTACCTGAAAGTGCTGTTCCTGCTCTCCCGCGCCATGATCCTCATGATCGAGCGCAAGACCAACGATGTGCTCGCCCTGCTCAATTCCGCCGGCCAGATCATTGACAACAACATACCCAATCCGCATCAGAAGGAGTACCTCAAGGTGTTCTTCCTGTGCTACAGGTGTGCTACTACCTCGCATTGGGTCAGGTGAAAACGGTGAAGCCCAGCCTAAAGCAGCTGCAGATGTCCATACAGACGATAATGGCGCCAAATTGGCCATCGGACGAGGCGATTTTTGGCGCAAATCAGCTTGAGATGTTCGTGTGGCTGCCCAAGGAGCAGCTTTACGTGCTCGTGTACCTGGTGACCGTGTCGCACTCCATGATGGCAGGTTACATGGACAAGGCGCAGAAATACACGGAAAAGGCGCTTACCCAGATTGAGAAGCTGAAGCAGCAGGAGGATAAGCCTATCCTGTCCGTGTTTAAAGTGATCCTGCTGGAGCATATTGTGATGTGCCGCATGGTGATGGGCAACCGGGAACTGGCCATTCGAGAAATAGCCGCCGCGAGAGACGTTTGCCTGGCGGCTCCGAATCGCAGCCTGCTGCGACGCCACTCAGCCCAGCTGCACTGCCTCATCGGTCTGTACTCCATGTCCACTAGCTTCTTCGAGCACGCCGAGCGGCAGTTCGTCGTTTGCGTGAGTGAGACCACTGAGCGAGACCTGAAGCTTTTTGCCAACCTCAACCTGGCGATCATTTACCTACGTACCAAGCGGGAAGCGGACCTCAAACAGATCCTGGACGCCGTGTCAACGGAAAACACGCACACGTACAGCAGCCAAGCGCTGATGGGTGGCTTCTACTACGTCCAGGGCCTGCACGCCTTTCACAAAAACAGCTTCCACGAGGCCAAGTGAGTAGAGTTAGGAAATCCTCTCTAGATGTCATATATTAAACTTCTCATCATCTGCTTTCACAGACGCTTTCTGCGTGAAACCCTGAAGATGGCCAACGCCGAAGACCTCAATCGACTGACTAGTTGCTCGTTGGTTCTGCTCTCGCACGTCTTCCTCAGCATCGGTAACTCAAAGGAAAGCATGAACATGGTGACGCCGGCCATGCAACTGGCCAGCAAGATACCCGACATCCACGTCCAGCTGTGGGGATCGGCAATACTCAAGGACCTGCATCGAATGTCGAAGGATGTGCAACACGAAAAGGATGCTTATGCCAACCACGTGAAATACTCGGAGAACCTGATTGCGGACCAGCGGAAGTGCGTCCAAAGTGCGCACCACGAGCTTGTCAACTGGTTCCAGGGCGATCCGCCCGTGACGAGCGGTCCGCCTGCACCCGCCGTCCTGCTCCTGCCCGAGTCCTCCGTCGCACCCTCAGTCGCCGTCATCGCCTCCACATCGGCAGCCATGCAGCCGGCGGGGCAGTACGGTCAGTTCTACTAGCAATGACAAGATGATGCAATGTACCATTTAAGCTTTTATTTTTATCTACGACCTAGCGACTAAGTTAAGACTAAAGATGTTCTAAAGTTGTGAATTTTGTCATAAACTGTGTTCCCAAGGGGAAGATAAGAAGGAATTGTAAGTGGACGTGTTTGCGATGTTATTTTGGTTGAATTGTGATTCGCATACAGGGAAAATAGGTGTCCTTAGAGTATATCATTTTTGACTTTGGGAGTAAATTACTCATTTCTTTATCTAAGAGATAAGCAGAAAATCATTCCTATAATTACATATGTATGTCAGGTCGATCTTAAACGGGGGCTAATTGTCTTGATACTTTCTTTAAAAGTTTAAAAGACGCATTCCATTGTTTGCACGGTTCCCACATCTACTTAAAGCATAAGCGCAGTCTCGGTAATCTCATTCAAGTCTTCCTCGAGTGCTCCGCTTCCGTTCTCCTTGTTGCTAAGAAAGTTGAATTGTACCAGGCGTTTGTCGTGCTGCTCGTGGCCAGCCAAATGTGATCGCATGTCGGGCATCGACTTGAACTCCTCGTTGCACACCGGGCAAATGTAAATACGATCGCCTTGATGGGTACGCTGGTGCATTTGGCAGTCGCCCCGTTGCGTGAAGGTCTTCGAGCAGAAGGGACAAACATACGGCCGCTCACCTGTGTGCGTCCTTCGGTGGTTCTTGAGTACGTTCAGGGCTGTGAATCTCATGGGGCACAGATCGCAGGCGTAGGGCCGTTCGCCGGTGTGCTTCCGTTTGTGCTTGGCCAGCGAGCAGCTGGTGTGAACCTGGCCAGGCACACCTCGCACTCGAAGGGCTTGTCGCCGGTGTGGGTGCGGGCGTGCGAGGCGAGCTCCGCCTTAGTCACGAACGAGTGCGGACACAGCTCGCACTTAAGCTCTTCGTCTCCGAGTGACGCAGCTTGTGCTGGCGCAGATTCGCGTTCTGGGTGAAGCTCTTTCCGCAGATATTGCATAAAAAGGGTTTCTCACCGGTATGGATGCGCATGTGATCACGCAACGTTGATAGCATGGTGAATACTACAAATTAAGAGTCGCTGTAATAGGTTTCCCGCCAAATCTTTGTTCGTTTTTTCTTACCCTTCTGGCAGACGGTGCACTGATTGCGCAGATTCCTCTTGTGGCCCTGAACCATGTGCTTGCTCAGCTGCTCCTTGGAATCACACTGAATTCCGCACTCCTGGCAGTTGTGAGCACCATGACTGGCCTGGTGCTCTGCCAGATGATCCGGCGACACAAAGACCTTTTCGCACTCATTGCACTTGAAGTTGCGGTTGATGCATCCCTTTTGGCGTCTATGGATCATAAGGGATTTCTCAGCGCAAAACCCGCATTACACCGATCGCAGTGGTATTTTAGCTCAGGTGTTACGGCTGCCCTGATGCTGTGCCCACACTGCTTACTGTACCGTGGTTGCTCCTGCGACTGCGTTCAGGATTTGCGGTGTGTTCCCAGCCGTAGCTGTTTGGAGGGAGAAGCTGCTTCTGGCGAAGGCGTGGCCTGCACGTGCTGCTTAACCGCTGCCCGCCGGCGAGAGGCTCTTTTAGCCGGCTGGATCAGTTTCTCCCCCTCCTCGGCTTCCTCTTTGGGACTCTCAGGATTTCCTTCTTTTTCGCTGTGCTGCTGGCTCAAGAGCTTGGCAGCGCTCTTTCTGGTGGTCACCTGTGGAGCGGGTACTGTGATGACCTCCGTTTCGTTATCGACTCCTTCGAAAATGGCCAGGTTGCACTCCCTGATCTGCTGCTCCAGCTCGTTGTCATCGCCCTCGTATATGACATTGGTTTGGGTGAACACCACTTGCTTTTCGTCCTTCAAGCTGCCCTGAACCTGCAGGATGAGACTGGTAGTCTTTCAACGGGCTCATCCGGTAGCTCGTAGTCAAAGACCTCTCCCTCGCCGTCGTAGTCCAGGTCCACCGAAATCGTGGACTTGGCCAGGCTGGTGTTCTGTTCGGCGTCTGTGGTGGCCACCGCATCTGTTTGCACGGAGGCAGTGCATCTGCTGGGCTCCCAGCTGGTGGTCTGCACCGCCTGATCCGCCGTGGACACTGGACCACTGATGGACACCTTGTTATCGGGCTCCTCGGGCAGGGCATTCGGCAGCAATTGGCGCAGGGTGCGACTGGAGTTCTCGCACTTGATCTTAAGGTATAGCACCTTGAGATCTCACTCAAGCAGCCCAGGCACACCTTCTGGGGAAGATTATCGTGGCGGCGGGGCTTAAAAAGTAAAATCACCCTGATTAACATGGAAATCCGGATTAGTTCGGGTCCCTGCATACCTTGGTTTTTGTGAAATCCCGGATCATGTCCGCCAGGCAGCTTCCCGATCCACCGTCGTAAATGGACAGAAAGGGTTCCGTCGAGCTCAGGCAAGTCAAGCAATCTTGTCCACATCCATATCGCGACGCAATCTCAATCTCTCATAAAAACAACAAAATAATAATTAAAAATAAGAGTATGACTGCAGTCGCTTCACAAAATATACCTATTTACATGAAATGCACCTGGTCACACTTTATTGCTGGTGGCGGTTTAATTTTTATTTCAAAAATAATTTTAAAGAATTGCTTGGATGTTGAATATTGCATTTTAGCCAGTACGTGCAAAAAGTAATTGTTTCCAAAAACAAAATGAAAATACTTAACAAATTTAAAAAAAGTATGAGTTCTAGAAAGTAATTTAAATTTTTTTTTTTATAAAACTCAAACTAAAAAACATCTTTTTACTTTAACCGATGTTGTTATCAATTTGATTAGCTTAGTCAGAAAAGTATCGCTCATCTCTATACATTTGTGGTATTTTCTAAAGATAAGCTCTTTTAATCACAATCAGTAATAACACAAGTTAATTCTAGACTGAAATTATGTCGAATCAGAGGAGTTCGCATTTCGGCGCGCTCGAGCTGAAGATATAAAAGATGTGCTCTCTATGATTCAGGTTGAGACTATTAAAGTTCTCATTTGATTAATTTTAAAGAGGCTTTTGAATTTATTGCAGGAACTGGCCGACTTTGAGAAAATGAGCAACGGTCCACAGCTAACCGAGGATGGTAAGTAATATTATTTTGAAATAGGTATAAATCAACTTAAATAAATTGTTCCCATAAGATCTTAGAAGAGATGCAGGACTAACTGGTGGCCCGGAATATTGTGAAGTCTATGTGCTTATAGATAATGCTTTAAGGTGAGTTCCAAATATAATTGATTAAGGTAAAAGGAAGAAATATTCATACTGAAGAAATATTAATACCCACTTTCCTAGCCAAGCCATTGGCTACTCCATTTGCTACAAGGCCTACTCCACTTGGCAGGGTCGCTACTTTTTCGTGGAGGACATCTACGTGCGTCCAGAGCACAGAAAGCGCGGAGCCGGTAAGCGGATCTTTCTGGAGGTTTCCGCCCGTGCCGTAGAGTTGAAATGCCCGCGTCTTGAATTTAATGTGCTGGAGTGGAACCCCGCACGCAAGTTCTACGAAAGCCTTGGAGCCGTAGATTTGACGGCCAAAGAGGGCTGGCACTACTACCGCGTTGACGAGCAGCAGCTGGCCAAATTGGCCCAGGATCTTACTAGGTCTTAATTAAAATACATTTTAAACTTTTACTACTTTATGGTAGAAAGATAAATAATTAATAATACTTGACCATAGGCCATATATGCTACGAGTACATTGCAATTATGTTATATTCTATTTGGCTTCTCACTGATCCCCGGCCACACTGGCTATGACATGGATCTGCATGCTCTTCGTGGAGTTGTACACCTGTCCGGGCGGAAAGGGATGCACCTTGGAGTGGGCATCGGTCTTGCTCTTCCCTCCGGCAGTGTACTTGGACAGTCTGATGCTGGGCATAGGCAGGAATCCGGTGCTCAACGGCATTACATCCAGGGATATGGAATGACTGTCAACGTCTTTCATGGACACAACACCTGGAAGGTTTAGTACAAAACATTAGTCTACAAATCACAAAAGTAAGATCGTCAAAGTTAAGCAAATTTATTTTGTGGTGTTAAATGTTTCCAATTATAAGCAAGGGCATATCTAGTTAGTGCTACGTGTGTCCTACACCAGAGAACTTACCCATATCTTATAATGCAAAAGTGAATCGTGTGTAGAAAAATCAGAATTAAATCATAAGCAAATATAGGCAGAAAAGTAAAAAGACTCCAACTCACCCGCTGAGCGACCGCAGACGGCCCAAAGATTCTGGTCATTGAGTACCTCGTACATGAGATCCGTGTAGGGGTTCTCGTGGACCTTGGTGATCTTCAGGTTCATGTTGCACACCGTGCGCAGGCGACACAGCTCATTGGGTTCCAGCTGCGCTTGCAGCTTGAACAGAGTTGTGTAGTCCACCAGATCGAAGGCACATCCGTAGGTTCTCCACACAGCCGGTTGCGATAGCGGGGCATACTTGATTACAAAGTGCACTTTGACGACGGGCAGTTCGTCCTCTGTTTTAGGGGCTCCACTTGGATCTCATACAAAAAAGTAACAGTCAGCGATTTGTAGATTTCCTAAAAGACAAGCCATTAGAATATGTGTAATACAATCAGTTTTCCCTTACGATGGGCTGATGAGGCTCTGGATTAAGGTCCAACAGCTGCACGCCTGGAACATCGCACTTGACCTGAGCATGCTGCAAAAGAAGATGCGCATCCAGGCCCTTCATGATCACCTGTAGGAACTTTTGAGTGCCGCACGTGTGCAGCCGGCAAGTGGCCTCCATGGCTGGTTGAAAGTCTACAGGAATAGGTAGCTCAGTTCGCGACCATGGGCAACTAAGGGCAATGTGGTGCTCATGATGCTTGGACACCTTTCGGCCCGGCATATCCGTAAGCACCTCTAGTGGAATCTTGCGCTCTTCGAACGATTTGAATTGCACCAGCGGCACCTGTAGCAGGCTCTCAAAAGAAGTATCATCATTGTACGCTGCTTCATCCGTCGTGTTCCGCGCCTGTCGTATGCGTAGATTCTTGGAGCAACGCAGTGTGATCTTGGCATCGGGCGGAAAGATGAAACTGCCACCGGAAACATTTAAGTTAATAGGCTGCACTATACCAGCTATCAAGTCTTGAACTCCAATGAAGCACTCGCCGGCTTGGTGCTGATCTCAAAGCTGGGAGGCGTAAACGGCAGCTGTTCCGACAAGAACTCAAGACTCGACATGCTAACGCAGAGCTGTAGATAAAGATATATAAAGAAATTAATATATTGGCCTAAAGTGTATACAATGTGACCCACCTGTTTGAATTGCCAGCTGCCCACCGGTGGCCTTTGCCTTAAGTTCGACTAAGTTTACGCCCGGTTGAAGGGCAATGTTTTCTGCCTGCACAAAGTTGGTGAAGTCTGCCTGGACACTGGGCGAGAGCTTGCGCTTGGTGCTGCTGGTGCGACGCACAGGTTGCTTGCTCTTGGGCATGTCGCAAGCCACAGCGGCAGAATGAAGACGATTGTCCTGTTTGTAGACTAACTGAAGGGATACCTTCAAGCGGGAAGTGGACTCCTTGACCTTCACCGCAGAGGGCGAGACATTCAGGCTAACATTCTCCATGGCCAGCTCAAGAGGGGCCGCCTGTAACTCATAGCACAGCTTGATGTTTTCAGCCACGATCCCACGCGGATAAAGACTCTCCACTTTCATCTGCACCAGGATATAATCATCCTGTATAATGGGTTTTTGGTTAACAACCTCCATGTCCAGGACGCGAAAGTGATCTTCGAGCACACAAAAGTTGGCATTCTCTATGGACGGTTGAGCCGAAAGTGTAGTCTTCAGGGTTTTCAGCGACTTGAGAAACTCGTCGAAGTAGAAGGTTCGCACCAAAGTTTCCAATTCCGCACAACACGAAATGGAGCTACAGGTCTTGGTGTAGGCCAGTGAGTCGCCCATCTTGCGGTAGCAGTTGGCCAGTTCAAGCAGCGTCTGGGAGCTCAACGTATGCCAGTTCTCCGCCTTCAGTTCCCTGAGAAGATCGGTGAAGAAGCCAACAGCCTTGTGCGGTTCGTTTAGGGCGCAATAGAAGTTTCCCAGATCCAGGCCCACTAAACGGGCTGATCGCAATCGGGCGACATGCTTGTAAGTACTGATTGCGAGTTCCGCAAGCTCCAAATAAAGCTTCTGGAAGGCTTGATTGGATCCCAAGGCCTCCTTTAACTGTTCGGCAGCTGATTTTTTGGGCTTGCGATTAGGAGAACGTTCCCGGAGCTGAGGTGTAGCCTGGAGGAATTGATGCTGCTCGGGCGGTGCATCTCCTATTCCCGACGAAAGCTGCACCACTATGTGCAGCTGCTCTGAAGTGGGGTGCAGCCGGGCAGAAGACCACACAACTTGCCCAGCTCATAGAGCTTATCCTTGGCCAAGTTCCAGATGGGAGCGCAGTGCTGGAAACAGGTAACCTCGTTGGGTTCCATGGCTTGTTCGCACAACTGCAGAACCTCCAGGGCGCAGACGAATTCCCAGCACCAAAGAGCTCCCTCCTGACACTCCAGCTTAATAAATTCCACCTCGCGTAAGGTAGAGAAGAGAAAGTTAAGAAGCCTCTTTGCGATCTCCGGTATGTCGTTGCAAGTGAGCAGTAGATAGGCTTGTCGTTCGAACAGATAGTTGCGGAATTCCAGCAAGGAAACGCCCTCGTCGCGGATCTTGTTCCGCATTTCAAACCTGTCCGGTCTGGTTAGGCAAATGCCATGGAATGCGTCCAATGGCCGGCGAAAGTGCATCAGCCACTGCTGCTTCTCGTTGAGGCCAGTGTGGGTGATGAACTGTGAGAACATGGCGTCTAGCTCATCGTACTGTATCAGCGCCTCGGTCGGCAGTTCCAGCTTTTCGAAGATCAGTGCCAAGTCCTCCTGCATGAAGAAGTACTGGCGAAAGTCCCAGCCATCCACATTACGCTTCTCGCGCTTGCTCCTTATGAGCTCCTCGTACTTGACAATGTTGCGATTGTAGCTGGTGAGCATGAGGAAGCGGATGCGCTGCACCAGGCAGCGGAAGGACTCGGTGGACTTCTGTTCAAACTTGGCTGGGTTCAGGACTGAGATGCAGCGATCGTCGTTCTTGCTGCCAAAGTCCAAGCGTATCTTGTCCAGGACAGTGGTGCGTGGCATAAAGTTCTTTGTCTTTCGCATGTCCAGTGTCTCCACCAACAGAATCATCCAGTCTGAGATGCCATAGCTGGTGAGTATCTTTAGCCAGGTGTCGATCTCTTCCCTGATGGTGCCCTTGTAGGTGTCCACGTCCTGGAAGATAGTTTATTAAAGGTGATTAAGGGATTCCTTGACCATTTGCCAACCCACATTGCACTCGGTGACGAAGATGTGCAGGATTGGGTGCTCCAAGATGCTCCAGTCACCCTGCTTGTACTTCTCCAAGGCCGCCACATTGAACTGCTGGGTCTGGGCCTCCAGGCGAACATGTTTCGTGGGGCGTTGGAAAGTGCGTCGCCACTCGCAAGTGTCCAGGGGAATGGCATTCAGGATCTGGGACTCCAGCGAGCGGAACAGCGGGCACGAGCCGGAATCTGTGCGTAAAATCATTAAGATTAAATGCTTATCAAAATTGATTACAACTCACAAGTAATTATGGGTTTTATCTGCATTGCTTTTGTATTTTTTGTTTATTTCATTGGACAAACGAAAGCCACCCAACAATCTCGGCCAAAACAGCTGATTAAAAGCAAGGGCGTGAGAATCGATTGTCTTTGGATTTTGGTTATCAGTTATCGGGGGAGAGGGATTTTAAATTTTAAACCATTTAAAATGTTGTTAATGAAGCCTAGGTGTTTTAAAAAATAATTAAAATTGACAAAACAATTAAATATTCCTGGTTTGAGCAATTTCTAAGCATTCAACAGGTGTTTCATTAGCAGCCCTGACCAATGGCGTAGCCAATAAAATTTTAAGGGGATTTAAAATACTCTGATAAGTTAAATTAAACAGAATGGCCTTTCCTATTTATTGTAAATTAAGTTTAAGTTATTATTTCTATAATCAATATTTGAAGGGGTTATCAACCTCGACCCCTTTGCCACACCCCTGTCTTTTTGGCTTGGCTAAAAATCGATACCACCCACCGTCGCCTATCGAACAGCTGATAGTGAAATCAGGTATGGCAGTCCAATTGGAAACAATGCAGAAATAATATTTGTGCGTAACACGCCAGCAAAAGACACTCGCGAGACACTTTCACTGAATGCTCGACCAGGACACGGCTGAGGCTAGCTAGCCCCACCATGGACATGGCCAGGAGCATCTTTGGCCGCGACCACGAGGGTTACGTGGGCCGTGAAGAGCATACGGTGGGTGCAAATTGACCAGAAAAGATTGCTTATCATGGTAATTAATATTTATCGTTCCACCTTTGCACTGCCAACAGCGCAAACTACAGAACCTCGGGTCGGAAGACGATCTGGGCGAGCTGCCGCCCATGATGGAGGAACTGAGTGTGGCCGATGGCCTGCGTCCGAATCCCGGGGGCCATTCTCAGCTCTAACAGCCTCAATGTGGCCACAGGAAATTCTGGCCAAGTTGGGCGGCGGTGCTGAGCTGGCCTCCGGCCCAAATGACCAACCAGAGTACCGCTTCGATGAGTTCGGATTCCGGGTGGAGGAGGAGGACGGACCGGAGCAGAGCTCCAACAAATTGCTCAGCATACCCTTTGTGGAGGATGCCCAGCAGCGGCTGCAGTGGATCGCCCACCTGGAGTTCTCGCACAACAAGGAGGCCACGGAGCTTAGCTGGGAGCATGTGGATGTGATGCTACCCGCACCGAAAAGCTGCGCAACATGGTCCGCCAGGGTATTCCCCACACCCTGCGTGCCCAGATGTGGATGCGCCTGTCTGGAGCTCTGGCCAAAAGCAGAAGAGCGAGACAGCTACCATGATATAGTCAAGGGTAGGAGCTTTACGAATATAAATATTTAAATAATATAATAAATCCCTTTTCTTATATTAGCCTCTAGCAATGATCAGCTGATGACTTCGAAGCAGATTGAGAAGGATCTTCTGCGCATCCTGCCAACCAATGCCTGTTTCAGCAATCCGAACGGAACGGGCATTCCACGCCTTCGCCGAATCCTAAGGGGCATCGCGTGGCTTTTCCCAGACATCGGTTATTGCCAGGGAACCGGAGTGATCGTAGCTTGCCTGCTGCTCTTCATGGAGGAGGAGAACGCCTTCTGGATGATGGCCACCATTGTGGAGATCTGCTGCCAGCTTCCTACTACAGCTCCACTCTGCTCGGCATCCAAGCTGATCAGCGCGTGATGCAAACGCTCATAGCCAATTACCTGAGCAGCGTGGACGAGTCCTTGCGAAAGCATGACATCGAACTGTCGCTGATCACGCTGCATTGGTTCCTCACCCTGTTCGCCAACGTAGTGCATATGAAGATCCTAGTGCGTATCTGGGATTGGTTCTTCTACGAGGGCTCCATCGTTCTGTTTCAGTTGACGCTGGGCATGCTCAAGGTGAAAGAGCAGGATCTGAAGCACCTGGAGAACTCCGCACAGATTTTCAATTCGCTCTCCGACATTCCCGGCGAAGTCACCGACGTCGAAGTGCTTTCCGCCAGGCGCTGGAAGTGGGCGGTCCCTTAGCCAGACGGTAATCGACACCCATCGTCGTCGTCACCTGGCTTATCTTATGGCGGATCAGGGCCACCAGATAGGAAACCCAGAGGCAGCTCCGAATCTTCCCAAGCAGCAGCTAGCCCGGCGACAGGTGCGCAAAAGCAAATCTATCCTGGAGGCCTTCCTCTTCCGCGGCGACGCTAGCGAAGGGGATCAGTTGAAGAACAAGAACATACGGCAGACCGAGATACTTGTGGACCTAAGAGAGGCTATTCTTAAAGTGGGTCGCCACTTCATCACCATTGAGCCCAAGCTGTCCGGCCATATCCTGCTGACTGCCAACTACAGCACCGAGTCGCATGCCAAGGACCACGAGAACTTCATCAATGTGGCAAGAACGCGGAAGCGAAGGGCCAAAGCCTTGCACGACTTTGAGCGGCACGACGACGATGAGTTGGGCTTTCGGCGGAACGACATCATCACGATCATCAGCCAAAAGGACGAGCACTGCTGGGTGGGCGAACTTAACGGACTGCGTGGTTGGTTTCCGGCCAAGTTCGTTGAACTGCTCGACGAGCGGAGCAAGCTGTACACTTCGGCGGGAGATGATGCCATTTCGGAGACAGTGACGGACCTAGTGCGGGGCACTTTGGCGCCGCCATCAAGGCCTTCTTGGAGCATGGCATGAAGCGGCCACTTTCCTGGGCGGACCTATCCATCCCTGGCTGTACATCGAGGAAGCTGCCACCCGGGAGGTCGAGAAGGACTTCGAGTCGGTGTACAGCCGTCTAGTGCTGTGCAAGACGTATCGACTGGATGAGGATGGCAAGGTGCTGACGCCCGAGGAGCTGCTCTACCGCTGCGTCCAGGCCATCAATCAGACGCACGACGATGCCCACGCCCAGATGGACGTTAAGCTGCGCTCGCTCATTTGCCTGGGCCTCAACGAACAGGTTCTGCACCTCTGGCTGGAGGTGTGTGCGCCTGCCAGGAGGTCGTACAGAAGTGGTACCACTCGTGGAGCTTCATCGATTCACCCGGCTGGGTGCAGATCAAGTGCGAGCTTCGGATTCTCTCGCAGTTTGCCTTCAACCTGAACCCCGACTGGGAACTGCCGCCAAAGCGCGGCAAGGAGTCGCAGCCGCTCAAGGACGGAGTGCGGGACATGTTGGTCAAGCACCATCTCTTCTCGTGGGATTTGTGAAGATCGCTCCCGCCTTGTACAGAGTTCCAGAATTGTTGGCAATCAACCACGTATCCAAATCTCATTGCTCCCTGTCGTTTCTTTCATTTCCAAGTGCAATCGCAATCGTTTGAATCGTAGTAGCTAGCATCCGCTTTTTTTAGTACTTCTTTGTTGTCGTACGCCTAACTTAAGTGCTTTATCATAACGATCTTTAGCTGTAACTATTACTTTAAATCGCCCTATGTATAGCTCGAGCCGTTTGTTTACTTAGTGTCCATCCATTATTATAAAACCTAGACCACACCAATCTACTAAATTACAAATGTAACGTACCTTTAAATTGAAATCAAATCTTATAAAGTACATACATATTTATTACTATATACACATAGATGTTTAACTGTCTAAATGCATTTCATTAAAGTTTAATATATATATTAAATTGTACACAAACCGGAAGTTTTTAGTTGCACACCAATCCCAAGTAGTCGTCCATCAAGGTGCCAATGGCGAACTAAAAGAAAAGTAACTTTGAGGCGCGAAAAACTTGGTTTGAGGATGAAACTTACGATGCCTGTGGCGTCCACTCGGGTTCCCACAATCTTAAGCCGTATTTTATCCTCTCCGGAGATGACCACGTCCTCATCTTTGCTCTTGTAACAGGGGGATTACCATTTGGGCAGAACTGCATGTCGGCGGGAATAGACTAAACGAGTTTACACGTTAGTATTGCATGATTCCGTGTCGATAATAATGTTATTTCACCCACATGATGCGAAATGAAGCAGGAAAGCGGACCAATTTCCGCAAACATGCCCACTTTGTTGATCTGCTTGACTACCGCATCCAGCACTTCGCCCTTAAAGGGCCGGAAGACTATGGCTTTGTACTTCACGGATAAACCACGAATCCCTGGCCAGGCTGGATGACTCCGGATCCGATCTGGTCTATCGTCGTGACCGCTATCACGAATCCGTACTTTCCCGTGCAGGTGCCCTCCACCTCGGAGTAGAGCTTCTGCTTCACGGTCTCTAGCAGCTGCGGGCCAAAGTAGCGTGGATGCAGCAGGATCTCGTGCTCCAGCGATATCTACGGTGGAGGAGGGTTATAGAACTCTACGTGGACTCCAAAATAGATGTACTCACGTGGTAAAACATGGCTAACAGGATTATTTTGCTAAAAACTAAAATAAACAGCCGGAAAAATAAAAGACGCCGCCTGATAGTGTGACCAAACTTGGCGATGCAAAATAAACCAAATTCGGTGAAATTTACCGCCAATAATGGCAAGGGCGGGAATTTTTAAAATACAAATTGGAAAGTAGCAGGCATAAATAATCAAATTTAAGGAAAGGTGTACAAGCTAAAATTTTTAAAGGAAGTAATAGTATTTATTAATACCAATTAACAATTATCAACAGCCTTTTTGTCACTAAGCGCCTTGCCTTTTTTATTGATAATTTACATACATCTAAATCTTACAAAACAACACAATTTAATCATCTTTAAAGCCCAGTGAAAAGTCTTGGGCCTCACCCTTTCCGGAAGATCCGTACGTAAGCGGACTTGTAGCCAAACTTCCAAATGGCACGTAGGGCAAGTAATAGGTCATCACGTCCACCAGCCAGACGCGGAAATTGAAGTACCACGCACCAGGGCGTACCTGTGCAGGTAGGTTACAATAAACAGGCCGTAGCTGACGATAAATCGATCCCACCATCCCATGTCGTAGTAGTACATCTTCTGTCGGGATCCTGCTGCACTCCGTTCTCATGATCAAAGCTGAAGTACTCGTAGCCTTTGACGCAGGCCAGTCGCTTGGCGAAGAATATGTTGGCGTCCACGGAGAACATTGTGTTCATATGCCACAGACCGTTGATCAGGGCCTCCGTCATGTGGTAAAAATCGTCGCCGGTGTTTGCCAACGCCGGTTCGTAAACCTTTCGCATCACAATGTCCAAGCGAAGCTTCGACTCGGCCCAGTTTTTGCCGCAGATGTTGTACTCCTCCTTGATGCCCAGCAAATGGCCCAGAACACGCCACATGTGCGTGGTGGCCTCTAGGAAGTCTTGGTCATTCAACTTTATGCGATGGGCCCCCATCGTTATGAAGCCAATGAATCCGAACTGGGTCAGGGCCAAGTCCTTTTGGGTGATCTGGCCAGCTCCTCTGCGGGCACAGGCGTGACTGGAGCGACTGTGTGCTTTTCTCACGGCCGCAATGCTGGTCCAGAACCGGCTTCCACGGTCAGCAATATTAAAGTTATACCAGGCTTGCGTGTGGAAAATAGTGCGCACATAGCGACGGTAGGCGGTGAACGCTGTGGAGGATTGGCGAGTACACGAGAGCACCCGGAGAATCGAGGGAACAGCCAGCACCGCAACTAGACCTGCCAGCATTCCAGCGTTCATCACAAAGCGATACTTGCTGAAGTAAGTCTGACCACTGCGGAAAAAGGGGAAGCAAACAAAATAAAAATCAGATAATGAATAAGATACATAAATTGAAATTCAAATTACTTTTCCATGTGAAATATACGTATTATTTATATCTTCCCATTTTAAACTTACATCTAAACATTTTAGGAAGTTTTTATAATCACTCTAAAAAATATATTATATTAAAGCGTCATTTTTGTTATTTACTTTTTAATTACTTTAAAAACAAATTGGAAAATCTATGATGGATCAGAAATTCCCGGAACGGGTTTACAATATGAAGTTCATAGCTGCTAGTGCTCAAACAGCTTATAGAATTTAATCCAAAGTTAGCTTTATAAACATAGTTGGAGTTGAGTAAACTAACTTATATAAGGTTGCAATGATATACTATGGATGAAAAATGATGAATCATTATCAATCATTATAATACAATTTCCATAATACACAATTGTAAATGCCATAATCGTACGATTTAAAGTCTAAGCCATTGAACAAAAAGTCACGCAACTTACCGCTTGAATAGCTGCTCATCGTACCATGAAGGTAGTTCCAGCTCCGCCCGCGTCGCCCTCCTGGCTTCCGTCCTTGAGCAGGTGCTCCAGATAGACCTCTGGGTCCTCCAGATCCAGGAGCTGTTCCTTGGACTCGCCCTCCGTTGCATTATGCCCATCTTTGGACTGCTCTGCTGATTGCATTTTCCCACTGTCCCCTGGAAAGTGCGATCGAAGAAAACGAGCTTGAGGGCCAAATTCAATTCACGCACAAATGAAAGAAGAAAGAAGGGACAAACAAAACCGTTGGCGTGCCAAGAGAGAAAGTTTTTCTTTGAGCCCGCTTAGCCTAGCCAATTGAAACCGCATATCCACTGTGCACTTACACGTCTCACACTCGGTCATTTGGACAAGCTGCTACTGTTCGATCCAGCAACCTGCATGTCGTCCCAATTATTGCTTGTTAAACTAGTTAGCGAATACACCAGTTGAGCTCGTTATGTGCAAAAACATTTTACACCCACAATAGGGAGAATTGCGATGGCTATGATTCACGGCTTCCCCGCGTCGCTGCGGCCAGGGAACTGAACTGCAACTGCCGCGGAAGCATCAACAAATAGTAATCGTAAGCCGGTCATTGGCGCGGAAACTGGTTTCGAACCATTAAAGCTGATAACGAATATAGTAAACTTTTGTTTATGCAATTTAGTATGACAGCAGCTGCAACCGTTAAAATATACCATTTCACAAAAAAAAAAACGTACCAAAAGTAAGCGCGCTTTTTAAACTTTCTATATTCATGAAATAAAATAAAAAATATATATTTATGGACGAGGCAGATATGGGCCAGTTATAATCTCTTTGCCAGGTACCATTCAAAGTCTTAACTGATTTTCTTTCTTAAAAACCCACTTGTAAAAATTTAAAATACCAAAATACCGTGCAGTCACAGTCTCTGTTCCCACCGTGACTTTGCTATCGTTATCGAATATGGCAGCCCTGCCGGCAATCGTTTGCATTGCATCTCTATCAGCGACGACGCGCTTGCAAAAAAAAAAAGGAAATTAGCCATTTCCCATTTTGCGCTGACGTTACGCCGTTAAAAGTGTGTGTAACCGGCCAGGAATTGTTCAAATTCATATCTTTTGACTTCTAGTCAATTGTCGGCTGCGAAAGCTTGTAATCCGCAGCGGGTTACATTAGTTTCCGTGCACACGTTTTGCCGCTTCGGCTTTTGTTTTGGCGCCCGAATTTTTCGGCTGCCGACTTTTGACGCAGACTGAGGAATTGCGTGCCCAGAAGCCTGGAAATGGTGGATCGCAGCGACAATGGTAAGTCCCAACTAGGAGTTAATCAAGGCAGTGTGTAACCGGCGTCCTTTAGCAGCGGAATCCTTCGACGACGCCGTCGAGGAGCGCGTGATCAACGAGGAGTACAAGATCTGGAAGAAGAACACGCCGTTCCTGTACGACCTGGTCATGACGCACGCCCTCGAGTGGCCCTCGCTGACCGCCCAGTGGCTGCCGGACGTGACCAAGCAGGACGGCAAGGACTACTCGGTGCACCGCCTCATCCTGGGCACACACACATCCGACGAGCAGAACCACCTCCATCGCCAGCGTCCAGCTGCCCAGCGAAGATGCCCAGTTCGATGGATCGCATTATGACAACGAAAAGGGCGAGTTCGGCGGCTTCGGTTCAGTGTGTGGCAAGATCGAGATCGAGATCAAGATCAACCACGAGGGCGAGGTCAACCGGGCGCGCTACATGCCCCAGAATGCCTGTGTGATCGCCACCAAGACGCCGTCGAGCGATGTCCTGGTGTTTGACTACACGAAGCACCCTAGCAAGCCGGAGCCTTCCGGCGAGTGCCAACCCGATCTGCGGCTACGAGGTCACCAGAAGGAGGGCTACGGACTCTCGTGGAATCCCAACCTCAATGGTGAGTGCGTAGCTGTACTAAATTTATCACTATTGAACACAATTATAAACACAGAAAGAAACAATTGTTTGATAAAATATACTTTTTCAGCTTTTACATTTTTAAACATGTATGATATTAAAAGATTCATAGAATCAAGGATACATAACAATTACCTAGTAATTATTTATAAAATTAAATCTAGCACTCTCAAATGAACAAAGTCATTGTTTATATTGCTAGAATTCCTTTGGAAATGGATTAATTCTGCTTTATAAGTAGTCTTCCTACAATTTCAACTGATAAATACTAATCCTAACTTGTTTTTCCTTACAGGCTACTTGTTGTCGGCCTCCGATGATCACACAATCTGCTTGTGGGACATCAATGCTACGCCCAAGGAGCACCGCGTGATTGATGCCAAGAACATCTTCACCGGACACACCGCTGTCGTAGAGGACGTGGCCTGGCATCTGCTCCACGAGTCTCTGTTCGGATCGGTGGCTGACGACCAAAAGCTGATGATCTGGGATACGCGCAACAACAACACCTCAAAGCCCTCGCACACGTGGACGCCCACACGGCCGAGGTCAACTGCTTGAGCTTCAATCCCTACTCGGAGTTCATCCTGGCCACCGGCTCTGCGACAAGACCGTGGCTCTGTGGGATCTGCGTAATCTGAAGCTGAAATTACATTCCTTCGAGTCGCACAAGGACGAGATCTTCCAGGTGCAGTGGTCCCCGCATAACGAGACCATTCTCGCCTCCTCCGGCACTGACCGGCGCCTGCACGTCTGGGATCTGTCCAAGATCGGCGAGGAGCAGAGCTCGGAGGATGCTGAGGATGGACCGCCCGAGCTGCTATTCATTCACGGCGGCCACACGGCCAAGATCAGTGATTTCTCCTGGAACCCCAACGAGCCGTGGATCATCTGCTCCGTGTCCGAGGACAACATCATGCAAGTGTGGCAGATGGCTGAGAATGTCTACAACGATGAGGAGCCAGAGATTCCCGCTTCCGAACTGGAAACCAACACCGCTTAAAGCATCTGTTCCGCGTCCCTTTAAACACCCCAAACTGCAACTGAAAACCGATTATGTTTTGGCCGTGCCCGATGTCCAGCTATCCAACCTAAATGGCAGTGGGTACTCATTTTAATTTATATATATTTACATATTTTTAAAACCTAATTAAGCTCTCATTTGTCAGCAGAACGTACGATCTACGAATCTTTAATTAAAAACGATTTGAAAACCTAGACTTTAGTTATCTTGTTTGGAAAAGGGAAGCCGTTTAGAATCTCAAAGGTGTCCATCGTAATTTATTTAATTATATTCGATTAAACTACCATGTATTTGTGTTTTTTGCCAAATACTTCTATATCCACACTGAGTGCCCTGACATCCTCTTTATGCCTTCTCGACGTGATTTTCCCACTGATGACGTCTCCGACCTTGACAGTTTGTGGCTGGTCAATAAAGAAGACCGTCTGCTTCCAATGGGTGGGCGTCGCAGTTGGTGATGTGCTGAATGTGACGGTGGAGGGCAGTTCAAAAAGCGTGTCAAAATAGCCCACAAAGGCAGACAAGCGACCCGCCTTCGTGACCTTCAAGCTGAACTGATGACTGAAGTTGGGATAGTTTAGATCGACGGTCATTATGTCAAAGTTCGCTATCTGTTCGGGATCCGTTAGCATAAACTCTGCGTCTACCACCTCCATGAGTGGCTCCTCAATAGAACGTTTTCGTAGACAGCTCATATCTACTCCGTAAACGTCAGACCAGAACTCCACTTGCTCGGCGTAGAGCGTGTCGTTTCCATAGCCCAAAAGGCTCAGGGTGCAGCGGTTGGGCAGAATTATGCCATTGGGGTTAAGGTGATGCTCGCGGGCATAGATTATGCTGTCCAGCATGGACTCGTACAGCAGAAAATAGCCCATCCATTCGGAAATTATGATGTCGTATTTGGCCTCTGGCAGATCAGTGTCCTCCAATCGTCCCTTAATCAGTTGAACATTGTCAACCTTGTTTTTCCTAATGTTAAGAACATGATTGAAACTCTAATCACATAAAGATGGGCATGGATATTTACCTGATGATGTCCATGGCCGTGTAAACAATTTCAGAGTTGTCTATACCGACGACGCGGGCTGCACCGGCCTGGGAGGCGAAGATGGAGAGGATTCCCGTGCCGCAGCCCACATCTAGTACTGTCTTGCCCCGAACAGTTGCCTCATTTTGGAGCAGGGACGCGCGATAGGTGCTGGTCCGCACCTTGTCGCTCAGCATTTCGTGGTGGATGCCAAAGTGGGAGTAACTTTTGAAGTACTCATTGTCCAGGCTGGCATTGTTCCGCGGTACGGGATTGCTGGAACTCTTGGGTTCGCCGTCGCCGTGCACCTTCTGCAGCAGTTGCTTGTAGTCGTTGCGCATGCGCTCCATGTCCTCGTTGGCCTGTTGCAGCAATTGGATTGCTCTGCAATCCGCTGCTGCAGCTCGGGCTCCGTGGCCTGGGCAGGAGTGGCGTCTGTCTTGAGGACTTCATAGTCGTAGCACAGCCAGGGCTCATACTCGCCGGGCTTGAGGTACTTCTCGTCCTGCCACATCGCCTGTTCCGCGGAGATCAACTGCTCGGCAGTGATCTTGTTGGCTCTTATGTAGTTTATTAGTTTGATGAAGGAATACTGGTCCATTTGGAATTTCCGCTGAAGCTGCGAGAGATTGACCTTGTGCCGAGCGTCCAGGTGATCAATGGCAGTCGATATACTAGGAGATGTTTCGGTGCAAAACAGACAAGTAGTCAGCTCATCGCCCTCATCCATTGGCTCGTCCTCGTCATCATCTATATCATCGTACTCATCCTCGTCGGAGCTGGAGTTCGCAGGGTCCTCAGTTGCCTCCTTCTGGGGCTCCTCCTCCTTGGAGTTTTCTGCAATGTGATAGACAAATAAGTAATCATCTCCTGCAGTTCACAGAATTCTCGGAATCTCACCTTTGACCTCGGTGTCTTTCATGCTCACTTTGCTTACAACTCTTTAGTCCTGCTTATGGAGTCACAAAATAAAATACGTAGGCAATGGCCACAAATTAAAAGCGTTAACTAAATTATCACACTTTTTGAGCGGCTCCAGCACGTGCGGAATTTAAAGAGGAAAAATGTGCTAACGCGAATGGTATATTTGATAAGTATTTTTACAGGGTATGGTAGGGGATATATTTTGAAACTGGAAACACGAATCAAATTGTTAAAATATATTTTAAAAGTTTTGTGTTATTTATTTACCTTAGTATTGGGTAATAATGTAGTAGTAGTAGTAATGGCATTAACGAATGAATCAAATATTATTCATTCAAAAATTGCTATTATTACCAGGTATGTAAGGTGCATCACAAGTACCTCAAAGTATATGGGACTTTCAGTATTTTTAAAAAGGCGTTAGGGTTATTACAGCGGTGAGCGCACTTGCATAATTCTAGTTGTAAATAAAAATATGTTGCAGGTACTTAAGCCAATTTATTAAAGAAAACAGGAATAAAACATGTAAACTTGTATTCCCAGGCGCTGAAGACTCTCCGCTGGGTTCAGCCGGTGCGGGCGCTGTCCGCAGCGACCACAAGTTCCGGCACACCGGCCAATCTTTCACCTGCGACCCCAGCTCCAGAGCCGGATAAACTCTACAGCAAACTGGAGATTGAGCTGCGAGGGATTGATCCGGCGGTCCTCAAGAGCTACACCTGGTTTGCCACCACGGCCGCCGAGCACTTGGGCATTGAGAAGGGCAAGTGGTAAGTGAAAGGCTCTTCTCTATCCGACTTCTAGAAGGGATTCTTAATAATCATAATCCCAATCCTTCTTTAGTTGGTCACCCCGCAAGGCGCACCACGAGCGGATGACACTCCTGAAGTCGGTACACATCTACAAGAAGCATCGCGTGCAGTACGAGGTGCGTACCCACTTCCGCTACATGAACTTCCACAAGCTGACGGGCTCCACGCTGGACACCTTCCTGGAGTACATTGAACGAAACCTGCCCGAGGGTGTGGCGCTGCAGGCTTCCAGGACGGAGCTGCAGCAGATCCCGGAGCATCTGCGCCAGCCGCCGGAGCAGGTGTAACCAATACCAAAACCTGAAGTTAACCCGTAGTTATTAATAGTTTCAGCGGGAGCTTGAGATTAGGCTGATAAACGTGTGGAGGCACCGCCAAACGGCACATTAACCCTCCACATTAATCGGCCGAAATCGGGGCCCCGTCCGCGATTAGTGAAGATAAGTGTTTGGCAAAATATTGAAATAAACTTCGTATCTTGACACACACAATGGGATCCACTTGAAGAGTGCGCAAACAAAATCGGGGTGGGCGCGCGCTAGCTCCCCAGTAACTACTTTAAGCCGAACGGAAGCGAATCGACAATCAGCAGAATGCAGCGGGCGCAATACACTTCTCAGGTCCTGCTGGCCACGGCCATCCTTTACGCTTGCTTGGCGCCCGCGGCCTGCGTTTACGAATCTACGATCCTGCAGTTCCTCAATGAGTTCCGCTTGCGCATGTGCCACCCCATCCCAAATCTGGGCCTGCCCGCCTTGGATCCACTGCAGCTGGGTCCTGCCGAGACGGAGGTTAACAATAAATACCTAGTGGAGTAAGCATGGGCTAGCATCTGTTCACGGAGAGGTACTTAATCCTTCCGCTTTCAGCTTCACTGGTTCCATTGACAACTTCCACTTGCACGGTTTGTCCGATTTCGATGTTCCTGTGCTCAGTTTGAACGTGGTGCCGGCTTAAAGAACACCATTAACGTCACCTTCCCACGCACTTCGAGTCCTTGTACACCGCCAAAGGATCACTGGCCTACATTCTCAACCTGGCCGGCGATGGCAATGCCGAGTAAGGAGAAATCTTAGGAATCCAATCCTATAGCAACTCACTTATATAAACTCTCTGTGCCCTTAGAACTTCGATCACAAACTTTTCCATCCTTATTTCTCCGGTTGAGAACCGTGTTCGCCTTTGAGCATAAGTTCCCTGCAGATTGAGTTGCAATTGGGAAATCTATGGATCAACTTTGACAACCTGGTGGAGGAGGAACGTGTCAACGAATTTATCCATGCTCTGATCAACGAAATGGGTGGAGCTTCTCGGCGACATCTGGGACTATGGACAGGGCACGGTAGTCACCAAAGTGCAGACGCTTGTTAACAATTTCTTGAGTCAGTACTCACTGACGGATATTATCAAATCATAGCTGGTGGAGGCGGCGGCGAGGAAAGTGCACCCATCTTTGAGGGCGTGGAGCCCGACTGCAAACTTGAGGCCAGCCCAAGCAACTAAGACTGAAATGTGATGAAATACCCATATTATATAAACCATTATTTAAATTTAGCCTAAGAAATATATGTACGTTTAGAATAATAGATGACAATGGGAGTGCACTTGAAGTGATAGGATTTATAAACCGTTTGACGTTTTTGTCGTGTTTACTTATCAGTGCGATAAGGATAAGTCGGTAACAACATCCTCATTGAACTATCAAAAGCCCATTTGCATTTAAATACGTTATCAGCTCTGGAATTCCCGATAGCGCTTTGCACAAGGCGTTCGCTACCTGCGAATACCGAATAATCGCTGTGGGGTCTCGATAAGCGTTATTTTTATAACCGTTTATTGATTTATGGCTGGTTTGGCGGATTATAAAAACAAGAAGGCTGGAATCTAGCAGTAGGTTCGTGCTTTTTGGGACCTTGCAAAATATGTAGGTTTTATTCATAATTTATTGTTATCCAGTTCTTGGACATAGCGCCAAAATTCATTCCCTAAATATTGAAAGCTTTTTCGAATGTCAGATTAAAAGTCTCCGTAGCTAAGATAATGTATACCACTTGGGCGTTTCCCCCTTTGATAGTAAAAAGACGTACGATCAGATTTAGATCCCAAAAAGTTAATACAAAATCGTAGAAACCTTATATTCAAGTGGTAAACTGGTGGTAAATGTGATGTATGTACAATCTTAGGCCTAAAGCTGCGGGTCCCAGCCCGGGAAAAGCATGCAGAGATTGCTCGGTAGCGTGCTTCGTTTATCAGTCGCTCCACCTGAGCCTCCACATTTGAGTCGCCAAGGGTGCCGGCCTCTCTGCCCTCCAGTTTGTTTTGCACGAGGAGCAGGGCACGTTGGGCCACTAAGTTAACCGATTCCTCGCCTGAAACATTGCATGTTAATACAAATTTCTGGTTAAAAGTCAATGGCTCACTGGATTGCTGTGATGACTGGCTTGATTTCTTCTTCTCGAGCACCCCCCATATAAAGAGGGGATCGTAGAGCAGAACCTCAAGTATGGTGGTAAAGACGCCTTATACCTTCGCAGGATGTGCATGGTGGCCTCGCAGGATTTGGCAAAGACTCCTTTCGTCCCACAGATTCCCATCGGTGCCACAAAATCGCGTCAGCCGGAAGGGAACGGTCTCTGGAGTGGTCTGGATTTTGCCCTGCTCAAAAGCTATACCTGTAAAATTAACCAAAACAATATTATCTACTTGAACACAACTCAAGGTAGAGTCGCAAATCCAAAGCTCTCTATTTTCTTTGTTTATCATTTTAAAATGTGGCACTTACCAAAATCAATATGAATAACTTCCTGTCTGCTGGTCTATAAGGATATTTTGCGTGTGGCGGTCGCCAAGTCCTAGGACGTAGCCCACCATCGAGGTGGTGGCCACGCTATTGGTGTAAGCCAATCGCCTTTCAAACCACACGCCAGGAATGGGGAACTTCTCCAGCAGAAAGTAGTGAAAAACGGGCTTAATGTGCTCGCATATACGCTGGTAGATGCCAATATCGAGCCTCCTTGGAGAGCTTCAGATGTCCTGCAAATAATAAATATATTTAACACTTCGAAATGGTCAAATTTTATATAAGACCGACCGCAGCTAACTTGCGGCACCTGTTGTTATTCCAGTCGTTTGGACGATATCGCGCATGTGCACCTCCTTTGCCTTCCACAACCAGGTAGTGACCCACCGGAGTTGAATTGGTGCACCACTCCAGGATACCACTGCGCATGGACAACGGAGTGACCTTATAGGTGCGCAGCTTTAGCTTTCGCTCGATGAACTCAGAATCCTGGTTGAGTAGCTCGTTGACAATTCCGAACACCTGCTGCATCACGGCATCCTGCCGCAGATCGTCCTTTCCTTTGACCAGTTGCGCCCGCGTCTGACCATCAGAGCATACGCACATAATTTTCACAGGCGCATTTAGTCCACCACATTGTGTTATGCCATTGTTCCACTTGACGATGCCTGTGTGAGCATTTGGTTATCCAATGGTAAACTATTATCCTGTGGTTTTCCAACCTACTTGCTATATTGTACTCCTTGTTGGGCATGACGGCCAACTCGAGGGTGGGGCAGTGCACAGCGTTCAGATTCCGCCAGCGCCTTACCTTCTCGAACTGCTTCAGACGCACGGAATCCGAGACCTGCTGATTGTTGTCCGTCTTGCCTTCGTTGGCAAATGTGATGAGGGCTGCAAGTAAAAAAAGGAGAACAATTAAAAAAGATAAACTGAAATAATTCATATCCCTCTACCTGGCAGCAGCGATTCCAGCTGCTTGCTGCATTCAGCCGCTGCGGCATTCTTTTCGCATATCTTGGCAATAATTTTACGAGCAACCCCTGACCGCTCCGTATTGCTGTTCTCACCATCCAGGTGGGCAAATACAAGCGGATACAGCTGGTAAAATGTGTGATGCGGATGATCCTGGCCACAGTGCACCAGAAGGTCCATCAGCCCCTTGAGCAGGCCCAAGTTCTTGGAGTTAAGCCGCGCGGTCAGTTGGTTGGCAGCACAAATAAACTTATAACTGGGCACCGTGAGAATCTCCTCTTTGATGGTCTGCTGCAGCTGCTCATTGGTGGCATTGGTGAACCATAGCGAGATATGCGGTAAATGGCGGCGCTGGAAAAGCCACTGTCCAGGCGACAGACGCCATATGATTGCGCAAAGCCAGGCAAAGGTGCTGGGTTAGCTTCTCTTCGATGTGCTTTAGCTGACGCTCGTCCAAGCTGGCGTAACGCTTCATCTGGACAGAAATGACGCGCCGGTCCTGGTTCTCGCGCTGGGTGACCTTCTCTGCCGCCTGGCGGTTCTGCTCGATGATGTCCTGCAACGTTTGGTATTCCTGGGAGTGCCGGTAGTCGTATAGCTGCTGGTACTCCCGATCAGCATACTTTGCCATCGCAGCATATGCAGCCGTCCGGTGCTTACTGGCAAAGGCATCCAGCTGCTGCCACTCGAAGATGTCCCGATACTTTTCGCTCAACGTCTTGCGGTGCAGCACAAAGTCATCAATCAGCTTTAGGGAATTATCAAAGTTGTGGGTCTGGACATAATTAATGTCTCGGCATTGCAGTCAAGGAGGAACTCGCCCTGCATCCGCAGCGCCGGAACTCGCTGGACACAGTAGACAAACTCATTGTTGTTGGTCACATACTCCAGGATGCCTTGGCTATCTGTTGGTTGCCCATCTTCAGATTGACCTCGGCGTCTTCCAACAAAACGCTTATCTGAAGTAGGATATAGGAAGTCTTTAAATTCATAAAAACAAAGAATAGAATTAATTAACCTTTGTGGGTCTCTGATGTTGGGAAGCTCTCGCAGGGTAACAATGTACTTGGCTGCCAGGTTTAACTTGCCAGCACTTTTGCACTCCCCAATTCCTTTGAGTAGATACGTGTCCATGGGATTCTTTTGGTAGAATTCTTGCATTCTACGACTGCTCTGGTTCCCGCCATCTTGAACAGAGCAATCTGATGTGCATAAAGTATTCTTTGCAAGAAAAATTGCCGTACTTAGCTCCAATTCCGTTTGCCATTTGCCAAACAGTTGGGTCATCTGGGCAGAATCCAGTTGGTGCCAAATTGGATCTGAGGTATGCATATAAGCCAATAATCAGTAAGGGGAAACAGTACTTCCAAAACCTTCACCTGACAGAAGTCCTCTGCTTGCTGGAGGGAGCACAGCCAAGTCAGGTACTTGTACACTCTGCAGGCACTCCATGCTGATCTCCATCAAAATGTCGCGCACACAGTATAGGCCATGTCTATGGCTGACAAGCTGTTCTCCTCCTCTCGCTGCCCGATGCTCCTCAGCGCCACGAAATGATGACGCTTGAACTCCTGCTCCAGATTCAGCGATGTTCTAGCTCCCGTCTGGATTTGCTGGTGCTTTGGATCCGTCAGGGAATCCCACTGTCCAAGGCGCCAGAAGATCTCGTAATCTGGCTCTACGTTCTGATGCTGCTGAAGTTTGGCAAACGACCACAAACCGTTTCCTTTCATTATGTCCACGCAGAGTTGACCGCTGGCCCTGTCAAGATGATCCGACTCCAACAAATGGTGGATAGACTGCTACTCTGGCCAAGGAAATCCAAACGGGAGCGCATGGGATTGACAAACCCTGGGATGCATCCAGACAGCCAATGGATTCGTAAGCCTGCAAAGAGTTCGTCTTAGCTTTGGAATAATTAAGACATTTTTCCCCACCTTTTTTGCATCAGCCTGAAAGATTCGTTGTCGAAGAGATTGGCTCTATCTATAGGGCTCGCTGCGCAGGCCCAGAGCTCCAGATACATAATGCTCAGGAAATAGGCCTGACAGTGATTGCTGCCATGACCACATTGCTCAGATTCACGGGAATGCTCCTGGATAAATCAAATTACATGTGATTCACTTATTCTTTAAGTTGTTATAAATTCCCTTACCATTCATTGACGATCCGTATGGACTCGCAGATGTGCAAAAACCTCTTTATGGCTCTTTTGTTGTAAAATATCTCCTTAGAATTAGGCGAATTCGGCGACTTCGAGCTGGCGAAACTTTCAAAAAAGTAATCTAACATTAGACACAGACTCTTAAATGACTTTCTTTGTTTTCCAGTAGTAACTTGATGAACGGCTGCAGGCAGGTCTTGGCAAAGGCAAACGACTTGGCAGCCAGATCATCAAATCCTTTCCAGCCGCACTCTTGAAACACTTTTGAGACAAAGGCGCACATCCAAGACTCGTAGTTTAATCTTGCGTGGCTTTAAGTATCGACAACCAATCAATGCGAGGAATTTGCTTATAGGAATTCAGAAAACTAGGTTTCGTAGACTTGTCCAGAAATATCTGTAGATTCTTATAGCGATCTATAACGTATATACATCTTTATTGTATAATTATATTCATTAAATTATTGTATAATTGTAGTTACCAATAATTTTTGCTCCAGGTTTACTATTAACTACCAGAATAGTTACTAACACAAGATCCGTGTGAGTTTTGGGGATCGAACTGGAATAATGATTTGTCCAAGAAATCGCAGATAACGCTCAAAAACACTTCCATTGGCTCATCTTTTGACTGCATTAAAAATGGATTAAGTTGTGACAGTCTTTTTAGTTTTGAAACTAACTCCTCAAACGATTCGAAATCAGTTTGAAATAGTAAGAAATGTTGGATAGTTTTAGCGGTCCCAATTTGAGCCAGGCACTTAAGGGCATCTAGACTGCTCGACTTCTTATGCGAATCCCCGTGACATCTGAATGAGCTTGTTGATAAGCTCAAATAATAGCTTTTCGTTTTCTTGCAACTTGTCCTTATGCTCGGCAATCTTTTATGGGAAAGGGAATGTTATAAAAATACCAAATGCATATCTTTTTACTCACATATTCCTTAGATCTCGCAATCTTTCTGCGGTGGGACTTGACAGAAATGAACGCAGATAACTGGCCACATCCGCCTTATCATGTTGGGCAGATTGGATTTGTATTCTCTCGCAAGGCTTGAGAAACTCACAATCCGTGGTCTCTTCCAAAAATGAATTTAGGTTTGATCTGGTTCTTGTTTGATTCCAAAATTTGCATTATCATGCACTGGCCTTTTCTTTCACTGCTTTCGCTCACAGCCTATTTGAAAACTACTCAAAAGTTAGCTATCGCTCCCATGTGATTTACAAAATCAGGCAAGGCAAAGATGGGTTTATTCAGCAGAGTTGCAGGAAGTTCAGAACAGACATCTGGACCCGGCTGAAATTGCCTGCAATGAGTTATCTTTAGTTATAACATAAGATTTCCCCATTTTTTTGAACTCACTGTGCAACAGAAACCGAACAACAAAGAACCAAATATCACGAACAAAGTAGGAACATTGGGTGACGGTGATTTTATTTTCAAGGGCCGCATCGTAGACAGCATCTGCCATCAGCAATAGACGAAAACCTTCGCAAAGCCTGATCCGAAAAAGTGGCCGCAAGCAATTGGCTTTTAAGCGCCCAAATAGATCAACCAATATACGAGAATGTTTGATTTGAAGAGTAGTCATGGACTGGATTCGACTGTCCCAGAAGTCTTTTTGGGGTCCTGGAAAAAAACGAATTAGCACATTTTAAACGCCCTCAAATACTTACAATATGCCAATTAAGGCAATTGAAGAGCGACTCCTTGGACAGCTATACCAACTGCGACTTCTGCTGCACGGGCAAAGGAACCAACAATCTAACATTTCCTGTGGGTCGTGCAGCAAGTGACCACGCTGCAAAGGGTGTCCACATTGAGATCCACATCTGTGGCATTCAGTTGGGAGTAACTGAGGTTCTCCAACACACCTGGTGATGATCCCTAAAGTCCTTGCCTTCGCTTTCGCTGCAGCAGCTGCTCTTGGGCAGCAAAAATGATGCCACAATGGGAAGGGCACCTAGAAAAAACACAATTGAATTAAAGATCAAAGAAATCTTCTTATGAACTTACATCCTCGCTGATTAATTTATACATTTTTCTATATCCTCTGTTTTTCCATAGAGGTAGGTATAAGCCATAATTTCATTAGCATGAACTCTGCGGAATTCGCTCTTTCGTGCATAACACAGATAATAAGGAAACCTGGAGGTGAGAAATGTAAAACGTTCCTCGAATTTGTGAAATTATCTCACTTGGAAATGGGCCAGCGTTGGGAGCTCCACTTGTGAAGGAGGACGCCGGAAAGGGTCGTATAAGATCGCGCATAGTTTGTCCATAGCCGGGAACAATGCTTTGCAGGGAAACAAATTCACTTTCGCTTGGCCTGTGCAGGGCGCATTGGCGCAACAACTCCTTCAGCGCAATCTCTTGGTGGAACGAACTGCGCAGAAAGAAGGCAATTAGCATTTGAACAATTAGCGCATTGCTGTTCTGAGCAGAATCCTCATTGTTGAACTAGATATAAGAATGTTTTAATAATAAAGAAAAAGATAAGACCGCCTTGCCCACCGTCAGCTTTTTGAACTCGATGCTGTCGTAGAGCTCCTGGCAGAAATCCCAGTGAGTCTGAGAGTGGCCAATGGCATCGCTAGTCACACAGTTCGTATCCAAAAGAATGGTGAACGTGAAGAGTGTGGCAAAGCGCACTTCCAAAGTGGGCATGGTGATGAATTTAGCAGTGGACTTGCATATCACAGTAAAGTTCTCCAGCAGGTAAATGTCCGGACAGCGCTTAGCAATCAATCCCACACATCGCACAATTTTTGCTGTTAAGTTGGATGTGTAGGACTTCTTAAGAGCAATCCTTAATAGCGAGTTAAGTGCCATTAGCATGTCGTCCAAGTGATGTTCCATTTTGCATACAAAGAGAAAATCGCTAAAAGAAATAGAGTAATTAGAATAGGTTCTACAACAGATTAATTGTCAGCTCACTGGGCATATGATCAACCACTTTGTCAATGACATCCAAGTCCTGATGATGATTCTGAAAAAGAGTCTTCAGTTTGTTCACTAACCAAATGCTGGATGCATCAGAAACAGACTGGCAGCTGCATAACATCTTTAAAAGGAGTTTTAAAATTTGTTTTCATTTTGTTCGACATTTAATTTACCTTGGCTACAATAAGCACATCTGGGGGAAGCCACCGCATTGTCACCTTGGATATGTGCTCAAAAGCTTCGTCCGATGCGAACTGCAGGCACAAAGGCCACCCAAAATATTAAGGCACTGAGCGGTGATTGTCAAATGATCAGCATTTTCAGATCGCTCCCTCTGCATGCCTAAAAAATATGTAACTCTCACTATTATAGAAAAAATTACTAATCTTAAACTTCGTTACAATGCAGCTTTAAGGCAGCGCCAACGAATTCAAGAAACATCTCCAGGGGTTGCCTTTCCAAATAATTAAGTAGAACCAAATTCGTTCTGAATACTTCAAGTACATCGATTTCTAGGCGCAAAATTTCTCGCAAATCGCTTCATCCAGCATCTCAGGGCTGTTCGCCTTGTACTGAAACTAAATTAGGTATTATATAGGTATATTTTATATAGAAATGTAACCCCATTTCTACCCACCTCAATGTGGCTCAGATACAGACCAATTCGTTTGATTAACGGGCAGCTAGTAAAGTTATCTGCATTAAAAACCTTGTAATACAAAAGCCTTTCCATTGTGCAGGCCATCTCAACAGACTGTTAAGATTCTTCAGTATAGCAGAGGGATGGTTTTCCTTAGCTATCTGAAAGTTTAGGCCGCGCATTAGGCAATCATAATTGGTTTGAAACAAACAATTCTTCGTTTCGCTCTGCAGCTGAGTGATTGACGTAAAGGGAGCCGCGTAGTCATTGTCCAAACAGATCAGTTGCTTGTTGTACTTGTAGGCCAAGAGATTCTGTTCGACGGGAACAGCCAAAGGTGATGGACGGGAGATCTCCTCCAGCTGCTGTTCGTCCAGAAAGTTTATGATACTGATGGCAAACGTATCAGCCTGAAGCCGGGAATCAATACTGGCTATATTGTGTATCAACTGTGCGGTGTTGTTTCGGTCCCCACTGCCATAGGCCACGCTATGATAGGCTCTAGATCCGCGGAGGCTTTATCCTGACCACATTTGTCTGCATGAATGAAGATCTCTCGAATTGTCGAAAACATTCGTTGCGCTTCAACATCTCATTGGTGGTGATGTTGTGGCAGCAGAGTGCTGGCCATCTTTTGATTCAGTTTTTTGTTTCTAATCAGCATCTGTAGCACCAGATGCTTTTCCTTGATCTCTTCACTGTTGGTGGTGGTCTCTGAGATCAGATGATTCACCATCTGATTCCATAGGTCGACCAGAAAGTCCTCGTTAATGGATTTCAATTGTAAAAGCTCCCGTTCCTTGCTCAGAATACTCGTCAGACATAGACGAAGATTCCGCAGATTCCTGGCATTGCCGTACATTGGCATAATTTCAGCCACTGTGGTCAGCGCCTGCTGATAGTTGGCCACATTCAGGAGCACGCCGCTCAGCTGGAGAAGCTCTGCGAAGATGGCAACCAGACGTCATTGAAGAGTGTGTCTTTTTTTGTCGATTAGGCCAATATAATATCCATTTTATCGGCAGGCTTCGGGACCTTTTTTGGGCGCATCGCCTTCCCCATTTTCATCATTCTTTTTCGTCTCTAGGTGCCACAGAACCTAAAGGAATCAAATAATCTCTTAATGTTATTCTAATACAAACACAAATTGAGCTTACGATATACATGACCAAGGCGGACATCTTGATAAAGGGCTCCGAGAATTTGTCATTGCTCAGTTTGTGCGGTCTTGTAGCGGGCCAAAGAATTTTTACGAATCTCCACGTTGACAATAGTTTTTAGCCGCACCAGAGTTTGCGGCCATTTTTCCTGAATAGGCACACCAAGAGTATTAAAATCACACATGTCCAACTTGGGATATAACGAATGCAGCGACTTTGTGACGCACTGGAAGAACAGATTTCTGGTGTCGTCCCGGAAAACGTCCTCGTCGTGGAACTCGCATAGTTTGGGCAGGATCTCCTGAGCATTAATGCTCAATTGGTGATGGTAATTAACAGAGAGCTGGATGGATATGGGAAAGTATTAGGCATGATCTACAGTTCGATTCCGTGTCCCACCTCTGAGGCGAATATTAAATAGAGTCGAACAATCTCTAATTTTCTCGCTGCATTTGCGGAGCGGGCAAAGTTGCTTAGCTCAGGCAAATATTCAACTAGATCTACATGCAGTTGAACCCGATCCTTGGCCAAAGTGGACTGTCCTTAGTGACGCATTTCATTATCCTGGTGCGCAGGGCCTCATCCTTTCCACATTTAACTCAAAAGATAGGAGAGGATGCCTAAACAGGAAGGCAAGTGAAATGGAGTGATTTTTTGAGGAAGGATTTCCTTACGGCTGTACTCATTAATCTTTAAATCACGCACATAGCTGGCCGATGAGTAGAGGGCCCTATCCAACAGGCTAAGAATCCGGTCTCCAAAGAACTTTACTACCACCCGCATCTTGATACCCTCCTCGAACGCATTGAAGATGCTTGTCTTGGCCAGAAAGTGTCCATTTCCGGCGGTCTGCATTCCAGCTGGGAGAGCACAAATTAGCTTGGCGAACAATTAAAGTTCCCAGGGGTTACCTTCCAAGTTGAATTGGGTGATCTTCTCAATAACATTGTCGTACAAATATTTTTTCCCGCCAATGTCTTAAAGGACTTTTCATTGGCATCCTCCAGGGCGCCGCGTGCTGTGATCGTGGTAATGTTCTTAATCTGTCATATTTAGGGTTAAAGGTATTTATACCTTGAAGAGAGCCTCTTTCGACGCTTCAAAGACTACGGTCCAAGACAATCACATCTTTTGCTCAGGAATAGGGTATTTAGATCCTCCCTGCAGTTGCTGAGCTTTTCGTCCAGCTGTTCAACGCCCTTGTTTCGGCTGGCTGGCTTCCCGGACTGCAGCTCGCCGATGATGCGCTGGATATCGTTCAGCAGTCCACTCATTCTGGCAGCCGGGCATCACTTGCTGACGATAAAAGCTTAATTCTAACAATTATTTTGAACTAAACATAAATTAAGTCTTAAAATGAACTTAGAGTTACCGCATCTAGAGCGCCAAATAATACCTCGAATAAAGTTAAGCAGTGCGAACTACTTATCTGTATGATGTTTTCGAATTGCTGGTGATAGCCCTTGCACACCACCTTTTTCCAACTGGAGAAGAAGTAATAATATACATTTTAAAAATTGTTTGATACATTTTATTTTTTAATTAAGGACTGCCTTGTTAGTTAATGAATCGTTGATGAATTTGGTCAATGTTGTATATTTGAACAGCAATTTAATTCCTTGCCCCATTTAGACAGTTCTTAAAATAAACTCTATGCTTACACATGTTTTTAGGCACGACAAATTTGACAACTTAAAGGTCAACACGAGAATTTCCACTTCTAGTAAAATTTTGTGTTGAACATTTAACAACAGAGTACCCTCATTATTTTGTTAAGGATCCAGTAAGGATGATGCTCTGTGGGAACAGCTTATTAGGGTGAACTCTGAATTTTTAGCGGGAATTTGTGGTTGTCCGAGCATTTGGGGGGAAAGCGATTTCGCCATCTGGTCACGCTTAGCAACCTCTATAAAAGGCCTCCGCACATTTCTATCGGTGTATTTGAAAAAAAACGCCAGCCAGTTTGATCGAAGGTGCGGCAGATTAAAAGTGAAGTAGCAATTAAACGGTTATATTTTAGTACGATCTAACAAACAACACACAAGGTAAGCTTTTATTTACAAATTATTTATTTGTTGTAGAAAGTGCATTTCAATTCAATTTGCCAGAGAAGGGTTTTCATCTTAACCACGTGTTTTTCGTAGCTCTTTACTATTTAATCAATACTTGCATACTAAGCAAAACTTCTCGAACTTTCGACCCCAATGAGTAACGCTTCCACGCACACTCATTCACTTTTATAATTGCACTCGTACAGTTTCGAGTACTAATAAACATGCAGCGTAATTAGCTAGCTGAATATTCTGGAAACTAGATAGCTGAATTCTGACTAATTGCATATTAACGGCGAAAACGTGATTGCGCTTATCTGGAATATTCCACTGGAAAATATGCCGCTTCACACTCACACTGCAACAAAAGATGCCGTAAATGTGTGCGCGTGTGTAGAGAAAACTTGCGTCATCCATCGGGTGTCTTGACATTGCTGTTTATTTTTTTTTGTGTGTTCCCAATAATCAATGTCCAAGTTACTCATCTTAATTGCAAATTTGTTTCGAGTGTCATTGAGTTTTTGCTGGAATATTCCAGTGGGGGAAAAACGTGCGGCTTCTTCCACGCACGCACACACACATACTTTTGCTTTGCAAGTGTATGCATACTCAATCAGAACCTCAAAAAACTTTAGAAACATGCTAGATCCCCACTCAGACAGCTGAGTCAGATAAACATGGGTTTATAAATAGCCAATTAACATCCATAAATTAATACTTATGCGGTATTTTCAAATATATTTAGCCAGAGAAAACACACGTTGCCAACCGGCATCCAAAGTGCGGGCACGTGTGTGTTTGTGAGCGGGTAAAACTCATGCACCGAATCGGGCCATCGACACAATAGTTGTCCCTTTCGCACGCACCGCACGAAACACCCTCCAAAATGACCTGGCTCGGCAGCGTGGTTTCATGCCCATGCATGTGTGCGTACGCGTGTGTTTGCGTTTTTAGCATTCCAGAATTTTCGTCTTTGTCCATGCGGTTTCTTAAGTTTTTTTTTTTTTTGCGCACTTCTCAAAAAAGTGTGGCAGCTGTGCGGCCGCCATTTATAATTCTCTCCCATCCCGATACGATCCGGCATTGATCTTGCTGTTTTTATGAGCAAACTCTCCCGATGGCTGGCATTAGTCATAGCTCGTGATTCGCCAATTTCGGCAACCCGTTTGAGACGAACATGCGGCGTAAAAGGCATGATAAAACGAAATTCTGTCTGTAAAAGGCGAAATAAGATGGCGGTTAAAGTAGGAAACAAAAATGTGTTCTACTTTTCCTTGGTTGTTATGAGAACGCATTTAGCAACCCCTAAATATACATGAAAAATATATTCCCATGACCTTTTGTTCTTAGGTCAATAGGTCACAATAGTAATTAATAATATACGATGGTATAGTTTCAATATATTTAATAGTTTGTATTTTTATGATTTCGTATCATTTTTGTTTTTCTGTACAAATTTGTTCTATACAATTCCCATCGTAGCCATCCATGTATTTCCCATCTATCTAGTTCAAAAACAGCTGTCGCCCTTCACAATCTTTTTCACATTGGCAAATTTTCTATTGTTTTGAGCACAGTTTTATAATTTTGTATAAAAATCGCGGAAAAAACAAATAACTAATCGTAACGCCCATTAATATAATCCATTCCAGATGTCTAAAGCTCCTGCTGTTGGTATTGATTTGGGCACGACCTACTCGTGCGTGGGAGTGTTCCAGCATGGCAAGGTCGAGATCATCGCCAACGACCAGGGTAATCGTACCACTCCATCCTATGTTGCCTTCACCGATACGGAGCGTCTGATCGGCGATGCCGCCAAGAACCAGGTGGCCATGAACCCGACCCAGACGATCTTCGATGCCAAGCGTTTGATTGGCCGCAAGTTCGAGGACTCTGCTGTGCAGTCTGACATGAAGCACTGGCCCTTCGAGGTGGTCAGCGCCGATGGCAAGCCCAAGATCGAGGTGACCTACAAGGACGAGAAGAAGACCTTCTTCCCCGAGGAGATCTCCTCCATGGTGCTCACCAAGATGAAGGAGACAGCCGAGGCCTACCTGGGCAAGACTGTGACCAACGCGGTCATCACCGTGCCGGCCTACTTCAACGACTCTCAGCGTCAGGCTACCAAGGATGCCGGAACCATCGCCGGTTGAACGTGCTGCGTATCATCAACGAGCCCACCGCCGCGGCCATCGCCTACGGTCTGGACAAGAAGGCTGTTGGAGAGCGCAACGTGCTCATCTTCGATCTGGGCGGCGGCACCTTCGATGTGTCCATCCTGTCGATCGATGACGGCATCTTCGAGGTCAAGTCCACGGCCGGAGACACGCATCTGGGTGGTGAGGATTTCGACAACCGTCTGGTCACCCACTTCGTGCAGGAGTTCAAGCGCAAGCACAAGAAGGATCTGACCACCAACAAGCGTGCCCTGCGTCGTCTGCGCACCGCCTGCGAGCGTGCAAAGCGTACCCTGTCGTCCTCCACCCAGGCCAGCATTGAGATCGACTCTCTGTTCGAGGGAACCGATTTCTATACCTCGATCACCCGTGCCCGTTTCGAGGAGCTGAACGCCGATCTGTTCCGTAGCACCATGGACCCCGTGGAGAAGGCTCTGCGCGACGCCAAGCTGGACAAGTCGGTCATCCACGACATTGTGCTGGTTGGTGGATCCACCCGTATCCCCAAGGTGCAGCGCCTGCTGCAGGACCTGTTCAACGGCAAGGAGCTGAACAAGTCGATCAACCCCGATGAGGCTGTGGCCTACGGTGCTGCCGTCCAGGCTGCCATTCTGCACGGCGACAAGTCGCAGGAAGTGCAGGATCTGCTGCTGCTCGATGTGACCCCTCTGTCGCTGGGTATTGAGACCGCCGGAGGTGTGATGAGCGTGCTGATCAAGCGCAACACCACCATCCCGACCAAGCAGACCCAGACCTTCACCACCTACTCTGACAACCAGCCCGGTGTGCTGATCCAGGTGTACGAGGGCGAGCGTGCCATGACCAAGGACAACAACCTGCTCGCAAGTTCGAGCTGTCGGGCATTCCTCCCGCACCCCGTGGCGTTCCCCAGATCGAGGTCACCTTCGACATCGACGCCAACGCATCCTGAACGTGACTGCCCTGGAGCGTTCGACCAACAAGGAGAACAAGATCACCATCACCAACGACAAGGGACGTCTGTCCAAGGAGGACATCGAGCGCATGGTCAACGAGGCCGAGAAGTACCGCAACGAGGATGAGAAGCAGAAGGAGACCATCTCCGCCAAGAACGGCCTGGAGTCGTACTGCTTCAACATGAAGGCCACCCTCGACGAGGACAACCTGAAGACCAAGATCTCGGACTCTGACCGCACCGTCATCCTGGACAAGTGCAACGAGACGATCAAGTGGCTGGATGCCAACCAGCTGGCCGACAAGGAGGAGTACGAGCACCGTCAGAAGGAGCTGGAGGGTGTGTGCAACCCGATCATCACCAAGCTGTACCAGAGCGCCGGTGGTGCTCCCGGTGGCATGCCCGGCGGTCCCGGAGGCATGCCTGGAGCTGCTGGACCCGGAGCTGCTTCCGGAGCCGGCGGTGCTGGCCCCACCATCGAGGAGGTCGACTAAATCATTCACCAAACCCCCTCCCCCAAACGCAACCATACAGTAACAGTTCTCTAAACGAATTACCAACAACCAAACACAGTAGAAGAGTTGCTTAAACAAAACTTGGATTCTAAATTAGAAACTCGCCAAACATTAAACAAAAACAACAACACCCTCAACTCAACAAACGGGTCAAACGACAACTGCTCCCGATAATCATTTATATAAATTATAAATTCATACTAGAACAAAACCAAAACACATGCTCCATAATAATATATATTATATTATTGTCATCGATCGATCATCTAAACAATATTTGCTTGTACTTGAATTCAATAAATTAATTTGAGAATTGCAAAAGCTGGTAGTTTATTTCGCTTTTATTTTCAGGGTTTTCGGCATATAATACGGAAATTTAATTTAACGTGCCTTTTGTTGGATACATTTGTTAACATTTGCACGCTATCTTATCTGGATGCATGTGTGCAGAGTAAAACATATTTGAATGGTTCCCAAACAGGTGTGGCTGATAAGCATAGATAAGCAGATTGTGTTTCTAGAACATGAGTACTTTTGTTTTGTGTGGGTTTATCGAGACGGTTCCCTAAATTACTTTGATTTTTAAAAGTTTGTTATTGCTAAAGACAATTTTCAATTTGAACTTTACTTCGGAAAAAGTATTAAGAGTATATCAGCATTTAGGCAAAGTATTTGTATTTTCCACCTACGCTTTACCTGTACTTGTTCAATGAATAGACTATTAGTCACTTCAACGCAGAAAAGTCTAGACTTCTTTGTTGAAACTTAAACTGACGTAGCCGAAATTTCTAGAGATTTATCATCAGTTTTATTGCTGGTTTTTTTCCACTTTTGCTACGAGTTCTCTAAGAATGTGTGACTAAGACTTTGTTATTAAAAAATCTCTAATCGACCCAGGCAAAATTTGGGTCCTTCTCCAGCCTAGGAACCTGACCAATGACGGGTAACTCGCTGTTATGGGTCTGTAAAGGCCACCACTGATGCTCTTCCTGCCGGGGATTCGCCGGCTAAAGACGTTGCCCGCTGTTCTGGGCTTAAAGGTGATGTCCGCATGCGACTGGCCGGCGTCCATTTTTAGGTTGGCTCGCGATTACTAACCTGCTCTAGGTAGGATTGCCACTGCTGCAGTTTGTCCTCCGCGGCTCGCAACTGATCGAGACTCCGCTCATGGCCAGGATTGATGCCAATGGGCTGGATGCCGGCTATATCCTTGAGATCCACCTTAATAGGCGCCAGGGCTGAGATGGCGCGCGATAAGCCGATTTGAGAGTGCCGGATTCGGTGCTCGGTAAGATCTGCGCCCAACAGCTCTTCGTGCGGATCCATGCGAATGGGTATGATCTTGTTGATCACAAACAGCAGCAGAAGGTGGAGCAGATGCCCCAGCAGGCCAGGCAAAACGCTGAGAGCGTTTGAATTCCCAGCAATACCAACCGCCTCCTTTGAACAAGCCACTGCGTCCGTTGGTCGTGTCCAGCGGGATGGGGTTGTCGGCAACAGTCCCACGGCTATTACGCCCCAGATGCCGCATACTCCGTGCACAGCACTGGCGCCTACCGGATCATCCACGCCCATCCTATCGAAGAGCGGCATGGCCAGGACGCAGAGGAGCGAACCGATGGCTCCGATTACTAGGGCCTCCCAGGCGCGGTACAGGAAGCATCCGGCCGTGATGGATACAAGAGATCCAAGTACCCCATTGATGAGGTCCATAATGTCCATTCCGCCTCCATGGCGCCAAAAGGAATAACTATGGAAGAACATGAAACATATTAGAAATATAACACTCATTCGGCCTCAAGAATTCGCGTTTACTTTTTTTTCTAATTTAGAAAAAATTGTTTTCAAAACAGAAATCTACTGACCATCCAAGAACTTATCTATAGAGATATTAATATTGATGCCTGCCCTAAATTTAATTTAAGCTTAGGTAAATCGGTATATGTATGTAGGTACCGTAATGAACTTTTGTACCTCTAAAACCATCTGATCATTTATAAGATGTTATTGAACTTACATGGAGCGGTGAAGCCTCCGCCAAAGGACCCCATCATGGTCATAACCGCCGCTCGGGCCGCGTACTGCCACTTGGCTCCACTCACGCCGTAGGTGCTGCCCGAGTTGAAGGCCAACCATCCCCACCAGAGAACAAAGAGGCCCATGCAGGCGTTGACCGGATTGCCCAGTGGCAGCGGATCGTATCCCTCGGAGTATCGTCCCAGACGGGGACCCAGCATGGCGGCCGATGCGAAGGCCGAGGCACCTCCAATCAAGTGCACCGGGCCGCTGCCCGCAATGTCGACTGCTCCCAGCTTGTTGAGGAATCCATGCTCGCCCCACACCCAACCAGCGGGAATGCAGTAGACAGCGGTGTTCAGGAAGGAGAACAGGCAATATGCCTTGAAGTTGCAACTGGAAGGATATTATTATTAAAATATTATTACATTATTAAATAAAATTAATTGCAAAAGCATTTTATAAGCGCTACTCATAAACAATTATTTGTTGCATACTTTTTGGAGATGAATCTTATAATTAAGTTTCTACTTCAACTGTCAACAAAAGGTCGTTATCAAAATTATAATCGATTTGTAATAAACGAAATTGTCGTTCTAAACAGTTTAAATCAATCAACTTGGGTCTTTCAATGGTTAGAGTTTATCGATGTGTATGCGCCGACTGCTGTTTCACGCTGTATAGGAGTCGGCAGAGACCGAGTAGAGCTTGGCCCAAAGTTTTAATATGACAAATTAAAAAATAATTTGCCGTAATTGACTCGACTTGTGATGATAATCAAGAATTTGATTTAAACTTTTTACCCACCGTTCAGCCATGGCGCCGCTGACAATTGTTGTGGCCGTGGTGGCAAACGACAGTTGGAACAGGAAGGCCGCAAAGATCTGGCCCATAAGGGCATCGCCCACAGGCGGATCCAGGAGAAAGTCCCCGATGGCGATAAATGGATTTGAGAGTGGACCGCGGCCAAAACTCATTCCATAGCCGAACAGCCAGTAAGTGAATCCGCCCAGAACAATGTCGATCACGTTCTTCATCATGATGTTCACCTCGTTCTTGATGCTCACACAGCCGGATTCCAGCATACCGAATCCCGTTTGCATGGTAAAGATGATGAAAGAGGAGGTCAGGACCCAGTTAGTATCCTCCACGGACAGGTCGTACAGGCCGGGAATCACATAGTTGCTGTGATTCCTGGGTGCACTGTGAGTTCCTGTGAGGTTATTCATATCCGTGTCCGTTTGGTTAGTCGGGCGATCGACAACTGCCAAAATAGATAGAAAATCGGACTCCGAATGTACAAATACATGAACGTTACAAATTACCCGCATTTGATTTAAATGCAACTTAATCACCGTTCAGCAATCGTAGATTATTCGCTGTGCGTGTTTTCGCGACCCCACTAATCTGTTGTTGGTGGTATAGGGCCCTTTAAGGTTTAAACTTGACACTGGGTTGCATGCCGAGTACATTTTTGCAAAATTAATGAGCGCATTTCATTTCAGCGCGTTCATTGAATTTAACTTTAAATCGGCGGAATTCGAGATGTGGTTAGAATGCGTCAATAAATTAAAATCTATTTCGACCTCGCGAAGCTTTGGTTGGTTCGCGGTTAAACCTTTTAAAAATAACTTAAATAGCTAAGATTTATAGGTAAGTGTTGAAAAACATTGGATACGGATTTAGACTGGGGAATGTATGTATGTATGTATTAATAATAATTTTTCTTGCTAGCTTTTTATGATGGACCATACAAACTTTTTAGAGGAAGTATACTTCGCTTTTTGTACCCTTCGCTTCTAATATTTTATTTAATTGGATATAAAAGAAAATAATGGTAATGGTAATATAACAATCATGGATTAATCATTCCCACAAAAACGTTTCATCCCCAGAAAATTGGTTGTTCCTGAGAAGCATGCTACATTTTAATGCAACTTATAAGAAAGCTCAAAATAGGATTAAACTAAAAACGAATGATCTCATTATGCTCTTCCTATTTACTTTTGTTTTTTAGAATCCTACAATCTTATCCTTTGGATCCGGTACTGAAACGTTTCCCTTTTCTTTTCTTATCTAACCCCAAGCGACCGTTAGAATTTCGAAAAGGATGTTCCACGAGGACTCTTTTGCTTAGCCCTGGAACTGGTTCCGGGCAAGCAGGCACGATAACGGTATCGAGAGCGCCATCCCTGGAACGCAACGTCTGTGCGAAAACTCCCGTTCGTTTCGTCGTCGTCGGTGGTTGTTGGTATTGCTCGAACGTTCGCAAAAAACTGTTGAAAATACTTGGATAAAATTTGTGTGTCAAAGCTAGCAAGTTTTAATTTATTGTGCCGTGCTGAGTGCTAACTAACGTGTGCAATATGTATTTTTTGGCATTGCTTGCGTTCATTGGAAATGCCAAAGGTAACGGTTCTCTTCTCAATGGGGAATATTGGTGTGAAAAATTTGATACACATATACACACACACGCATGCAGGCCCATGCAAAATCAGCCCCATATCCTTGTTTAAAGTGAAAATGTGCAATTGGAACGAAGATAAACTCCTTGAGAGCAAAGGCACAAGGTTTTTCAAGCAAAATCAATTTCGATTGCTTGGCTCCTTCAGCGATAATTGGAAATATGGTCCATGGCCACACAGTTCACAATTTATGGGACACGGGGCACACACACACGCAGAAACTTTGGCAGGGCACACCAACACCAGCGCAGATGCTCGCTCTTTTTCTCTGCAGAAAACAGAGAGAGAGAGAGAGAAAAGGGGGCATAACGGTTTTTTGGGTGGGGAAATGGAAATGGCAATACGAAGGAAGTGGCCTGCAAAATTTCGCTTTGCTCTGCACGGAGAGAAATGGATACATTGATATGTTGAGATGATACATTTTATGATTGTACTTCTAATTATAATTTTTGATCAGACAGCAATTGAACTTAAAATTTGTAAGATGAAATATTGTTAATTTTAATCTTATCAAGAATCATTTTAAAAATATTCAAATATTTATTAAGGAGAAATAGCAATGTCACGCTTATTTTCCCCAGTGTATGGCATACACACAGACTTGCTGCTCTGTCTGTGTGTGTGGAGCTGGTGGGCGGTTGTTTGGGGTGTGTGCGTATGGTGTTTATTTTTTGCATGTATACTCGCCTCCTTTGTATGGGTGTGAACTGGGTGTGTGGGTTGGACTCGCGTGTATGTATTTATCGCACACACACACATACACTCGGACGCGAGTTTCACTTGGAAACTCTCGAATAAAAGGCAAAATTTTTTTTTTTGTGATATTTTTTTCTTTTTTTTGCGGGGGCGTAACGCACGCCTGTTTGCCATTTTCGTTCGTGCGTTTCCTGCCCAGAAATTTGCTTTCCTGCTGCACACGCATGTACCATACCTATACCCATACAATCCGTGTGTGTGTGGGTCCGAGTGTGCATGTATATTTGTTTTTAATTTGAATTTCCGTTTGCTGTTTAGCATTTAAATGATGTCGAAAATGTTATGCGTTTGCATTTAATTTCACTCAAGTGATAAATATTGTGGTCCTTCCATGAATCCCTTCCCCTATCCCCTTCTCTTTCTCTCCCTCTTTGCTGAGAAAATTTACAGCACCTGCTGCACTTTGGAAGTGCTTTGGAGTGTGTATGTGTGATTTTGTGGCGCAATGTTAAATCAGCAAAGGCGAAAGTTGGTCAAGTGTGTCAAAATAAAGAATTCAGCTAGCATCGAGTGTGCATTATAGGTGCATAAATATACATAAGTACACAAGTATGTACATTCGCATGGAGCCTATGTAAATACATATGCAGGCACCTACAAACAAGGTCCTCACCTACATATTTGGTTAACCACAAGTATCAAATCTTAATAAAATGGAGCATTTTGAAAACTAGATAGGGTTTTTGAATAAAATCATAGATACAATTTTTGGAATCATTTATTTTATATAAATATTTAAGCACAGTTGCTTTTAAATTGTCTTAGTAACTCTTCAGTCTTGAGAAATTAAAATAGTCAAAAAAGTTCCAATCTTAACCCTCAATAACGCCAAAATGTATGCTTTAAAATGTAACAAACTCACAACTTTCAAGACATGTTAAAACTTTCAAAATTTGCTTAAATCATGTTTTATTTCTGAAAATAATATATTTAATTTAATTGCATAAATTAATAAGCATGTTAGTTTTTGGAGGACTGCACACTTTCAATTACAAACGAAAATTTAACATTATTTTAAAGACAGTAACCCAAAATGGGTTTTTATCTGATTTTATTTTTTTAAATTAAATTTTAAGTTATTGATATAGTTTTTGCCATAATGTATCCTTTTCAAACTAAATAAATTTAACAAACCCCCTTTTCACATAAGACCTAACCAATTTGTTTCCATCTCGCAGATGGAAATGCGGTAGCTCGAGCCTAATCCCCGGCGGCTCCTGCCGCGACTACAACGGGAAGATGTACGAGACGGGCATGCATTACATGCCGGGACCCGACTCCTGCCGCCTGTGCATCTGCGACAGCGGGCTGCCCAAGGCGTGCAAGATGGTGCTCTGCGAGGCGTTCAGCAAGTGCAAGTCCTTCCAGACGGTGGGCAGCGGCAACAACTGCTGCGAGGTGATCTGCCTGGACGACCAGTTCAGCGACGGGAGCACCGACTTCGGCATTTGACTGGTGGCCAGTGGCATCACGGCCACTTTGTCCCTGTCGTGCTCTTCTTCCTGGTGAATCGACTGAGGCAACGTAAGATGCGGGCGCGGGAGAATCGACAGAATGCAGGATCAGCGCAGCATCGTGGCAGTATAGGGTGAGTGTTTTAAAGGCTAATCCTCCCCAGATCCTCTAATGAACCCCCTCCCCCATCCATGCAGCTACATAGCCGGGAACATGGGCTACATGGAGGGCAATCTGAGTGCCATTGACTACTCTTACGGCGGCGCCGCCACCCACTATCCCCTGTGGAAGCCACATTTTCCGCGCGGTGAGGCGCCTCCGCCATACGAAGAGGCGGTAGCCATCTCCCAGGCGGAGGCCCTTAGTGCCCAGTGCACCGTCAGCCTGCCGGCCAGTTCCCAGCGAGCGGTGGCCACCGTCAGCCAGCAGCAACATCAGGCAGTGGCTCAGGCCAAGCTCAAGCTCAAGCCCAGGCGCAGGCCCAACAGCAGCAACAGATCCAGGCCCAGGTGCAGGCCCATCAGCATCTGCAGCAGCACACCCTCCAACTACATACTCAACCGCAGCAGCACCATCAGCCCTACAGCCAGCAATTGGTGGCTCATCCGCATCAGCAGCACCCACATGCCGCTGCTTCTGTGCTGCCCCAGTCGAACCAGTACACCCAGAGCACCACCAACCTGATCAACATTAACATAAACAGTGGTGGGTGACCACCATAGCCACCGGGGAAAATCACCAGCCGCCTTACAGCCTGCAGAGCGACACCAGCTCAGCCTGGAGCAACAGCAGCAGCAGCATCAGCAGCAACAGCAGCAGCATCTGATCCAGCCCGGTCAGCACTGGATCCATTTGCCTCCAGACCATGCCCAAGCCACCTGTCTCCGGGAGTGCAGCTACAAGAACTGCCACCTGAACATCAGCGCCAGTGTAACCACTGCGGCGGCCAGTTCCAGTTCTGCGGCCTACACGGCGGGAAGAAGGACCACTCCCCGTGGATCCAGGAGCTGCTGCATCAATTGCCACAGCAACAGCAGCAGCAGCATCAGCAACAACAGCAGCAGTATCTCACAGTTGCCGATGTGGAGATCAATGCGAGTGCCAGTGCCGCCAGCTATCATTCCCTGCCAGCCAGCAGTGGTGAACTCCTGGCCACACCTACCCACTCCCAAGTGTTGCACCATCAGCAACAGCAACAGCAGCAGCACCAGCAGCAACAACAACATCTGCTGGCGGCCATCTCTTCGCCGGCCATGGAGCTACTGCAGCCTCTGGAGATAGCCACAATATCGGCGGCACCTGCCTGCAGCACAGCGGATTCGGTGACCCAGACACGCAGATGCCTATGCATGGCACACTAAAGAGCAGCCAGCAACAGCAGCAGCAGATCAGCAAGACACCCTCGAGCTCAAGGCGCTATCATCGGACCATTCCGCGGTATTTCGCTGTGGCCGATCCCCTCCAGCTGAAGCCCAAGACCAGCAATAGTGCCACCTCCACCAGCGACAAGCAGCAGGCCAGCAAGAAGCCCATGTGCCAGTGCCCCATCCAGCATGTGCCAATGTCCTACATGGGCAGCACGGCCAATGCGAATGCCTTCTTGAGCGGAGCTGGCAAACTCTTTGCGGGAAACTCGAGCAGCAGCAGCACTTCCACGCCCACCTGCTCCCTGTCGCCGGGGGCGGCTGCCAACGGTGGAGTTCGCCATGCGGCCACCTTGTCCTATGGACAGCGAGCCAAGTCCTCGACGAATCTGCAGCAGCAGGCACAAGATCTGATCACGGCGGCTACTTCGGGTGGAGGAACTTTGCGACGAAGCGGGTGTGGACACGAGCCCAAGATAGCCACCATCTCCAAGCAGGTGGGCGATGAGACGCACCATGGGCATGCGGGATCCGGGGTGGAGTGAATGTATCGGCCATCATACCACCGCCCCGCTGCAACATCCCGAGGAAGTGTCTGCTCCACCCATTGTCCTGGGTCGCGTCCAGAAGAGATCCTCCAGCAATTCCGCTGAACGGGGCAGAGCTCCAGCGGCGGAGGCAGTGGCGGACGCAGTGTGTCCAGCGGCAGCGGTGGCGATTCCCTCTCCAGCGCCTATTTGAATCGAAAGGTGAGTTCGAAATGTAAGTAATCCCTTTGTGAGAGCTTGACATGGCGGGGAATGAGATCGAAGGCGAAATTGGAGTGGGGGGGATTGGATTGGCTTTCAATTCTGCATGCATGTATACTTATATCTTTGGTTTCATTCCTCGATTTTCGTTTTCCTTGGCCCCTGGGCTCATCCTCCCCTTTCAGGTTGATGCCTACTTGAGTTTGACGCAGAAACAGCAGCAACATTTCTTTAGCCAGCAACAGCAGCAGCATACAGATCCGAGCAATCCGACTTTACCACCGAAACTCTACAAAAGCCTAACGAATTTAAAGAGCGCCACCGTGGTCAGCACCTCCTCATCCTCCTGCTCGTCCGGCAGCGGGAACAACAACGCCGTGGCCACCATCTACACGCTGAGCAAGCCGGTTTCCAGTGGACAACGCAAGGAGCAGACGCCCTCGCTGACCCTGCCGCCGCGAGTCCAGCCGCCGGATCCGGCGAGAAGATGGCCAGCGGCAAGATCAACTCGAGCACCTTCTATCCCCTGGCCAACCACGTGACCTACACCCTGCCCAAGCACATCAGCGGCAAGGTGTCGCTGAACAGTACCATCAACAGTGTGGTCAGCAAGGTGCCCTCGGTGATCAGCATTCCGCCGGTGGAGAACAACAATCCGGGTGGCCAGACAGGAGCTCCGGCCAGGAGCACCACACTGCCAAAGATACTGCGCGTGAAGCGGGACACTGGATCGGGAGGAGGAGGAGCTGCCACGAGTTGGCGATTGCCCACTGCCAGATGCCCAGTTATCCGCTGACGGCGAAAACCACCACCGGAGGAGGATCCAGCGGGCGGTCGCCCAGCAAGCAGCTGCCCGTGTGCACCACCTCGAAGAACTGCCTGAACCCCAAGGAGCACTTTTTGCCCAACGACACCAGTCTGGACGATGACTACTTGAGTGAGTGCGAGAACTGCAAGATAGCGCAGAGCGCCAAGTACTACCTGGATGCTGAGATGAGCGGCGCCGGCTCCTCAAATCGCCCAGGAGACGATGACGCTGCAGCGTAAGTCGCTGGAGGAGACCAAGGAGGAGCCCTCGAAAGCTACTACCGCAGCTCTCACACCCTGCCCAGTAATGCAAAAAAGCATGGGTGAGTATAGTTAGTGAGGATTATGCTTTCGACCACTGGGTCACGTTATTTAAGTTTAATATCATGTTTTAAAGTAATTATTTGAAGTACAACTTTTCAAAATATTAACAAAATCCTAGTGGTATAGCAATAGATGTATTTTATTTATTTATTATTAAAATACTTAGAAAACATCACTTGGACATCTAATGACTTAATATTTTGTCTGTTAGCAAGAATAACAACCGTGAAAAGTGGCAGTTCTCAACGATTCCGGCTGCCAGCTCGTCGGATGAAGATGTCAACGAATGAGATTTAAGCCATTTTCTTTAAGATGCCCGGATCCCCGACCAGAAGAGCATCCTAAAGAAAACGCAGGCTCCAAAAACCATACCACAATCCCCGCCCCTGAAGGCTTATCAACTTAAGAAGAAACCTAGGTACCCAACCAATTGCTGCTGCAACGAGTGGATAGATCCTGTATATAAGAATATTAAGCGTACTTTAATCTATAATAAATTGTGTCGTTAAATATGAATAGATGGTAACCAACTGATTGTTAGCTATAACCATGACGATACTCAACCCATAAACGGCATGTAAATCTGCGTGTTTGTTATGCACCTGTATATCTCTGTATGTATGTAATTGAATCTGTACTATACGATATGAATATGAAACGATAGGATAAGGAGTTAGACCGGGCAAAAATCAATTATAACCAATGCATTATGAGGATATTAGCGAACTGTTGAATACTTAGCATATATGAAATTGATCATTAAGATGTCGAACCCTACTGCCATCTGCCATTTTGCCAATGTTAACTGTCAATAATTGTGTATGTATGTAATATCTAAATAATGAATGTATGAAATTAAAGTTTTTACAAACAACTAAAGGAAGCTGACCAAAATTTAAGGTATTTCCCCGCTGCTCATCCCAAGATGCACAAACATTGCACATACGAACTCTAGGATAAACAAATTGACATATACATATACATTAATAAAGGAAAACTTAGGATACGAATTTGAATTCAAAGCTCATTACCATCCCATACCCGCTTTATTAAGATGTCGGGATCCAAAAGCTCTTCTAACTTTTAAATTGCCATTCTTTTCCCAGTCAACTCAAATGAATGTACCATATAAAATGCAACTACGTCAGTATATAGATGTAAGAAATAGTTTCCAAGTCGTTTTTGTGTGGGGTTAAATAGACATTAGACGGTTTCTTGATCGATAACGAAGGACTTGCTAGAGAATAACTTTCGTTTACGTCTTGAATCGGGCGGGTCCTAGACAGTCTAATGCCAACGATATAAGCACGATATAAATTATATGTATATGGAATACAGATGGGAGAGCAGCGACCCAGAAGAAGTATGGGCGAATGAATTGTTTGATTCGATCAATTTGCAAAACTAGTCGTAATCATACTAAGCCAGCAAGCAATTAGTCGAAGCTTCACTTAGACGAAAGCCAAAGATACCCCAGATAGATACTATAAGGTATGTTATCCTGATTTGCTTAGCTTTAGTTCTTTTCTAATTTAGGTAGTTTTCCCCACTCAAAAACTTGTTCGAAAACGGTTCTTCTTCCGCTTTTGGTTGTAATCGATCTCTCTGACCTGAAAACTGTATTGTGTTCAACGGATGCTCAAAATAACTATATACCGAGACAAGCATGGATTGTACAATTTGTTGTTTGAGTTCGGATTTGTATTGTATGTACGTTCAACGAAGACTTGACTCTGTTATCAAATGCTCAAAGCGTGTACTGACCACAACGCAATCGTGTCCCCCGATTTGGGGGAGTAATTTAGCAAACTGAAATTACAAGTATTACAGAAATTACTCAATAGTATTAAATAATGAAATCAAACGTTTTTCAATATACTTATTAGTGAGTCATTTATCAAAATTTAGTTTCAACAATAAAACCAAAACAACATATGTACATCACGGCTAAGTACGAATTTTTATTCAATAAGCTATATTTACTATTAAACGAAGTCTCAAAAAACCAAATATTAAATTAACAAATACTTGGTAATAGTAGTTTAAAATTACAAAGGATAAAAATACATTAAAATTAAACTAGTGTGCGATAGTTAAAACAAATTTACCAAATCGAAAAAAAAACCAAAACCGTTTCAAAAATTATTCAACACAATGGATGTCAAACTCGAGTATCGATTAACTGTAATCGGTAGCGTCGGACATCGTGTTTCAAAAACGATATTGAGATTTGTATGAATAATTGCTTAAACCACAAAATATTACGAGTATCAATGTGTTATTGAAGAAACATCGTATTGTAACTATTTAAATTTAATTGAACTAAAAGTGGAAAAATAAATTGGTCTATAATGAATATTAATCCCGTGTTTGACTTTTTTAGTGGGTTTTAACCATGCGTTTTTTAATAAGAGCGCTACAAGTTTTTTTTAAATAAAATAAATACGGGTTGGGATATCAATGAAATTATTTGTTTCTGTAAAAGAACATTCGATGCCATTATATATAAAACCTTTCTGAAGAGAAATGTCAAAAGAGCGGGAAAAATTATGGCGTCGATTGCTATCCCTATCGGTCTACCTATGTAGCGTCCCCATTGAAAAACACGTAAGATACAGCCCGCGTTTTCTAGCTAACATTCTGAATACGATATTCCAACACTCCCAAAATAACAAGTCAGTTCTTGAGGTTTTAATTGTAAAAAATGCAATACAATTGTTACGAGTTCTTTTTTCGTTTCGTTTTTCTTTTGTATTTAAATCATAAAAACAATTTTACGATGTATCAGATTTGCCTTTAGTTAATATAATATGTAAGGTATAACCTATTAGTTGTTTTTGTAATGCCTGATTCTGCTATAGATGCACAACACTCGCAAGCGAAACGTGTGTTTTCTTTTTATATACATACACGACAACAAAATTTAATAAATTAAGTTAGGTATGTATTTGTTTTTGTTGGTACTTTTTTGTTTCGGTTTGATCAACGGACACGGGAAGAATGGAGCTGGGGGACAAAAGGGAGCAGGGCGAAGAGGTCTAATAAAGATGATGCTGCTACTGTTGTCGCTGGTGTTGCTTCTAAAAGTAGAACCAATCGGATCCTAACTTAGTTCTACTTCTTTGCTACCTGACTGTCCAAAACGGGTGTGATTGTCTTGCCTCCAAAGATCTGACCCCAACCGATCAAACTGTAAGAGAACAATTTATTTTATTCAATTATTTCAAATGAACTATACAGGGACTGCGTTTACTCACCGCCAATGGTTCTCCACACGTCTGCTGAGGGCAATCTTCTCGCCCTTCTCCGTGCACACAGGCGTCGTCAGCACAATCTTGGCCAAATCACCCTTGGTGGCCGAGATGCGACCGCCGGTGCTGAGGGATCCGATGTTAACCAAGAGGATTTCGTTCTTCTGCAGCTTCTCTACGCGCGCACCCTTCTTGTCGCCATCAGTGCGGACACCCAGCAGGCGACGCAGGAGGTAGTACGAGATTTCCAGCTCCTGATAGATGTCGGGCAGCTGGCCAACGGCGCCCAGCACCTGACCGACCAGACGATCGGCACGGCACAGCGTCGGATCGATCTTGGTGCCCACACCAATCAGACCACCGGGCACGGCGTACTGCAGCTCGTTCTGCTCGGCGAACAGCGAGACGATGCGCGAGAAGATGGGACGGCAGGTGATGTTGCCGTCGCTGTCCTTGGTCACGACGCCCGGTCGCACCTCGATCTCCTGGCCCACCTTCAGCACGCCGCTCAGGATGGAGCCGCCGGCCACGCCGCCCTTTAGATCTGCCACTTCGCAACCTGGCTTGTTGACGTCGAAGGATCGGATTACGATCAGACGGGGCGGGGCGTTGAAGTCGCGCGGTGGCACGGGGATCTTGTTTACAATGTACTCGCAGAGTACATCGATGTTGTACTTGAGCTGGGCCGAGATTGGGATGATCGGGGCGCCCTCAGCGACGGTGCCCTGGACGAATTTGGTGATCTCTTCGTACTGCTCCTTCGCCTGGCTTTCCTTGATCAGATCGATCTTGTTTTGCAAGATCAGAATCTGTTTTAGCTTCATGATCTCAATGGCAGCCAAATGCTCAGAGGTTTGCGGTTGTGGACAGGATTCATTGCCTGCACATGGGATAGATATTAGTTAGTAAGTCATTATTCGGAATGTATATATGTCAAATACCCACCAGCAATGAGCAGCAGGGCGGCGTCCATCACAGCGGCACCGTTCAACATGGTAGCCATAAGAATGTCGTGACCGGGGCAATCGACGAAGCTCACGTGTCGCACCAATCTGAAGTTACCGGAGCAGTTGAGTCGGGTGCAGGGCAAGCTGTCGTCCTTGCTCGAGGCGTCCGATACGAAGCTGGCCGGGCGCGGCACTTGGGGTTGTCGCACTTGTAGATTTTGGCATTGGCGTAACCTAAAAGCAAGGCGATAATAATTATACAGGACTAGGTTCTTTGACTCTTCTTCGCAAACATCTAACAATAACTCTGTGGTTTTCACACTCTCGAATCATCATACATTGTTTCTACAAAGAAAAATCATCTATGCTAAACTACATTTTCCTCTCCAAAACATAAGGCTTAAAAAAATAAATACATAGCATCATTCAATTATCATAAGTTATTTATTCTGAAATATTGATTTACACATAATACCGATTTTAGCACATTGTAAGGTGTTTGTCCAAACACTACTGTTAACTTAATTCCATAATAGAAAAATAAAAGGTATGTAATTACATGTACAAAGTATGCGGAATTTCTGTTTTATTCTCTAGTCGTATTTTGTCCAAACTTAATATAAATCCACAATTCGTCGATATTCGCATTTGGCAGTGCAAGAATAACAAATAAATAATTAAAATGCCATCAATTGATTGCTCATAATATAAAATCTGCGTACAGATGGCAAGCAAGCGCCAACTAGCAACAAATGTGTTGAAAAAAATATAATTCAATGCAATTTAAAGGATTTTTTGCCATAATAAGAAAAAATAATGGGTGCATCCGTTTAAAAAAGGACCTTTCGGCAATTGTCCGCTCCGCAGCGGCACTCAACACGCACAGCGGTCGAGAGGTTCTCGTAGGGCAAATCCTCGTTATCCGCGCGAATGTAGTCGAAGCTCAGCTCCTCGCCGGCCCTAATGGGACGCAGCGTGAAGAACACGAGGTGCGGCAGTGCCACATTTAAGTGCTCGATCCAGCAGGGGAACACGGCGAGATTTGGATCGCACGAGTGGTTGATAAAATGCGAGATATTGCCGTAGTTTGCCGCATCGATTGTGTACTCGCTCTCCTGAGCCGTGTTGTAGTCCAAGTCAAATAGATATGTCCTGCCCTTGTCGTCGTACGCCTTGCCGCGCTCATTGGCCTCGTCGCTGGTGATGATCTCCCCTATGTACTCGCACACAAATTCACCCTTTCGCAGGGCATTCGGGGTCTTCACACCCCAGCCGCTGCCGTTGCTCGTCTTGAACAGCACCAGCGGGAGCTGGCGTCCGTGTTGAACCAGGCGATTGGAGCAGGTCTCCTTGCATGAGCAGCGGCTATTGCACTCGAAGATGGCGCTTCCTGGACGCAGGCGCAAGCGCCGTGTGCTCCGCTCGTAGGCAAACAGCTCGCTGGCCATACGGGCACAGCACTTTGTGGAGGGAGCGCATTCCTCGACACCATCCTCGTCACTGCACTTGCAGCCCAGAATCCCCGCTTCCGGCTTGGGCACTCCCTCGCCGATTATGTTCTTCTGTATGTACATGAAATTGCTGTCTATGGTATCCAGATCCACGTTGTTCTCCACTCGTATTGGTGGCGACGGCTGCTCCACATTATTCATGCGCTCCTCAAACTTTGCGAGGTCAACCAGCTGCTTGCGCCGTGTAAATTGTGCCCGCTTGAGCTGCATGTTGCGCAGGGCTCGCTCTCCGATCTTCTGCGGCTCCTTCTGGCTACGACTGCTCGCAGCCTGGTACTGGGCCAGTAGAATGAGGTCAAGCTGCAGATTAAGCGGATCAAAGGCATCCACATCGGCCACCGTGATGTTCTCCATCAACGGCAAGGCCTCCAGCTGCCCCTCAAGTTCACTGGTTATCTTGGCAATGTATGTCTCGTAGAGCTGCTGATGCCGCTCCAAAAACTCCTCCATTTGGGCGCAGTCGGCCACGTTGGCAAGGCTTCCCAGGTGTTCTTGCTGGCGGAGTATCCCTGCCATTTGACAAAGAAGACAGGCTGATATTTTTCTACCTCCACGCACTCAATGCGTTCCACAATGTACTCGCCCTTGGGCGGCTTTTTGACCATCAGTCCCTGGTTGTTCTTGGACCGTTTAGCGTCGGGAGTCGGTGTGCTTGCACCGCAGCTGCGTCGTCGCTTCAGATTGGCGAATGCCTTGTGGATTTGAGATGCGGCCACGTCATGATCCTCGCAGCCGAAGACGCTGCCATAGCCGCTACTGTTGCTGGGACTCAGTGAGGTCTGGCTGCTGCTCCGCCGGCTGGTGCGTCTGTCCACGCTGGACGAAGAAGATGGCACGGAGAATGGAGCTGGCATCGTGCAGAGACGACGCAAACGGTTGTGGTGCCGCATTTCAGACAGGTGCCTTAGGATGGAACGTTGCTTGTGTTCATACTGCTGTCGCTGCTGCCTGGAGCTCATAAGTTTTTTGATTTTCTTTTCGCTTAAGCGTTCTGCAAATGACAATTTTGGACAATTTTGGATTGGAGTTGGGTGGGTTGTGTGGTTGTTTTTTTTTTGAGCGCATCGCAACCGAAGGAAACGAAAAAACCGGAGAAATGGGGAAAAAGAAGAAAAAGATTGGCAATTAATTAAATTGCTGGATTATCAGTCGAATCAATCAAATATCAAATTCAAGACTAAGCTAACAGAATGAGATTCTTAATACAAAATGTAGGACTGCTTTTTATCCAGCTTTGTAGATTACAGTATTCTATGGGAAATTTCTTTCTTTTAGTCTACTACTTAGGCGACGACACACCTTGACAGGCAAGGCAACGCGTGCTATAATCCAGCAATTTAAGTACACAAAATACACAGAAGTTAGAGTTACAGGAGACAAAGTCATTCGCAGAACGCTTTTTCAATGGTATTTCGATATAAAGCAGCGACAGAGTTGGCTACGCGGTGTGCCGTCGTCGGAACGGTGTTAATTAAGATTAAACTTAAGATTTAACAGGATTTGTGGGTTATCTTCGGCCAGCCGAGAAGGTGTACAAACAATCTTAGGGTACTACGGGTTTACAGGCGAGCAGGAAGGATCAACATACAGCTAACTTATATACTCGGAGTGGAAAGTACATCTTAGACTACAGCCTAGACTATCTAAGACGGATCCCGCACTCACCCAGCTTGATTGTGATGTTCCGCTCCAGCTCGTTCTTGAAACGCACAGTCTGCACACCGGAGATGGCCTTGACCACCGTGGATTTACCGTGGGCTACATGACCGATGGTACCAATGTTGATGGTGGCCTGGCGGGAGATGACCTCTGGCGAAAGAGGGGTGAGTTTGGTCACGTCCTGCAAATGCAAACCGATTAATCAAGTGTATCAAGGGGGAAAGTCGGAGTCTAAGTCTCTCGTTTACCACCGCCACGCCCCCCGACAAAACATCCCGCCTCAGCTGCATGTGTGTATATGGGAAAGCCGTGGATTTTGAGGTTAGAATGTCGCTTGAATTGCATCAGCTAAATGGATGACAACAGTCGGGCTGTTCTCGCTAAACTGAGCTGCTGGCCAGGCCCTAAATCTGGCCTGGGCACAAATTGAACCGAAGGCGAAGTCAAAACCCCGGGGAAAACCGAACAGTCCCTAAATGTAGCGCCACGTGCTGCATACGTTTTTCGGGTCACAACAAAAGGCTCTTGGCCCTGGCAAAACCCACTAGGGGCTGCTGGAAAACCGGCCTGGACCTCTTGAGGCCATCCGGACGCGTCCTGGCGTCACACTCCCCGCTGTTTTCCCGGGAAGCGGCTCCATAATGACGACGCGTACACTTTCACACACGGGCGGAGGTGAAAAAAAGGCGGCGTCGGGCGGTCCTCTTTTCGGGCTGCTTACCAAGTTGCTGAGGTCCTGCTTCTGCAAATTTTTGTTCACACCGTTTGGGCTTCAGCCGTGTGCTGTAGTTTTCGGAAACGATGCGAATACAAAATTATAAAATTAATTTTCAGCTACTACAGCTCGGCATCAAATCTCGATATCGAAGAATGTTAGCGCCCGATAGGCGGAGACAAATAACAAATGCTGTGATATCGATAGTTGGCGGTGTTGCAAAAGTGCCGAAAATGCCCTGTAATGCGGGGCAGTGCTGCAAAGCGGCGCCGGTGGTTTGGCAATCGATAGTATCGATAGTACTCTCATCTCTGTAGACCGCAAACGCAAGGTAAAAATCCGCTTCGCTTCTCTTCTGCTCAACTGTACCGCCGCTTTTTGGTCAAATATCTCGTAATTTACGACCGCACGTACACCGGAAAAGCGAGCAGAATGTCGAGCGTGCCAAAGCGAGCCAAGCTGACGGCGCCCCAGCCGATGGAAACACAACCGCAGCCGCCGGCAACAACGAGGAGGAGTCGGAGGCGCTGGAGCAGATTGATGCCTGCCAGAACGAGATCGACGCGCTGAACGAGAAGGCCAGCGAGGAGATCCTCAAGGTGGAGCAGAAGTACAACAAGCTGCGGAAGCCGTGTACGAGAAGCGCAGCGAACTGGTCAAGCGGATCCCCAACTTCTGGGTGACCTCGGTAGTCCACCGCGCGGCCATGATTGCCCGGTCCGCGTGTCTATCGGTTGGGTTCTGATGAAGCCCGTCGGCTCTATTTTGAGGGTCTGAAAATGTAATGGGTTCTGTGACCCAGCAGCAGCATACATGTAAAAAAATTTTCTCTATTCGAGGAATTTTTCTTGTTCATCTTGGGCTGCTATGCCTCCGCCGCCGGCTCCCCGCTCAATTACCCCAACCGCGAAAATCGTGTTATCGATAGACCCGTCTGGCGGGCCTCTTCGGGAAATACACAAATTTTCCCCAGTCCTTAACCAGAAATAATGAATGGGTTTTAAAAAACCTTTTAAATCTGCTTCCATATTATCGATTCCCCATGCTAATCCCAGCTACCATGTTGCAGTTTATCAACCACCCGCAAGTTTCCGGCATTCTGGACGAGGAGGAGGAGGAATGCCTGCACGCCCTCAACAAACTGGAGGTGGAGGAGTTCGAGGACATTAAATCGGGCTACCGCATCAACTTCCACTTCGACGAGAATCCTTACTTCGAGAACAAGTGCTCACCAAAGAGTTCCACTTGAATTCAGCGGGTAGGTCCGGCAGAAGATATCCTAAAGACTTGCTTATAAATGACTAAATTTCAGCTGCTTCAGAAAACGGCGACTGGCCCGCGTCCACCAGCACGCCCATCAAGTGGAAGGAGGGAAAGAACCTGCTCAAACTTCTGCTGACGAAGCCCTACGGCAACAAGAAGAAGCGCAACTCCGAGTACAAGACCTTCTTCGACTGGTTCTCGGATAACACCGATCCCGTCAACGATGAGATCGCAGAACTGATAAAGGACGACCTCTGGCCCAATCCACTGCAGTATTATCTGGTACCTGATATCGAGGTGGAGCCCGAGGATGAGGAGGACAACGAAGAAAACGAGGAGGAGGCATTCGATGATGAGGACGGTGAGGATGGGAGGGCGAGGAAGAAGACGAGGATGAAGGTATAAAATACAAACATACTAACAAGAGAAGTCCCTAACAGTCGAAACCCCTTTCAGATGACAAGTAAACTGAAATAGCGAGCATGTAATTTCAATTCGCTCCCAAGTGAAGACCCAAAGTGTTTCTAACCACTTGCAACTATAGTTTCCCGTGTGGTTATGCAACATTCACATATTCGCAACCATTTCAGACATATTTAGGTTTCTAATTAAGTAAAAAAAAAAGTCATACGTATTTCCATTGAAGAGCAAAAAAGAAAATGAGAATCACCATTTAAACAAATTTAAAACAAATAAAAAAGACGTGAATCGAATCTCAAACCGAGTCCTTTAAATTCCCGCCATCTCTTGTGAGTTGGCTTCTTTCTAAATCATTTTGAGACATTCAATTTGGGATATTTAAAACTAGATGAAAATGTTGAGCACTCATGACATCACTATTAAAAAAATGTAAACCTCAATTGTTTTGTTGGAAATTTGATATATTTAAGATGGTTGAATTATTTGTTTTTGGTAATTTTTCGTAGCTACATATAAATAAAAATTGAAACTAGCTATTTGAAATACATAAACTTATAAATCTAGCTATATTTTGTAGTCGATAGACATTTAAAGCAGCCCTGGCGCAGGTATCGAAAAATCCCGTAACTAATAACGTAACCCTGGTCACAGCTGCGATTTTTAGCTGAAAAATTCTCGGGATAAAAACGATGGCCTGTGTTAACAAATTGGCAATTTTGGTAGGTTTTAGTGAATAAATTAAGAAGATGGCGATTCTCCCTGTGCAAAGCCAAGCCACTTTGAGTGCTACACATATTATTAGAGCCAGGAAAACCTGCGGTCGCTTTTGTACAATTATCTAACGCGCTTTTCTTGGTTATGTAATTTTTGCCCACTAACCCACAAACGGAGGCAGTTTCTGTTTATTAAACCGAAGGACTCACAAGTGCTCTCTCTTTTGATAATCCCGCAGAGCCGCACCCTCAGCTCGGCTGCCGCCCAGGCGACGGTGAAGCCCCCAATTCAGGTGTTCGGCCTGGAGGGTCGCTATGCCACCGCCTTGTACTCGGCCGCCTCCAAGCTGAGCCAGTTGGACCAGGTTGAGAAGGACCTGACCGCCCTGCAGGCCACCATCCGCAGCGACAAGAAGCTGCGCGAGCATGTGACCAGCCCGATCATCAACAAGAAGGTCATGGCCACCGCTCTGAAGGAGGCAGCCGAGAAGCTGCGCTTCGCCCCGGCCACCGCCAACCTGCTGGGTCTGCTGGCCGACAACGGTCGTCTGAAGAGGCTGGACACTGTGATCAACGCCTACAAGACCATCATGGCCGCCCACCGCGGCGAGGTTGTCTGCGAGGTGGTCACCGCCAAGCCCCTGGATTCCTCCCAGAGCAAGCAGCTGGAGGGTGCCCTCAAGGTAGCTACTTCCGCTCGACCTCTTTGTTTCTTATCATTAATCATTGTTCTCTTCCTTTCAGTCCTTCCTGAAGGGCAACGAGTCCCTGAAGATCACCTCTCGTGTGGACCCAGCATCATTGGTGGCCTGATGTTTCCATTGGCGACAAATACGTCGACATGAGCATTGCCACTAAGGTCAAGCTCTACACCGATGTCATCCAGACCGCTGCCTAGACCCCTAAGGATTAGCTCTCGATTTAGATGGTTCAAACGGAACGTTTGGTATTGGAATTCAACGGTAATTGCGAATAAACCACTCTTAACCCTTGGAAAGCCAACGAAAGTCCTTTGGATACAAGTGCGACATTTTTTTTTTATTTGATGTTATTTTTTGGTCCCGTCTGTATGATTTGGTTTGTCTGTGCACTGCAGCTCTGCCACCTTGTGCTGGATGGTCTGCTGCAGCAGGTTGTGCTGCTGCAGCAGATTTTCCAGCTCCTTGATGCGAGCTCTTTGCATTTCCAGAACCTTGGTAAAGTTGTCCGCGGCCGGGCAATCGATCCAGTTGTTGACAAAATCATTCTGCTGTTCCTTACTACGACTGTGATTTGAATTTAGCTGAGCTTCACCCTGATTGTGAGCCCCGCCAGCTGTGTGTCCGATCCTCTGTGGCTTTGGCACATCCATCCATAGGACTTCTCGAGAACCAGGACGTTGGTCTCATTGTTAGACCGACAAACTCGATATTTCGGCTTGTCGATTTCCGGAAACACAGCGCGTTCGTTGGACTCCGTGAGATCTGATTCCTGCACGCAAATCTCTGGAGGTGGGGCCATAGGCGATGATTGGTCTGACAGCAGCAAGAATCATCGTAGTCGTTATTTCTGGTGCCATTCATAAGCAGCACGTTAATAGCATTTGAATTTCTTCGCTCGCTTCCGTTTGTGAAATTACTTGAATTAGTGGTATATCCGGCTGAAAAACCCGTGGCTGAACTGGTTGTTCGGTAGCTGAAGGAGGCAACCTGCTAGGTCGACCAACTGGTAAGGAACTCTGGGTCTGCGAGCCACCTTTGAGCATTGCACCTCCTGATCCTTTAAATGGCAGTTAATGCCAGTCTGGCAGTATTGGCTCTTTAGCACCGGCTCCGGCTTTTGCTTCCTGTTTTGCAAACTCATGGGAACCTTGGTGTTACGAATACTTCGCCATGTTTGCGATGCCAAGTGATTCAGAGAACTGGCTAGGCTGCGGAAATCTTCTCCTTGGGGCTTTAAGTCCTCCGACCATTGTTTCTTTAAAGCGGGACAAGTTGTAAGATCACATGTCTTTGGTTTTTGTGGACCAACCTTCGATGCATCCTTTTTTGAGGTTTCTTTATACTTTGTTGGCTTCCAGATGAATCCGGGTGGCTCTGGATTTGTTATTCCTTTGCGGTGGGAAGAATTGGATTTCGGGAGGAGCAGGGGTGCCCATGTTTCTCATTAGTTTACAGTTGGCGCAGACGCAACCTGTATTTCCACGAGGAGATTGATTTACCCTCGTTTTTAAATTGGGAGGAGCTTGTGGATTTGCGAAATTGACCCATTTGGGTGAATCCATAGGGATTACCCGGCAGCATGTTGTTGCAGGCATTTTTAAAATGGCAGCAACCATTTTTGAATCTGTTTCCGGTGCTGATCTCCTGCTTATCCGAATTAAGACTCCGTTTGCTTTGGTTGGGCATCTCCTCAACGGCCACGCTGTAGGTGGTATATCCTCTGCCAGATGCCGATCCCGAAGAGCTCCACTGACGCCGGATTCTGCAGGCCGGCAGGATTCCTTGCCTGCAGCTGGGGAGCGGCTCCCTTGGCGGTTGCCATGGGACTTGCGCCCTCAGCAGCTCCAGCAGAGCTCTCCGAGCCAGTGCTGGAACCTCGTGGTCCGCATCCAGGTGGGAAGAGCAAACGCATCCGTGCCGCCACAGGATTCGGTGTCCACGTCAAAGCTGCTGAGGTTGGCCAGATTCTGCCAACGCGAGCCTCCGACATGTTGCGCGGGTAGACACAGTGGTCGCCCGGCTCCTGACCACAGATTATACAACGACGATGCATTTTCTAACGAACAACCAGGACAGAAACGGTCAAATTTTGAATTTGGAATCCAGGAGCATTTACAAAGTCGATAACAGTTATCGGAATGGGCCCTATCTGCACTTTTTAAGCTGCACAAATAAAACGCCAAAAGCGCTTCTCTGCGAATAAACGGGAGGCTGAATATACCAGAATTCATTTGGTTTCTTTTTTACGAGGCGTTTCGGTATTCTGCACAAAAAGCGCGGCGATTGTTTGGTCTGTTTAGTTTAAAAATAGTAAATGCAACGAACTTTAGTGTTTTACCGCCCCACTCTTGATGACAAGACCTGACAGCTGGAGCAATGAGCTTGGTAAACGACATGCAAATCACCCCGAGCCCCAATTTGGGTGCCACGAGTCGTGGCGACCTGGAAAAGGTTCTGGCCATGCTCGTCCTGGGACTGGGGAGCCTTTTGTCCGGAATGCTCCCGCCTGTATTTCGGAAAGAATCGTCGCCGTTTTCCGCTGACCACATCGCTGCTCCTTTGCTTCGGAGCAGGCATTCTGCTGGCCACCGCACTGGTTCACATTCTGCCGAGGTGAGTCATCGATTGCGATCATGAGTCGGTGCAATTTGATAACCTGTTAACCGACACTGCAACAGGTGCGCGAGCAAATGGACTCGAAATTCGCCGAGGTGGCCATGTGCGGCGGCTTCTTCATCATCTACTTCATCGACGAGTTCATACACTACTTTTTGGCGAGGCCATCCAGCACACGCACTCCCAGGCCAGAAGCTCAGCCTGTGAGCGACCTAACAATGGCAATGGATCTGGCTACGGCGCAGTGGGTGAGCGGGCGCCTCTTTTATCAGCGGAGCCTTCGTCACACAGTCATTCGCACCACCACAATGACCAGTAGGTTGAATGCATTGCTTCCCTACCCGCACCGCAATTAATTGCTTTGTATTTCGATCGAGCAGCGATCATGACCACGATCACCCGTACAGCGCATCCGGCTGCGATGAGGCCAGTGTCGAGGACGCCAACGCCCGCATCTGCCACACCAGTCACACGGAACCCTGCGCCCAGTCCATGACCGGCACCCTGGGCCTCTTTGTGGCCCTGTCCCTGCACTCGGCCATCGAAGGACTGGCCATCGGAGTCCAGAACTCGTCCCACCAAAGGTCGGTGCCGACTGCCTTGACATACATAGTTAGAGTAGATCAGAGCATAGTGCGCATCTTGGGCAAATATTGAAGCAGAGAAACGAGCTGGCTTAGTCTGTTTAGATAACCGAAATTTGCTTTGTCTCGTTTTAGGTTCTATTTCTTCTGGGGCCGTCGCCTGCCACAAGTTCGTGATGGGGTTTGTCTGGGACTCGAGTTCCGCTCGAATCCACAGACAAGTTTTCGCGCCCAACTCGTTGGCATCTCGGTGTTTGCTCTGGGAGCCGTTATTGGCATTGGCCTGGGCATGCTTATCGTGGATGTGCCCTCCGCCTGGTCCAGCAAAACTCTGCCCATCGTTCAGGCTCTGGCGGGAGGCACACTCTTCTACGTCACTGTCTGCGAAGTCATCCGCGAGAGAAGGCGCGCTGGCACTCGAATAGCACACGACGCTGGGCGGGATTTGCTCAGTTCGCAACTGTGGCCGCCGGCTTTGTCACGATGTGCATCATAAATTTTTATCTGTCTGGTGCGTGCATAGTGCTTGCTAGTTTTCTTCCATGCCCATGCTGACCTATTTCTTTCACCCCCTTTTCAGATGAGTAATAGGAATCTGGCCTACGGAATCTTCTTGCGCTGTGACTTAATGTGCCGCTTTTTAACGTTAATAGAAATATGATAATTTATGCATTGGCAGCTGTTAGTTTTTTATGTAAGACCCCTCTGTTATGTGCATTCCAAATGAATCTTTAATAGCCATATTATAAGTTAGAAAATTCAAAGCACAAAGCGTCTTTTCGTCTACATTTATATTTTTCTTCCTCCAAGTATTTGTTATTTTTGTATGCTTTTATTATATATAATTAACCTTACACTTAAGTTGGTAATCAAAAAAAAGGGTGTCCTTTTTTGTATTTGATTAATATTACTAAACCAATCATAAAACGTCAATCATTTTACTTATTTATCTGGGAACATCCTGCCTTCTGTTTTAAACCAATTAAAACAACATCTATGTAACTACATCTCTATATGTATGGTTGCTCTATTGGTGGTGTATGTGTGAAGAAACGGACACTCATAAATAGCTAAAATGTTGGATTGTTTGGTCTCTGATCTCTCATTTAAGGGGACTCCTTTGAGTTTTACATTTTCCGTGCTAGCACGCAACATAGATGGGATGGGAGGGGATTTACAATTACGTGGGACGTGTAGATTAGATCTTATACACTTAAACCTGTGCATATGTGTATCTTATCATCCACTGCGATCTTCGTTAACAATTTAATTTACAATAGAAACCGAAAATTCTTTGCGAACTCAGATGCTAGTATCTGCTGATCTGCTGTGAATCGCCGAACTTAGAACATAAATAAATCTAGTAATTATAGCTCCTCCTTCGCCGCCGCACTGACCCCATTCTCATCCTCGTCCTCATCATCATCCCCCATTCACTAATGAGACTCTTCACCTTTCCACACTGGCTGCTTCACCAGACGTCGTTCCCTCGGCAGCTTTCGCAATTTCTGTGGTCCCTTTTCTGCTGCGTCACCACTCTTGTTTGGTTTGTCCTCCGCGGTTTCCTTTTTGTCTGTCGTTCTTGCATCATCATTATTCTTGGCTGGCTTTTCCGCTTCTGGGTCATCAACCTCCATTTGGTCGGTGGACAGTTGGGTGGCTGGCACCAGGTCATCTTCTTCCGTCACTGCACTGTCTAAGGCTGGAGCTAATGCCTCTGTCGTAGCATTCTCCTCAGGTTGAACCACGCTCTTCTCCTGATTAGGCTTCTCGGCCTCGGCAATCAATTCATCTAGGAGCTCTTTGCGGATGTTATCGGCCTCTAGATGCACATCATCGTCGATCTCAGCAGGAGCGACCGCTTCGCTCAATTCCACTCCGGGCTCGGCGTCCGCGATAGGCGCATCTTCTTTGATAAATTCCTCCTCATCGTTTTCAACCCATCCTCTTTCTTGATCTCGACAACTGACTTTGGAGCCTTCTCGTCCGCCTTTCCGAATCTACGTCCATTTTATCGGGCTGATTATTCATATAGCAGCCGGAACAACTGCATCTTCTGCACTGGTGACATACTCCTCACCGGTTTTTTCTACAGCTTGATCTTCAGGTCCCTTGTGCAGAGACTCGAGAGCCAAGTCAATGTCGTCTTCTTCCTCCTCGTGAGCTGTTGACTCCGAGTGCTTGGTGCTAGTTCGGAAGCAAGCTCTGTGGTGGCGGGCTTGTCATCGGCATCGTCATCGTTCTCATCCTCGGTCCAGTCGCCGGTTAGCTCCTTAAGTTTTTCACTGATGTCATCGCGTGACTTTTCCAATTTGGGCTAAAAGGGACACATGTGTTATAGAAAACCGCGTGTTAAATGTTTGATAACGAACTCACCTCCTTGTTGCTCTGCTCCTCGGACTCTGCAATAAGGTTTTCAGCCCATTCCAGGTTATCCATGGACTCTTTGCTCTCATCAGCAACGTTCTTCTTGGTGCTCTCTCCAGAGTCACTGGCAGCCAGCTCACTGTAGATTTGGCTGTCATCATACTCCTCTTCGGTGCCGGCCAGGGATTTCTCGTCGGTCTCCTGCTTCGCGTGTTCCGCTTCCGGCTCACTAGCACCATAACCACCCCACCGGCGGCGGCGCCTGCTTGCTGCTGGTTGAGCTGTGAAAGGATCTCCTTGCGCTGTTCGTCCGTCAGCTCCACTTCATTGCCATCGGCACCAACAAACTTCACCTCCTGCTGCACCTGCTCTACCTCCTCCTCCTGCAGTTGCTCCTGCTGAGCATGCTGCACTGCGATGGCACTAGTGGCTGGCAGACTGATGTCCGAAAGGATTCGCACTTTGCCAGTCTGCTCCGGTTCCTGCTCTTCCTCGCCTTCGGCCTCTTCATCCTCCTCATCTTGCGAGCCGAGGAACTCCTCGTCCGTTTCATCGATGATTCCGTCCTCCAGGGCCTGCTCCTTGTGGTAGCTCTTCATGTGCCTGTACAGCTGTAGCTCTTGCTCGAATACCTTGTTGCAGTATATGCACTGCTGCTTGTTGTCGTCCGTGTGCGCCTCGTTGATGTGCGACTCCAACTCGCCCTTGGTCAGATACGACTGGTTGCACAGGGCGCACTCGGCAAAGTATATAGCAGCGACTTGACCTGGTGCTCCATATACATGTGGTAATGCAGTTCTCGGTTGTTGCCCGAACGCCAGCCGCAATGCTCGCATAGCGCCGGATCAATGGCCTCTTTGTGCGTGTTGATCAAATGGCGTCGGAAGCCTCGGTACGACGGAATGCTGATGGGACGTCCATTTACGCCGCACCGCAGGCACAGCCAGGGTCCTTAAACAAACAGTATAATTACTTTCGAGCGACATGCTAAAAAAAATTTTTACTTACCAGTGGTGTTCTCGGCTCCTTGGGCAATCAAGGCATGCATTGTCTTGCTGTCAATTCTCCTCTTCTGGGCTGCGGCGGCATTTGCCGGTGGGTTCGCAACAGATGCCTGGGAGGCGGTAGACTGCGTGGTTCCAGTCTTTTGCTGAGAAGTTGCAGCCTTTTGCTGAGAGGTGATTAATGGCGCGTTCTTATCAGCCTTAAAAGATACATGCAATTTCTTGTGTGGCGACGTGGAGGCGGATGACTGAGTCGCTGGTGCTGGCTTCACTGCCGCCGGTGCAGATTTCTCTGCGGGAGGTGTGTTGGGCATTATTTTCAGCTTAATGTTCTTGTGGCCCTTCACAATGTGCGGGTACTGGCGCAGCACTTCGGCAATGATCTTGGTGTGGTTCAGCTTGGCGTTGGAGGAATCCTTGACAATTATCGTGGGCGTCTGGCTCGGGAAATCCTGCTTCAGAATAATTGTGGTGGATCCGTGCTCCAGCTGGGTCTGTGTACCCTTTGGCGACTGCTGCTTGGACGTAGACGGCTGCGGTGGCACATCGTCGTCATCATCGTCCCCAGCGTGGACATCATCATACAGCATTCCTCCATCGTACTCCGGATCGTGATCTCCGTATTCCGCGGCTATTTGCTTCCGCATACGCTGTTGCTCTGCAAACTCCTTGACCTCCTCCAAACTCGGCTTCTTCGAGGGCGGCGACAGCAGGCTGGTCTGTGCCGGCCTCTTGTTGTTGTTATAGCCCTTGCGAAGCTGTTCGAATGGAGAAGTTGGTTCCTGCTTGATACTTGTGGTCTCCGTATACTGTGTGCGATTTGTGCCAGTGGGTCCACGCTGTGTGCTGGCTCGCTGAATGGTGGGTGTGGCCACATTCCGGGACTGCGTTGAAGGACCCAGGACACGCTGCTGGGGAAGACCTGAACTGGGTTGTCCAACTGTACGCCGGCGAATGCCCTTCGGACTAGGCGGCTAAAAGGAGTAAGTAAATTATATAAAAGTTAAGCGAGGGATGAATGCATTTACTAACCCTCTGCTGCCGGTTGACGTTCTCCATGGTGCGTCGATGCGCCTCGAGGAGCTTGAGCAGCACCGTCATGTTCATCTCCTTCGCGGTTCGCAACAGCTTGCCGTACATTTTGAGTTCGAACTCCAGGGTGCCCGTGTACATAAAGTTGACAATGGGCACCACCACGTCCGCCTGGAACTCGTTGGGCATGATGAGGGCATCGTCGACGATCTCGCAGGTCTGCTCCAGCACATTAAAGTAATCGGTGCAAGCACTGAGCACCAATCGGTGCACCTTCAGCTGTGAGTTGTCCCGGAACTGAAGCGTCAAATCGCAGTAGTCCGTCTTGTTGAAGAAGTTCTGCAGTTTCTGCAGGAAGAAGACGCCCCAGTTGTCCACCTTGACGGACTTGACTTCGCCCATCTTGCCGTTGCTGCTGTGTCCCGTTTCCGTGTTCGCCGTATCCGTTTCCGTATCTATCCTTATCGTTAGCCTCCCCGTGGTTTCGCTTGCTCTGGCTTCAGGGCGCAACTGTACTCCGGCAAGGGGCAAGGAGGTGTCGGGATGGGCGTATTGGGATGGGCCGCAGGTCAAAGGAGAACCCAAGAAAAAAGCAACACAGAAACAATTAGTAAAGGGGAATTTCTCGAGGTTATTTTTAAAGGGACGCCACTGGGTTTTCGGTTATTCGCTTTATTTTGCCCTGCCGCCACGGCGCGAAATGCAACTCGCAAAAATATCGATATACGGATGTGTACGTGTGCCCGCCTATATATATGTGTGTGTGTTTGTGCGCGTCGCCAGGCTTTCTTTTATTATTATTTGATAATTGATAATTGTCTGTTAGCCCGTCATTTAATGTTTTTGCTCAAAGTGCATTACGCATCTTTCGGTTGGTGGCATTTATTTGAGCCCTTTTGGCGCGCCTGTCCACTTCACACAACAATGGGTTTTTGGGGCACACACATTTCACTTTGACCCCGGCTGCTTTTAATCAATAACCGTTGGATTGAATGCACATTATTTTGTTGCGCAGCAGGCCTTTGCACTTTTAATACATACATTTCTTCGTATTGCACACTACTTTTGCCGGACAAATTCTAATTTTTTTCCAGAGTCAGGTCGCCATATTCTTTTCCATTCATCGTTGGCGTGACAGGGTTGCAGGCGGCGCTTATCGATAGGCATGCGATAACTTCACTTGCAGACATATCGTTGTTGAGGTGACGCAGGAGTAGAAACCGTTAAACTGGTATTTTAAATGCATTTTGTGACGTATGTAGTGTTGCTTACGGCATTTTAAACCTTTTTAATTTAATGGCAGACTTAAAAAGATTTTTGCATAAAAAAAACCTTAAGAACTGTTTTTAACAATATAGTTTTTTACTTTACATATATTTTACCAATATTTGTTTAGTAATCGGGGAAAATGTGACGTCACACAGTTTCGCCGCACCACCTTACTTTGCAGTCAAAATAAAGACCACGAGAACTGCACTTGGTTCGGATTAGATTCTGTTTTCAAACCTTTATCAAAACAGAATGACTGGCCGGAGCCGGGGAAAGGGAAAGAGAGGTGGAGGACCCTACCGCAATGTCAAGGCAAATCACAACTGCGCCCGCAGCTTTGCCCAGCAGGAGAACGAACTGGCCACCAGCAGCGAAAGCGACAGCTCGGATTCTGACTCCTCGGGGGCGGGAGCCAAGGACGATCTCGGCCAGCCGCCGGAGTTCTCGGTGGCCATGTGGGACCTCAACCACTGCGATCCAAAGAAGTGCTCCGGCAGGAAACTGGCTCGCCTGGGACTGATTTCCAATCTCCGGTTGGGTCAGAAGTTTCCCGGCCTCGTCCTCTCGCCAGTGGGCTCGTTGTGCGTCAGTCCGCTGGACCGGGAGGTGGTGGCCTCCTCGGGCGTGGCCGTTATCGACTGCTCATGGGCCAAGCTGGACGAGACACCCTTCGGCCGGATGCGCAGCCCACATCCGCGTCTTTGCCCTTCCTGGTGGCCGCGAATCCCATAACTATGGCAAACCCTGCAAGCTCAGCTGCGTGGAGGCCATTGCCGCCACTCTGTACATCTGCGGATACACGGAGGAGGCCCGCTGGTTTCTGGGAAAGTTTCCTGGGGTCACGCTTCCTGGAGCTGAACGATAAGCTCTCATCGCGTATGCCGCCTGCAAGAGCAGCGATGAGATGTCAAGGTGCAGAACGAGTACCTGGAGCAGGAGCAGAAGGAGCGGGATAAACCCAGGGATTTGCGTGACTTTTATCCCACCAGCAGCAGCAGCAGTAGCGAGTCGGCCAGCGAGGACGATGATGAAGGGGCGGAAGCGAAGCCGAAGAACTAATTTTTACAAGGTGCTGACGTTTTATTAGCATTATTACCATTAGCTTATTACAAATCATTTTACTTGTGTTTTAATTTACAAACCAGTTGTTAGAAGCAACTAACGAATTATTGCAAACTGTTTGGATGAAATATTTACTTCAAGTCAAGGAGAGATGATTGCTTACTGTGCATTTCGCACGTATTCGGGGTCCACGTTGATGAAGTTGCTCATGCTGAAGAACATTGCGCTGTTCTTCACCAGGAACTTGAGGAAATCCTGCAGGTGCACGAGCAGATTCTGCATGGACTGCTGGTCCAACGCCGAGTAGCTGAGCATGGAGCCCAGCCGCACGAACAGGCGCAGCAGGTGAAAGGATCCGTACAGTTCAGACAGCGGTGTGTCCGGATGTTTCTGCATTACATCCGCATACTGAGTGCGTTCAAATTTGTACAGCAACTGGGAGCCGAGCATTACGTTGAAGTACTCCACAATGCCATCGAGTACATCGTTAATGGCCACCTCCTTGCTGGCGCTGGTCGACTTGACGGACTTCTTGTGCGCCAAATACTGCTCGGAGATCTGCTGCACGGTTATTTTGGCCGGCAGCTCTAGCAGCTTGTGTTCCCGAACTACAGCATACCAGTCGTCGGTGAGGTAGTGTTTCAGTTCGTCAGGTATCTTGATCTTGACCTCCAGCTTGGCGGCGTAGGCCTCCTCGCTTTCCACACAAGGTGCGGGCTCTGTTGTGGGTGTAGATGGGGTGGTGGGAGGCGCAGTTGTCTTGTCTGCCACATCGCTTCCTGTTAGTGAAGGCCGCTGCTCGCTCATCCGTTTCTTCTTCGGAGCCACCGGCGTGACAGCTTCGTCCTCTGTGGTCTCAGCAGCTGTGGTATCCTCCTTTTTCTCACTTGGAGTGCCTGGTCGTGCCGTGGCCGCCGCCGACTGTGTGGACTTGCGGTTGGCACGGCTGGTCGTGGTGGTGCTGGTGCTGTTGGTCGTGGTGCTGCTCGTGCTTCCGGCATCCGATTTGTTGCCCAGACCCGCACTGGTCGTCGGTATGCTGCTGGCGGTCGATTGCGAGGTGTTACTGTCCTTAGAGGGCGTCGAGGCACGAGATTCGTTGCGCATCTGCTCCATCTTCTTGGCCTTGGCGCTGCCTGTGAAGCAAAGGGTTTAGTGGTTGGCTCCTGGATCTGCATCTGCACCTGGGACCCACCTTTCTTGTTGTCCTTCTTGGAGCGCTCGCCACACTGGCGCGCCAGTTCCTGTCGGCGCTTGACGTTGTCATCGTTGTACTTTAGGACTCGGCTCTCGGGCACCCACTCGTCCCAGCTGAAAATGAGATGGGATACTTGCAAATCGGTTTCATTGCTAGTGGATTTGCATACTTTTTGCTCCAGCCGGCTAGTGGATGTAGTACTCAACCGGCGTCGCATCGGGCTTTGTTTTTAGAACCTTAGCCTCGTAGATGAGCGGTCCGTGGAAGCACAGAACCCGTTCCCCTGCGGAAGTCGCCAATATATGTAGGGAAACTTATGATTGGGCTGAAGATCTCGGCTTACCATCCGCAAACAGTGTGTTTGCATCGTTCCCCGTGCTATAGTTTTCCACTTTAGCGGGTTTAACTTCTCCCATTTTATTTTGTTGCAATTGGCAAAATATAAAATATTAGTGTGACCATGGGACACGCAAGGCCTATCGGCTCGTGAAAATATCGAAATTTGTCGATAAATTACAGGGTATTGTTTTGTTTTGTTATATTTGAACAATATTTATTATTATGGCTATTTACAACAAACAGTCTGCATTTAACAGGTGGATTATGTCAGGAAACATAATGTTAGTGTTTCGCCGCCGAGGGCTGATTCTCTTCTTCCCAGGGACGAGGACCACGCTTGTTTCCCATTTTCTATGTCCACGGACTTGACTTTGTCGTACTCCGACTCCAGCGTCACCTCCTGGCGGTCCTTCATGCTCACGCCGTACTTCTTCATCTCCTCCGGCGTCACCGGCTGCTTCTTGGCGTACTGATACCTGGAGAGGTTGGAGGAACCCATGAGTTTGATAAGGCCTTCCCGGTGTTTTCTGAATGTGCCTACCTGAGGTTCGAGAACTGCTGCAGTCCGAAGGAGCCGGCCACCATCATGATGAGGAAGGGTATGCCATATTTAAACGATTTCCGTTTGCTATAATAGTTTAATTTATCACGATCGACATGTTGTTTGTTATGACATTACAAATAAAATAGTTAAAAGTTAAGTGTGACCAGAAGGTGAAAATCCTTGCTTTAGGTTTGGCGGGAAATTTGAACAGCCACTTTATCAAAAAGATGCAAACAAGAAGCTTTAATTAAAAAAAAATAATGGTAAAACCTTTGATATATACTTAGAAAAAAGTGTGTGTAAAGTTTTTTTATTAAAAATATATTTTTGAAAATTTTAAGGTCATTTGGCACGTTTAGCAGATTTCTTTTTTTATGTGTTAAACTATAAACATTAAATGCTCACTGCAGTTGTTGCCGTCTATTAAAATAGTTGCCCTTGAATCGAAATCAAAAGATTTGTGGTCCCTGCCAAATTTCTAAAAATTTCTAAGCAACAATTGTTTTCCGGCGCACGCCTACTGGCCATCATTTGCATGAGGCTTGGCGATAAGTTCAAGGTTCCCGACGTCTCTTGGCTTCTCAAATAATTGACACTGACAATGTAGAAGAGTGCCAAAACGCTGTTCACATGCACACGACATCCGATCCGGTTCACCTTGGCCAATTGCAGGCTTTGGCAAGGCAAGTAGCTCGCAGCGAAGATTTCCTTTTGCTGCCCACAGCTCCAACCAGTTCGCGATCGCTTCATTTTCATTCGCAAGGAGCCGGCGCCAATTGAGTCATAGGAGGCCCCGAGACTGGGCTAGTCCCACACACACCCCTAACACTTCCCCCCACAGATTGTATTTCATTTTCCGATGCACCCTACTCGCGGCCGATCAAAGATCTTTCGATTGACTGATTTGAGAAGGAAGGAAAAATTAAAAATATATCATAACATCATTTCGATGTTTTTCCTAAATATACGATCTATATTATCTTTATTTAAATCAGATCAGTCAACCAGCGATATTTACTAATTTGATAAGAAAGAAAAGAATACTTTATAATATTATATCATTATAAAGTTCTGTGTTATATATTCAAGCGAATTAAAGACCACAAGGGACCATTTTTTATAAGAAGTTATTAAACAAGTTTAACCCTAATTAAATTCAAAGAATCTAAGACTATAGATTCTATAGATCTCCATTTCACATCATTTCAATTTTAAAATGAAAATTCTTAACAAACTTGTTTTATTTTCTGTGTAGCCTTTCGTCTGACTGATCTGCTCCGACTTAACCAAGTCGTCTATGCCCCGCAGTCCGGATTGCACTTTTCCATGCTATTTTCGCCAAATATGGTCTTGATTTTTCTAACAAGATTGCGCACTTGTCTGAGCTACACACTCATGAACTTATTTAATTCTCGTATATTTTGGAATTATGAAAACTTTGGTTTTCCATAACTAACACATGTCAACAGATCCGATCCAATGGCCATGATTTCGTTTTCGTATTTAGCAAGTTGCTCATACTGTTTCGTTGTTTTACACTGTATTTTTTCAGCGTTTTCTCAAGGGTCTTTCCCAGGCCTATACCCATATCTTCTCCACCCTAGCTATATGCTTGTGAATATAAAAATATATTGATCTAGTTTATTTTTTTTAAACTTTTTGTTTTGAATGAAAACAATTACGTCATTCTGTGGGTGTTGCTTTGATTTAATTTTAAACTTTTCAACAGCTTTGGGGTGCCAAAAAATGTTTTCCAAAAACAAAAAACAACAAAAATCCTAAAAAGTAAATACGTATGCTGATATCAAATTGGCTTATATTTATAGGTGCCTTTGGTTGCAGTCGTATGTGATCTCCTATATATATAATCATTAATAAATCTCTCATGATAAAAATTATAAAAGCTTCTTTAAAATGGTCTATGGTAAAAAAAAGATTATTCCACCTTAAATTAATATCAATAAAAATCTGTGATCATATGAACTGATCATGCCCAGTAAAACCTAATCTCTTAAATAAATATGATCAATAAGCGTGATGAAGAGGCAAAAAGCTATCTTGAGGGCAAAGATATGACCAGATCGTAACTGCAATGAGCTTGAGGAAATTGAATTTAAGCCATTTTCACGTTTTGCATTTAAAAAGGTATGAATCATGGAGGCCTTTTCTTCCGAGACAGTTGCAACAAGCGTATACCTTCATATGTGACATTAATGATTGCCACAAAATGTTTCCCGTTCGCAAAACATGACGTTAAAAAATCTACGGGAATCGCTTGAAATATATAGAACAAAAATAATAATTCGTAGACCTATGGTGGAAATATACGTGAAACAAGATTTTTTGGCATATCAATAACTGAAAATTAAAAATAGAAGTCGAGAACATCAAAAAGCAAAACAAAAAGATCCACAAACCCATACACTCTCATTTGGGAAAGAGAAATGATTGCCTAAGTATTGGATACATTTTGCAATGGCCAAAATACTGGGCCAGCAAAGCTTTTCGAAATACGGGGAAATTTTCAAAAATAGGCAGATCAAAACTGTTTGATTCCAAATGCCCGAGCACTAATACATCCGCAGTGAACAGGTGAAAGCACCAAAAGAAAGGATCGGGAAAGAGAGGCAGAGAGCGAAGAGAAAGGCGCAGGCGCCGGCTGTCATTGTGTGGGATTAAATGGGTAGATGTATTGGATATTCTGATATGATGCTTTCGGTTACACTGGAAGAAATAGAATAAAATCCAATTTGTATTAACAACTTTCAGCACTATTCACATCTAGGGCGCTAATTTATAGTCTTATATTTTTTATCAGCCACCGCACAGTTTTATAAACTACAGTTTTATAATAAATAATTTAATTGCAAAGTTTAATCAGATCTTATTTTCATATCGCAAATCAAATGTCCATAAAATTTTATTACATTTAATATTTTTTTATATAGTGGTTTTTTCTTGTTCAATATAAATATTTTTGTAGAAAAACTTAGACCTTCCTTATGTATAAAAGGAAAGCACTACCCAATGATGAATGAAAATGTTACAATGGATTTGTTTTGTACATTGCTCTAAATTTCTAATAAGAAACTGGAATTAAATTCTCATAAAATATTGGAATAAATTGTGATAAATTTATACTAGATATTTTATTTCCATCAATCTATTAATATTATTATATTTTTATTAAAAAACATTATAATTTCTAAATAAGATGCTTTGCTAACTGAAAAGGGAACTGGTTATTAGTGATTTCTTTTCTAAATATACAGTCAACTAAACAAAATGTGAGTTACGACTTTTCGCGCAGTGTATAAGCTCACGTATAATATAATCGCACAATTGGCCGATTCTCTGGGCGTAAATTGAGAGCCAAGTGCAGTGCAGTTCCAAAAAAACGCAAGCAGCAACAACACTTCGCCTCACTTTTGGCCGAAAAGCGTGAGCACGCGCACACAGATACTCACCCACACCGGCGCAATCGTGAGGCGGCTCACACGGACACACACCAGCGCAGACCGCTCGAAATCGACCAAGCGGCGAGCATCGAACGTCAACATATTGAATAAATATTTTCAGTTGAACATCACAATCCGTTCAAGTCGCGGATAACTCCGAATAAAAGTTTTGTAAGTAAAAAAAGGAATACGTTAACGTTAATTATCAAAAAAATAATATAAAATATATCAACGAATTTTTAAACAAAAAACCTGTTGAGTGATTAAAATAATTAATTTTAATTGGAAAAAAAGATCAAATCAACTGAAAAATACAATTATATAACCAAAAGTTTCTGCAAATCCAACTTGAAATCAACCAAAGTGCTGTGCAATACTAAACCTTAAACCATCGCAAGTATTTTAGAATATTTAAAATATTTTCAGTCAGAATAAAAAACCCAAATAGAGGTTAAGCACCTTTGCAGTTCGAGAAGAACTAAGAATAACTATTTCGAGACCTTGTCAAGTTTGTCTGCTAACCGCAAGTCGCTATATAGGGTTTCTGCTAAACGCATTCATGAGATCTATAAACATTGTTAGTGGGCAGTTGGATGATCTTCAATTCTAAAAGCATGGGTGGAGAATTTAATTAGGAAGAATAAGTGGTTTGCATTTCCATACTTTCTTCCAAGTTCTTTACCCTTTTTTCCTTTTGAAGAATTGCTATGAGAAAAAATGATAAGATAAAGATAAGAATGATAAAGAAGATACTTAAAGATTTCTGTTTGGGGTTTAGTTAGGAGATTTTTTAATGAACTTATGTTTTCTCTAACTAAACCAAGTGATAGTGGTAGAATATTTTTAGAACACCCAACTTTTTTTATATTCCCACCACATATAACTTGGAACCACGAGCATTTATTTTGTATCTGTGAAATCCGATACACGACCGCTGGCCTCAGATGCCAAATGGATCTGCAGCGAACGTAGGCGAAATCCACCAAGAATTTCCCAGAAAGCTCCCTTCGCTCGGCACTTCTCTATTTAGTATTAAGTAATATCCGTGGGGAGGCAAGATATTCAACAGATGCCTCAGTTGTCCTATTTTTAGATACTTTCTGTGTGTGCTAAGCTAGAGAGATAAAACACTGAAATAGAGAGCAGAAAGCTTCGACTATTGCCCAAGGCATTTAGCTAAAGAATCTATATGTGTTAGACCCATTTAAACAAACGTGTGTATATTGGGATCTATTAATAGATATTTCTGTATTCTGTATAACGAAAATCTGAATTTTCCATTGGATAATTTGGAAATTTCCTGTGGAAAAGTACAATAAGGGGTCAGATACCAATTCTGAGTGCGAGTTAATAAATGTGCGTAGGATGAAATGTTGGTCTAGATTTTTTATCTTGATGAAAACTGATATGTTATTGTTTTGCTTTAAGACCAGGAAAACTTCCAACTTATAATAACAATTTTTATCACAATGATAATAATGTATGGAACCTTTATTTAGCTTTAATTCTTTGGTATAGACCCATATTTGATTATATGTATGTCATTGCCGAAAGTTATAAGATGTCATGCGAATTTTTGTGCTGAATCAACGCAAACATAACTCAATGTGTCACCTCAATCGACTTATAGCCCATACACATGCAGATATACTTATATATGTTTCAGCGAACAAAAAATTTGCCTCGATTGCGATTTCATTAAAATTCAACTTTTTTGGATTTTCGATTGGTCGCTGTTTTGCATTGCCACTGCTTTTGCTGCGGATCAGGCTCAGGAATGTAAACAGAGTTTTTAAAAATAAATGCATGTTTAAGGCGGGAGAACAGCAAATGACAGCGATGAGCCGTAATAAAGAATTAAAATTTCACGAGGCGAAACTCGAGTCAATTAGCCGGCGGTTGCATTCGATTCGAGCCATGACAAATGTTGGTCAAGTGGGTTTTGGTGTTGGTAGGAGGAGGGAGCAGGGGGAAAGGGTCTTAAGGAGGGGCCAAACCCTCCAGCTGCGTTAACACTGAGTCAGAAGTCTGGATCGTCTTGGGAAAGAGGAAAAAATAGGGCACAGCAGCTGGGTAGATGATTCATGGTGGGGTTCTTAATTAAAAGATAAAAACGAATCTCGAGAATAAATCAAAAGTTTCGATAAAGTATAATACTAGCTGTACAGTTAGTATTTTAAATATAAGTAATATTAGATTTAAAAAATAAGACACAAATTTGTTCTAAAATCCAAGTATATTACCGAACCAAATTATATGGAAACACCTTTGATATTCAATAATAATTGTTCTTAATATTTTCCACTCCACCCTTTAAAAATATCAGTAAATATACCTACCAATCTCTTGGCCCAGATTTCTTTACCCCAATCTACTGACACAATTTTCGCTTGGTGACTGAACTCTCTATTTAAGAAATTCCCCAGTTCCTTGGCCCAGCTTCGCATGGTTCTACAATACCAATGATCCGATGTGATCGGCATAACTAAGCACACTTTTTGGGTAAAGAAGTCACCCCCGAAATTAAAGACAGGAATCCGAAACAGAAACGTGCATTACCTAGTCAGGTATTCTCGTTTAAATGATTTACTGTGAGATGAGAAAACACTCTCGAAAAAGCAAACGCCCGAGAAAGAATCGGGCAATAAAAGTCGTGAAGAGACGCCGGCGAAATATTAAACTCTCAATTTATCAGTTGGATGAGCCTGAACAATGAGTCTGGCTTCGAGAGGGGGCCTTGAGTACTCGGTTTTGGCCAGGCAGAATAATTTATTGGCTTTGCCACCTTTCGTCCAAATATGGCTAAAGCCATTATTCGAAATCACTCGATGATTATCTTGATATGTAGAGAACATTCTGTATCTTTACTGATAGCATAAAGATAAGGCGGGATTTTCTATCTAAAAATTCTATATATAATCCTGACTTTAATCTTCATTTTTTTAAGGATCGCTTTGGGTTGTAAGATAGATATACCTATGAAGTTGGGCATGTAAACAAATGGATGACTGAAACTATTGTAAAATGCAAATTAAATTTCCAGAGAGTTTCACTTTCGCATAAACCTTGTTTTGTTTTTCCATTGCGATTGATGGTTATCGCATAAATTTGCTAATTGCCTTATTGGCTACACTTTCTACAACTCGATCCCAATCTGTATCTCATCTCCGTTTCAATTGCAGTTTCTTTCGAGTGCAGCTGAGTAGCAAAACAAAACAGACATGGATGCCATCAAGAAGAAGATGCAAGCGATGAAAGTCGACAAGGACGGAGCTCTGGAGCGCGCTCTCGTCTGCGAGCAGGAGGCACGCGATGCCAACACCCGCGCCGAGAAGGTGAGTCCGATTCGGAGATTCGGAGTCAGCCACCCCATTTCCTTTTCCCCTCGTACACAGAAAAAAACCGAAACAGTTTGAAAATTTTAAAAAATTAAAAAAAATTCTAAACCCAACCAAAAGTAATCATAATATAAAAACTGCAATTCATTCGGAAACCAGTTCACATATTTTTGACTAAATGACACATTAACTTCGAGAAACTATTATTAAAAAAATCATGATAATCTTTAAAAAAAATGTGAATTTACTTATTAAATCCGACTACATTGAAATTTTTTACATTATAAAAAGTGCATTATTTTTTAATTTTCTATAATTAAAAAAAACTTTTTAAGCAGTAGATCATTTTTCTAATTATGTAAAGTTTTGTAACGAATACTTTTGGGTACATAGGTTCCAGACTTTTTTAAAAAAATCCAGTTACTCGAAATTAAGGCATGTCATATTTTCATTATTTTAATCTTAAATTTATTTATAACTTATTAATAAGTATATTATATAGTCTAAAAAAGTAAATAAAATATTTGATTTTCATACATCAGTTGCCAATAAACTAATTTTCTTCTGTGTAACCAACTGAGCATTGAAAAACACTTATTGTAACAAACAGCATAATTGCCGGCTTTCACACAACACCATAAATCTTGTTAACACATGCGATTCCCGTGTAGTGCCTTGGTTTTAAATAACATTTTCGTCTATTTGGATCCGTAGGCCGAGGAGGAGGCTCGCCAGCTGCAGAAGAAGATCCAGACCGTTGAGAACGAGCTCGATCAGACCCAGAGGCCCTGACTCTGGTCACCGGCAAGCTGGAGGAGAAGAACAAGGCTCTGCAGAACGTAAGTCCCGATCTTAATATTAATATTGTAGAATAGGTTTTAAGCTAGCTATAAAAATAATCACCCCCTTGCAGTTTTTTTAAGATTTTAAAATGAAATCTTAGTCATTTTTAAAAAAACAATTTTTTTAAGTTTAAAAAATACTGATTAACATAACAATTTTAATTTATTTCAATAAAAAATTGTAAATTTATAAATGCCAATTTTGTTATGTTACAATGCTTAAAAAAAAGTTTTTTTTTTTTTAAAATTTAATGCATAATTATTTTTACCATGACGTAATATTATAAAGATTTCAAAATTTTTTGTATGTCTTAAATGTATAAGTTTGTGGTATCTCAATTTTGAGTTTTATTACCAGACATTCCCCATGAATTTGCTTTTCCTTTGACAGCTCGCAATTAAAATTGACAAATATTGAAGCAAATATAGAAAAAACCAAAAAAAAACATAATTAGTTAAGTCACTTAACAAAGTGTTTGAAACAGAAGGAAAAAATCCATTAATCATTTAAAAAGTAGTCCGCTATTTGTCAGAAGTCTAGAATCCCAAACTATTTCCTCATATTTACCATAAGCATTTTAGTTCTTAAGAGAAATACGTATATTTTGAATGCTTCTGCCCAATATTTTGAAATGCATTCAAGGCAAGAAATACACATAAATTTATAACAGGCATTTCAGAAGCGACTTGGTGACAGCCGGTGGTTTTCTTAGGGGGAGATTGTCTCGAAAATGGGGCAGCGGCAATTTAACGCCAATTTCATGGCTGCTTGAAACCGGAGAAATTGTTTGGGGGAAACATTAATATAGAGTGTTTTTTTGAAATTCCAAAAAACATCATAAATTCTTTTTGAATTTCAAACAAAACAGTCAGCAATTGACACGTAGCACACCCACTCTTTTTCTCTCTCTCTCTCTCTCTCCATTTCTGTGTTTGCTGTTGGCAACGCCTGGCAGAGAGGCGCTATTTTTAAATTCGTTGAAAATAGCCAAACGCAAGATATCAAATAACGCACTCTGTTGGCTTGCCAAAAAGAAAATGTTCTCGCAAAAAAAAAGGAACACGTACACGTACTCTCTATTCCTCTGAATTAGCTTTGAATCTAGAACATTTTTCGCTGTGGGCCTCAGTGTTTCCAAAAAGAATTCGAATTGCGATTCGTCTTTTGATTGCCACATTTTGGGAAAGTATTTCAAGGACATTTGGCAGCGATTCAAAAAAGTCTGAGCAGGTAAAAATGCTTGGAAAACTTATCGCTACGGCTGGGCTTGAAAGTAATAACTTATCAGGCAATCAGACAATGTTGACTCTAAAATAAATATGACAAACGGATGCCGCTGACTAATAACTCGAAAAGAATGAAGAAAAAGCAAAAAGAGATAAGCAATTAAATGAATCAAAGGCTGAAAATTCTCTTTTATTGGGGAAAAAAATTTGCGGAAGAGTGGAAATTATGTATGTGTTTGGTAAGATACTCGCTCTCGCTCTCTCTCTCTCTTTTTGAGTGGGTGGGGATCCACATTGGATCCTACACAGATCCATATTGCTGACTCACTCGCACGCGTGCCACACGCAGAGACAGAGAGCGAGTGAGAGTGGGTAAGAGAGAGAGTTTCCCCATGCCCATCTAACGGTGAGCGCATGGCCCCAAAATTCAAGTACAACACAAACACAACACAACGAGGGGCCGAGGAAAAAGCAGCAGAAAAGCCAGCAGCAGCCGCCCGCTCATAAATCCACCAAAGAAAAACTAAATTAATTCAATTAATTACCAACCAAATTACACGCTCATAAATTAAATTAAATTCCGTTCGGTTTGATTAACTTGCCACAGAAATCACTACTTTCATTTAAAGGCGATTTAAATGAAATTCTAGCGATTTTCTTTTAAATTACATAAAAACTGTGTTGCGGAAATTCTCTTCTCTTTCGGCAATTTTCACGCGCTAATGAAAATTCGCAGAAAGATTTGCATTAAATCATCAATAAAAATAGCGAAACTAACGGTACAATGAGCCCAGCTGTTTGAAAGCAACAACAACAACAACAACATAACTATTAAACAACACGCACCAAATCACACAGATACAACAAAAACAACAACAAGCATTGCTCATAATTAATATGTACGAGAAAACATTAAAGATAGGAACTGCAAAAGTTAATAATGCATATGAATGGCAAAAAGTGAGATACAACAATAAACCACAACCAACAACAGCAACAACAACAGTGGCGGTTAAACCAAAGCCGCAACAACAACAAGCACAAAAACAAATTCAAAAAAATGCAACAAAAGTCGCGCCAGCAACAGCGTTACCGTTAACCGGCAACATAACCGGCAGCAGCATAACCGTTAAGCAAGGCCCGAAAATCAAATTCGTTGGCAACGCGGCGCGCCGGCAATCGTTGGCCCATCAAATCAAACGAGCACATCGCCATCTGCTGACCAGCGGGGGTCAGGACAAGCAGCCGCAGCAGCAAAAGCGTAAACAATTTACAAATTCCCACTGCGAAATTCAAATTGCCTGCTACACTGCAACCGCACAAAAGAAAATGGTGGTGTAGTTGGCAACGCAGCTGGAAAGGTTTGAAACGGTTGCCATTTCCTGATTTCCCGTTGCACCGTTGCCAGCCCTTCCAGCCAAATTGGTATTTTTGGTATACTGCAGACTGGTCACACTGCCCAATCCAGCAACAGCTGGTTCCAGTAAAAAAAATTCACGTAGCAATTTTGGCCACAAATTACACAAAACTTAAGTAAATAATTGGATTTTGTAAATACCAGAAACAACAAAGAACAGTTTGTAAATATAACCAAAAATACCAAAACTAGGAAAGCGTGGACCCGTTTTGCAAAAGCAGCCAATCGAAGAAAAACAAATTTTAACTTTTCAGAAAAAACACAAGTGCAGTCGCCGACTGGCAGCAAAACAGTTGCCAAACCGAAACAGCGGTCCAAACAATTGCTAAAAGCGATAAGCCAGGCAGGGAGAAGTCCAAGCAGCAGCAGCTGCCCAGAAAGCAACGGGGAGTCATCACCAGAAGGAGCAACAAGCGAGCAGATTCAGAATCTTCGGGCCTTTCATCCCGCTGGTGTTCCATCGAGGAGCAGCTGAACCTGCTGGACGACCTGCTCTACTACTGCGATGAGGAGGCGGAACTGTATCTAGCCCAGCTGTACGAACGGTTCGAGACCCTCCGCACAAGGAGCAGGAGTTCCTCGCCAGCCAGCGATTTCTGGAGCGACTCGGACATGGAGCACCACGACGACTCCAGCACCAGTGGCACTGGCAGCCACACGGCCAGCAACACGAGCCTGGTTCCCGCCTCGCTGAAGCGCCGTGGCCACCAGCATCATCCGCGCTTCGCCGGCACACGCCGTCCCAATGTGCCCAATGTCCAGGAGATCCTAGCCGCCCTCTATCGCGGCGACTCCAAGAGCGCCCTCTCCAATCTCAGGGGAGAGACGCAACCAGAAGAATCAGAGCAAACACAGCAGCCGGAGGAGGCAGTGCTGCCCCCAGCAGGAGCACATTGAGTCTGCCGCTGAGCGAATCGGTGACCAATTCCCTGGGCAGCAACAGTCCCACGCCCACGGACGAGAGCAGTGTCCAGGATGAGGGGCCAGCCAACCGATGGCTGTTCCTTCGGCAGAAGGAGCCGCTCCTCCAGCAGCCACAACCACCTCCGCCAAAAGCAAGAAAAAGAAGCGGGAGAAGGGTGAAAAGTCAGAGAGATCCGAGAAATCTGAGAAGTCCGAAAAAAAAAGAAGTCTTCAGGCAAAAAGGAGCGCAGCAAGCGGTCCAGTGCCATGGAGATGAGCAGCGACAGCCTGGCCACCGACATCAGTGGCGGGGCCATTGACGAGGGCATCGCCCTGGCGGATGACGACGACAACCAGGCGGCGGAGTGGTCCAAGCTGCGGTGCACCAGCGAGGCGGCCGAGATTGTGGCCGAGCGGGAGGCGCGGCGGAACAAGGGACGCTGTGCGGACTATCCGGGACTGGCCTTTGGCAGATCAATCTTCAGCTCGGACACCATGATGAAGTTCAACATCATCCGGAACGAGCTGCACAACATCATGAACACACAGCTTAAGCGGGTAATTAGTGGTTGAGTCGGTTGGAGTCGGTCGTAATTTCTTTCATATAACTAATCACCTTTCTAAACCTTTTGCATATATCTTTACCAAGCGAAGAAGCCACCTCGCTGTTGTTGTTGTTGTTCTGCTAAAGGGGACTCCAAAGTTTGGTTAGGTTCTTTTGCAATTGCTCCAATTTGTTGCTGCTTCTTTTCGCATTGCAAAGCGATTACGTCGTCGTCGTCTTTTCGCGAATTTCTAGTAGTGTTTAACCCTTGGCTGGCCCTCAGGGTCTTTCTTCGGCCCTCGTGTTTTCTTTCGGTTAGCTGTTGTAAATCTTGACCCACTTGGTTTATACCACTTATATTTCTCACCTTTCACTTGAATGATGGCCTAAAATCGATTTGGTTAATAGTGTTTAAAAGTTTTTTGCTTTTGATTATAGTTCATAAAATATTTTCATATCATGAGAATTTTTGGTAAATCTTTTCCCACCCCCCTGTAAAGTATTCCATTAACTTGGGCAAATATGTTTACTTAATTGCAGGCAATTGTTTAATTAGTTACGCAATTGCTGGAATGCCTAACGGTACTCGCCGGCCACCTGTTGCTCTCCCTCTCTTTCGCCCGCTGTTGTGCGGGTGGCAGAAAGAGAGCGTCCGATAAGACCGCTAAATGGTATTAGTGCTTATTTTTTTTTCAATTTTTTCGCTCAATTCTCGGTGCGCTGAAAAAGGCAACACGGTTTGAAAAACTAAAAGGAAAACCCGGCCATATTTGGCCAAAGCATAAACTATGCGGCGTGCGGGCCAAGCTCGATTTGCCAAAATTGGCCAACAAATTAATTATTAAACGCCGATACTCGGCGACCTTCCCCTTTTATTTACTTTTAATTTCTCTTCAATGTCGCGGGCTAAAAATGGAAAAGCGCTCATTGTTTGCACTATCAAAACAATTACGCCATCGCCATCGAAAGTCAAAAAGTCGAGAAGTCGGGAATATTAGAGCTACAGGTGGTTGTTGAGCGTTTCGAAACGAAAAAGCGGTTAACATCCCGATTAGTCATTACGTTGCGCTTACGTCGTTTGCTGATAAGCGTGATAAAGCGCCGGCATTGTGTTTTCCGTTTTCCGTAGTGGAAGCAATTAGTGGAATGAGTGGGCGGGGGGCGGCGGTGGGGGCGGGGGCTTCGTTGCGTTGGCACACACACGCACACACACCTGCAAGCCACCTTACCTGCTTACTCATCTCTCTTCAACCATTTTACATGTCCGATTTTTGCATAATATTATTTGCCTGGAAATGACAAAAATCCGAAATATTTCTTCACTAATTAATGCCAAAACAACAACAATGTCGACATGGACAGAATTTTAGCGGCTTTTAACAGGTTTTCCAGCCGAACACACACACACACTGGCGCACCGTTTTAGGCGAGGCAGACAGACTGGAAGGCCAAGCCTCTGGTTGTCCCGCTCGCACAAACCACCACCGCCGCTTCGACTGGCGATTCGGTGGATTCATTTCCAGTTACGTACTCGTCGCAGTCGCGTCGTCGTTGTCTCTCTCTCCGTGTGTGTTTTTGCCACCAAATAGCAATATTCAATTTAAACGCAGCCCATTCTGTTTCCGAAGTTCGCCTGTCAGTTTTGCCACCAAGCACTGCCCTTTAGAATTCGAATCCAAGCCAGGGAAAAAGCAGTTGAAGCAAAAGAAAAACCGGTGGTTCACTGTCTGCGAGTGTGTGTGTGCGTCCCGAGCTCTTTCGTTTTCGTGAGTGTGTGTGTGTTCCGTTCTTCGAAGTTCCAAATTGTAAATTAAATTTGGTCTGCAGAGTGCTTCTTCAGTTGAAAAAACGAAGAAAACGAGCTCAAGTGCTAAAACACTTTGCCAGTAAATCAGAAAAACACCCACAACCTCCGCCAAGAAGAATATAAAAAACCACAAAAATGACGACCAGCATTCCACAAGGCACTCTCTTGGACGTGCTGAAGAAGAAGATGCGCCAGACCAAAGAGGAGATGGAGAAGTACAAAGACGAGTGCGAGGAGTTCCACAAGCGGCTGCAACTGGAGGTGGTGCGCCGCGAAGAAGTAAGCCCCGCCACTAGTTTCCCAGCTCAATTTGCTACCCTTTGGTTTGGGCAACAAACGACTGCGTGACCTGTCTTGTGAATTTTGCATAAATCCTACCTAAATGAAGGGAAAAAAAGATAGTCCAGTTCCAGTCCAGCATTTCTTTCGCCCCCTCTCTCTCTGCCAGCGTTTTAAGTGGCCTCTTGTGTGCGTGTGTGGGAGCGGGACAACCTGCAAGTGTTTTAACGGGCGCGCTCTCTCTTCCTACTCTCTTTCTCTCTTAGCTGTTGTTTTTACTCTTTGGTGGTTTTTCCAGTCTTGCTGTTGTTCTTTTCGTGATGAACGAATTTTCGGGCTCAGATACAGGGTGCTTCCGGTCCCCCATAACTTTTTTTTCGGTTAACTGTTCTTATCGCTGACCGAATTCATTCACCTTTCGAATTGTGTGTGTTATCTCTCCCGCTTGACGGCACACACTCAAGCATTAGCATAAAACATACACACACAATCACACACACACACCACCGCATTTACATAAGGCCAAAAAGGAGAAAGAAATCTTTTGTAAATTGAGCGATTCGGTTGGTCTTGGTCTTTTCTAGCTTTCTGCTTTCTCAGCGACAAAAAACCGGCTTTAAGTCCGGCAAAGAAGAAGCCACATCGTTTAGAGCTAGCGGTGTTCTAAATTCGATTAATTATGATTTTTACGCCATGGCCATCAATAAGTGGTTTAATTCTCTTAATTCCTTTCCAGCTTTTGCCCGTTGGCACTGCCATGTTCCTAATTCAATTCTAATTAAACAATTCAGAGCGAGGGCTCCTTTGTGTGTGTGTGTATATATGACGTCATTGCTGAGGGAGAAGATTTGTAAGACAGTCAAACTCCCTAACGTAACTTTGTAAAGGGTTGTGGATTGAACAAAGGGTAAATTAAACCTAAAATCTTCAGTAAATATAAATATTACTATATTATATTTCAGTTCGTCTTGAGCGAGTTCTACTGTATTTTTTCCTTTTTAATTCAAATTGATTTCGAATTTGAAAAGATTCTAAAGCCGGATTTTACTCCCTATTTGATTTTTTTCCACGCTCTTAGCAAGTGATTGACGTTCCGCTTCCCTCTAAAAAAACGGAAAAAACTAAAACAAAACATATGTAATTTGCTTTATTCAGTATTTCTATACAATGCTTTCAATGTCACTCTACTCGGGTCTTTTCCCCCTTTTCCCTCGTTTTCCTTCATTTTCCCCTCGTGCAATTGAACGTTGATAATTTCAATGCGCGCATTGTGACAAATTGGTTTTGATTTGTGTGCTTTGCCTCTTGCCAGTTTCGTAATTCGGAGATTACAGCATATGACGCCATCGCTCCACCCTTACCCCTCCCCCTTCCCCTACCCCTTAGCCCAGCGGAATTTTTTAGAAAAAATATTTTATGCTTGAGAGCATCATCATCGTCTTTAAAACAGTGTTTTACATTTTCATGGCTTATTTTTCGGTTCATAATTAAAAATGCATCATCACAATGAAAACACGCCCTACGTGTACCGCTCCAATAAGTCTTTCTTTTTGTTGCTGTTTATTTTTTTCGGTTGCCAGGGCAATAAAACAAAAAAAAGAAGGAAAAACGGAACAAAAAACACGTAAATTTCAAGGTGTGTGTGACTAAGCCGTCAACAATTTCTGGTACCATTTCTCGGCCACACAGTTTTGCATTGGATTTTATAGAGAGTTTCTGTTGGCATTTCGATCTTATTTTTTTTCTGCATTTTGCCGGTCATTTTTCATACATTCCACAACAATTGGGGGCCACACTTGGCCATCATCTCCTCTCTCTTTAAGACTGAAACGTGTTCTGTCGCCGCTTTTCTTTGCCACTGATTTTCCCCCTACCCACTCCCCCCGTTTGGTGGCCAGTTAATAAAGCGTTTAATCTTCAATACGTTTTGTTAATGAGTTCGAGAAAAAAAAAAGTTGCCAAGAGGGAGACGACCAGAAACTCCCGCTACAAAACGAAACCCAACTGGAATCCACACTTCAACTTCTTTGCTTTGCTCTTCGTTGTTTCGGATTTACTTGGGAATACCTGGGAAAGGGTATACCATTTTATATCTAATTGATGGGAACTAATTTTATTTAGTTGCCATAGCAACAAGCGGAACTCACCATTATAACTTGGTTGTTTATAGAGATTAATACCTGAGATATTATAAATCATTATTTCTAAATGTTTTATAATGATTTATATATTTGCAAGTCACTTTTTTACTTGCAAGAGTATAAAAACTTCGCTCTTTCCTTTCAGTTTTCATTTGATTTTTTGGCATTTTTCGTTGTCGCTGGCTCTTGGGCTTCATCGGCGGTTTTGTTGTGTGACTTTCGTGTTTGGAAAGCTGCGCTGCCTGTGCCTGCTCCCCCAATTCGAAATGCTTTTTATCGCTCAACATGTGTGTGTGTGTGTGTGTATTTTGTACGATGACGTAAGCCACACGGTTGGTTCCAATTCATAATCACACGATACTTTTACGACCCGCACTCACATCGTTTATTTGGTTCTAGGCGTCGTCACTTGGTCAGTTGTTCAGTTTGTCAGTTTGTCAATTGCTCAGTTAGTCATTCCCATGTACATATCAGTAGCTCTATATCCATCTCCATCTCTATGCCCGGCACCATATCAGTCATTGGACATGGTTTTGGCTTGGACATGGACATGGAACTTGGAACTGGCACCGGACTGCCTTGTCCAATTGCTTTTCAGCCGTTTTCGATTCAAACTTTGAATCGACTTTAATTTTATATACTTTTTTCACCATTTTTGGGCGTGTGCTTCGCTCGTTGTTTTCGCTTTTCATCGTTTAACGTTCAGGGGCCTCTATAAGGCCATAAAGCATTGAATATTTTCCGTTCTTTAATGGGTATATGCTTCTTGATGGTGGGAAACTCTCGATTAAACTAAGTCGATGACGTCATGGACCATGAACCTTGTATTGGCTTCTTTTTTGGAACTAATTGCCATATCAGGTAGTGGTGTTGATGAACTTTTGTTAAACTTTGATGGCTAGTATCGATTGCACTTGGCAAATAACACGCAAACATTCTGTTGCCTGTTTCAGGGCGCTTGGGGGGTTTGTTTGACCTTGCTTCGACAGTAACAACAACAGCAACGAGGTGGCAAAAGGAAGTTTTCTTTACAGGTGGAAGCCACAAAAGAAAATGGAACCAGCGGTCGACTTTGTAGGGAACAAATTAGGTTTACCAATTTAAGTATTCTGAAAAAAGGGGGGTTTTAAGAGAGCGCAAATGCAGAAGTAGGAGAGTTTCTTTATAGCAGTCATGTTTCCCAAACCAAAGCTAGCTAAAATTTAATAATATGATTACCAAACCAAAAGTACCAAATATTTATGTGTATTTCTTGCCTAAAAACCATTAAGTCTAGTTCCATAAGAAATAAATTAAATCCTAAGTCTCTAGCGATAAGTTCTAGCGAATGATGGATATGCTACATCTGGTTCTTTCGACCATCGAACGTTTGTCTTATAGGCCGAGTCCGAGGTTGCCGCTCTGAACCGTCGCATCCAGTTGCTCGAAGAAGACTTGGAGCGCTCTGAGGAGCGTCTGGGCTCCGCCACAGCCAAGCTGTCGGAAGCCTCTCAGGCCGCCGATGAGAGCGAACGGTTAGTACCACCTTTCCACCCTATGTCCATGCCCCATTACCACCCAATCTATATAATACCCCCACTGTAACCCAATATGTAAAATACTCTTTAAGTTTACAGAGAAATATTTAAGTTCGATTTATCATATATATCTTTAATCGTATCTAAATATCATTTCGCATTGCTGCGACAAATTCAGGATACGAAAAGCGCTTGAGAATCGCACAAATATGGAAGATGACAAAGTAGCTCTCTTGGAGAACCAATTAGCACAAGCAAAATTAATTGCAGAAGAAGCTGATAAGAAATACGAAGAGGTATAGTCAACATACAACATTTATTCGCGGAAATTGGTCTCCGTGCTAGGGCACTAGGGTTATTAGGTTCTGCTCCTTGAGGTTAGGTTCACTTGGTCAACATTTGCGTTACTAATTAGGTTTTGGGTTTTCTCTCTATCTGCGCTCTCTATTTTCTAATCTCTACTTAACCAACAACTGCAACAACGACGATATAATTGTCGCTAAAATAATGGTCATTTTTATAATGATGATGTACCTAAGTTAGTTTGTAAGACTTTCTGTAAACAGCATTTAGTTTGCCCAGTTCAAAGATGTCGACCCGCCGCTGGAACTGGAACACCATGGATACTCCACATTCTTGTAAAAATATTGTAAAATGATGTATACGAAGGCATGTCCTACATAAGCTTATGGTAGTCTATTAGTCCAATGGCTGTTAAGCAATTATATCTAGAAATAGATCGAAAAATACCCCAATGTTTGTAATGAGACGAAGCTTAAAGAGTGTTTGGCTCAAGTGTAGCTGGCTTAAAGAAAGCTATTAAATTCGTTGCATATCAATTCCACTTTCGAGGAAGCCAAACATTATTTAAGCCTCTTGCTTAACCACTAGTCTCCCCTGTCTCCCCTAGTCTCTCCCCACCCACTGTAAAATACTTGTTAATTAAGTAGAAAAATCCGAATTGTTAACTCAACTGGCAACAACAAATTTCTGTCTCTTTTTACAACAACAACTACCACGACAACTACAATCAAACTTCAATATTCACATACCAAAAATGTATCTCTAAATGTGAATGTTTGTGTAAAACATCTGTTTGTCATAACAATTGCAACAACAACAACATCAACAACAACCACCACCACACTGAACACCCAACAACGATGTGGACGATGACGTCGAATGAATCACACAATACCTTCTTTTCGGCTGTACCAACTGCAATTCCACTGGGGAACGGCAAAAATCATCGCTAACCACTTGGTCACTGTCTTCTATGGGCATGGTCGTCGTCGCAACTCTATATATACACACTATATCCGTATAGTGCTCGCAAGATTCTTGAGAACCGCGCCCTTGCCGATGAAGAACGCATGGACGCTCTTGAGAATCAGCTGAAGGAAGCGCGTTTCCTTGCTGAGGAGGCTGACAAGAAATACGATGAGGTGCAGCTAAAAACCAATTTGTCTTCTATTAAGCTAAGCAACAATAACAACAACAGTAACAGTAACAATATCAATATCAATACAAATATCAATAACGATATCAGTAAATCAGAGTTATGTAATGCCAGCGCTATTGGTGGCACCAACAACAATAACGCATCCAGAACTATTGCATCTGCTGCTGTTGGTGAAGAGACTTCCACCTTGTCCTCCACAAGCCACGAACACAACAATAATCCCAATAACGACACCTGATCTGGTTCCTTTGTCAAGCGTATATCGGAATTGAATCGAATTGAAATGAAATGATTGATTGAGGGTGATATAAATGCCACCCAAAACTTGGCACAGGAATCAGCCAGAGTGTTGATGCAAAACTTGTGCTTACCACGATGATTACGAATGATGCTTGAGGGCAGCTATAGCTTAGATCTAGACCTAGATCATGCACCGCCCGCCCGCCTGACAATATGCAATATATATACGTGTATAGACGATGATGATGATGATGATAGTAATGATGTATTAGTCGCGATGTACATACAATGTAAATCAAATCCAATGAAATTTCGATTGTAACGTCTGAACAAATCCCCCCCGGAAATTGGAGACGGCCCTAGCAAAGGCCGAAGCTTTTCTCCTGCGTGTCTTTTAATTTGTAAAATACCAATAGCAATATGTAATGTAAACGTTAAGCGGTCTATACGATGTCCACAAGTACTCTACTAATTGTACTCAATGCTCTTCCATGAGAAACAGCTTGAAAAGCATATCGCCACTGAATTGATTGTCTAAACTAAAGTGTAATTGGGTTAGTTTCTTGACTTTTTTGTTTATTTCCATTCGATTTACGTATTTGTAAAGAAAATGTAATTTATACTCACGTTATAATGCATAGAGCCACACACCTTAAATTTATAATTAACCCAAGGAAATGTCTAATTTTGGATTAATATTTTTGCAAATTAATGTTTATATAACATATTATATACAAACAAAATATATAAATACAAATATATATAATGCAGCATAAAACTAATTTGATATTATTGACCAATGAAAGAGGGAGCAGATAATATTTGGTTACTCTTATTGTTGTACATTTTTAGTTGGAATTCGTAGGAAATGTTTTATATTTCAGGTTTATTTGATAGAAAGTCTTATTATCTTCGATGATTGAATAGTTTTTAATAGAAGAAGTGTTAACAAGTTAATAGGACTTGACAAATCGATTATAATGCTGTATACCAAAGATGGAACTAGGGCTTACCTTTTTGATGGATGAACAGCCTATCAGAACCTACAAATAAAATTGGAAATGTCATGCCTAGCTGGGAGGTACAAGATCTTTAGCTTTTCCCCATATTAGTACATTTTGCCTTACCCTATCCAGCGAGGGCCTGAATGCCTACGTGTTTTGCACGTCAATCAGATCGAAGAAATAAACCAACTGATAAACTGCATTGGCAGATAAGCCTTCTTTCTTCAGTATTGTTTTTTTGCCTTTGCTGCCTTATCTTTTCGCAAAAACCTAAGGCAAGGCAGCGATTGTGTGAAAACCACGAAGGCATGAGAATTCAAAATGGAACCCATAACTGGGAAAAGAGTTTGTTTAACTGCTGGCACCGATAAGAGAGGGCCGCTCCCGAATGGTATACTTGGGGATACTGACTGGATTCGAGTAGATTTCGCAAACAGTGGGCCATGACATAAGCGCCTAAAAACTCGGTTGCCAAAACGATCGATGATGCATCAAGCGAGAGGGGATCACTTGACCCTCAGACGTAGGTCGATGGAAAGTGCCGTGAGTCAGGGGCAAGAAATGTGCGTGGAGCACATACGTACTTCCATCTGCATTCGTTATCTTTTCCAGCTAAAAGATCTGACGACACAATCGTCACCTGGCCACGCTTGGTGCATTGGCTTTTATGATTCATTGGGATCGTTTAAGCAGACTAGATGGTATTATCATACACCAAAGCGGAAATTAAACTTAATTTTGGTTAGCACGGCAATAAAAACCAATAGGCCTAAGCCCAACATGGGTTAAAGCAATTTCCACAATGCTTAAAGAATTTTTGGTCAGATCGTCTCATTATAACTGGTTTCTGAATAATACTACAGTTTATATAGATGAGATAATAGGAAATTGGCAATCGGTGGATAGTTCCCATAAATGTTTCAATATGGAACTGCTATCATCTTTACGATCTTAATTTCCGTTGGTTTCCGTTATGCTTTTAAGACTATAGTTAATTAAACGTGATATAATTATTACCAAATCTTATTTAGTTTTATCAAGATTGTATGGTTAGCCCAAAAGAAATGTACAACAATTTCGAAAGTTACAAATATTAAAATAGCTCCAAAAATAATTTTATGCTTTAGCTTGAGTACAACAAAGAAGAGTATGGATAAGGAAGACATTAAATACCCACGCGATAAGCACAAGTTTTACGGGATGACAAAACTGAAAACAAGAAAATAACAATAAACTACACAAATTGTTTTGTTATTACTAAAATATGCTAAGGCACCACACAAGACCATAAAAAACATTTAAAAACTCATTAAAATCTAATGAAAAACCTCATCTTACGCTTTTTATGTTATTTCACTAAACTCAAAATCTTTGTAAAAAAAACCATGAAATTTAATACATTTTCTATATGTTCTCCTGTATACCCGACGTTCCTTGTATTATATCAATCAATCAACAATCAATCAATGAATCGATATGTAATATTGTATGAGAAAAGGTTGCCCGTAAATTGGCCATGGTTGAAGCTGATTTGGAACGTGCCGAAGAGCGTGCCGAGCAGGGTGAAAAGTACGTTATAAGTCCAAATTTACATCTATATTGTTCGAATTGTTCGCAGCCCGTCTGTTGTGCCTAATATTAAAAACAATGTTGAAACTGCCGCAAAGCAACCTAACCTCATTAAAACCCCCGAAAAAATATACTTTTTGCATTTCCCCTGTTGAGTTTAAATTTTGATTTTGTTCTTGTTTTTCTAGCTAGCTAGCTTTCGCCTATTTGTTTATAATGTTTGGTTAAAAATGTGAATATACTAGATAAACCAATTAATGTTGTGTATGATAAAAGCATGTTCTTTGATAGTTTAGATCAAACAGAAGCACAAACATAGAGCAGCTTAAAACAAGCAAAGAGGTGGAAAGTTCTCTCAGTCCTCAGCTGGGAATAAAACCCCAGGGTTTGGTGTAAAGCGCGGTGACCCCTGCTTGAGGTGGGAAACAAGGCTGCAATGACCTGGAGTTTTGCAGGTCAATGCGCTTTATAAACCGCTCCCCAAGATCGGTGAGCGTTGCACAGCGGAAACCTGACGGAGAATTTTCACCTCTTTAGACCAACTGCTCTGTGGCCATGAATCATGATGAATGAAACCAGCACAGTATTCACATTTTTTGCCAATCTGCAGCTTTAGCCAGACACGAAACTAATCTTGAAAACCTTTTTTCTATGCCATCCATAACCCATGCCAAAACAAAAACCCCAAAAAACAATGTGTGTACTTAACACCATGCTAACACCTTGCCACGCCCCCGCTATGCCACGCCCACCGCCCTGCCGCAAAAGGTTGCCAGAAAACTCGTGCTCATGGAACAGGATCTGGAGCGATCCGAGGAGAAGGTCGAGCTCAGCGAAAGGTTTGTCCACTGCCAAGCCCCCATCAGCCTTCCATTCGCTGTCTTTTCGTCTACTACTAACTGCATTTGGTTAAATATAATCCACGTTTGTTTCTTTGTGTGCGCAACTTGAGCCCGAGATAGAAAATATTTATTTATAATTTCCATAGTTATAAATAACCAAAAACAGCTAAGTAAATTTGATTTGAGCCGCGGGCGGACCATAAAAAGTGAAATCTTTTTGAGTTGCCGTAGCAAAAACAATTGTTTTTATTACAAAAATATTTGCCAGACCTTCGCATCATGATTGACGGTTTCTCGTCTCTTGGCCAACTCAACTCAAGTCAACTTAACTCATCGCCTCCATTGGCAGCAGTCACAAGATCTTTTTCGAAAGTAAAGTGTTGTCAACTTTGAGTTGGTCATTGGTATTGCTCGGGCCTAAATTGCGCTTGAAAGAAACCTTTATATTTAACAATTGCATGAGTTTTGCTATTCTTCTTCATACCCAGCAGCTATTCTATTGGACAACTATTTAATTATCATGTTTTTCCCTATCATTTTCTCTGCGTGCCAACAGCAAAATGTGGAGCTTGAGGAGGAGCTGCGCGTGGTTGGCAACAACCTGAAGTCCCTGGAAGTCTCTGAGGAGAAGGTCAGTATCTCTATAGGATGATTATAACTTTTAGCTCATAAAGCTATATTTTATAAACAATTCTTTAAAAATCATAAATATTTAAATTGAATTCCCCGTATTCCCGAAATCCCAAAACTCCCCACGAAATGAACAAACAACAACGATAAATATAGGCCAACCAACGTGAGGAGGAGTACAAGAACCAGATCAAGACCCTCAACACTCGTCTAAAGGAGGTAGATACGAAACGAATAAGCCAAACCTGGCACCAAAAAGTGGCCCAAAAGCAAAGAGAGCTTCCCAGCTAGTTCAATCCATGCGAACCGATGTCCAAACCAGCGAATATATATACTTATCTTTTGTTGTTTCTCATTTTGTTTGTTTAACTTAATACCCAAAATGGAGGGGTATTCGAGACAATTGCCCCTTCCAAAAGAGGAAAATTCTTTCCTTGTTTTTTTGTACTAATTCCATAAAAATGTCTACCGACATTGATATTTTTTTACAGATCAAGCAAAATACCTTTTTGCCATTTTTACTAATTTATATTTTCTATTCTTTCTTTTTCATATATATTATTTGTTTAAATGTTGCCGCTAAAAAATGCCAATACCCCCAATTCTAATTTGCGCACCTGCTGGATGTTTACCACCTATACAAACTGATTTGTTCTTGCATGAATACTTAATAAATTTATGTTCGATAATGCTTATAACAAAACCCAATCGCTTGCCAACACTGAACAAAACCACCCGTAGGCCACACAAAAAGAGGAAACCTTTGAGACGCAAATCAAAGTATTGGATCATTCTCTGAAAGAGGTATTACGACAGAGTCGAACTGTATAATAAGTATAACCTGTGGTCTCTCTCTCCGGTAAAACTGTGGTGTTGGTTAATCCGCTGATAATATCCAAATTCTCCTTAGCTAACTTAGTTTAAGCACTAAAATTAAACAAAAAAGAAAATATTGAATTGCACAAATCGTTATTCTCAATTTTAAATTTACTGTACATATTCGTCAATTCGACATTTAATATTTTCTTTTATGTGAAAACGAAAAACGCTTGGTGAAAATACAGCAATTGAAAGCGGAATACCACAAGTTATGAGTTTAAGATCAATAGATCGATTTCCCTATAGAGTGTACATCATGGGCAAGTATTTGTGAACCATTCTCTCGCATAAGACGTGTGTGTGTACATTTGTTCAAAATTGAAAACAACTATTTGTGCATTGATTGCAAGTGAGAAAAACGAGTAGAACAATGATGATTTCCAATTACAATTTACCACTCCTAAAGCTATAATGCCTGATTAGTGGCGAAAGAATTAATTCTCGCTAAGTAGACGATCAAAAATATTTATTTCGGTAGATATTTTTTAAAACCCTCAAAAACTCACATCCATGCAACAACACACACACGCACACACAATTCTGCCACCCAATGTACGAAATGAAATTGATCTATTGATCCATTGATTTATAATTTGTTGTATTCTCCCCGACGTCTAGGCACGCGTCAATCAAAAATATTACGAACAGGAGCTCATACAGTTCAAATTAAATGTAGAAGCTGTAAGTCGCCGCAGATTAATGGGCGTAGAGATTATAGATTCCGTCGAATTACGATCTTAACAGCATTTTCTGTTCTGTCAAACTTATGCAGTGACTGCGTAGCCTCCACCAGTAATCGTTGCTCTTATCATTCCCTTAATGACATTTAATTTGTCTGATTTAGGTTTTGTCTAAAAACCCTAAATACACAAGCGTCAGCAGTTTGTAAGCATTCTAGTTGAATAAAAACCGAATTAGTCTCTAAGTTGTTTATTTGAATGGTTTTGTTAATATGTACTTTGGTTTCATTTGTCATCGTTTATTGACTAATGTTCATTTGTCATGCCACATTTTATTTAATAAGTTTTTCTGCTGGTTTTGGTAGCATATTTGGGAAGCTTCTTGGCTTAGTGAAATAATGGTTGAATTTAAATTCTGAGTAGATTGGAAAACCTCCAAGTTTGGCTATTCAGAATTTAAATTGTGCAGTTTGGCAGGAGGTAATGGAATGCATCTGTTTCTCCTTTAACTCCTGCCTGCTGTGGTAGCCACTTTTTGTTGCTTAATCTCTCTGCTGAATCTAAACATATTTACTAACTTACCATTTTTAACTCTTTTCCTCCTCCAATCAACCAAAAGGCTGAGGCTCGTGCTGAGTTCGCTGAACGTTCCGTTCAGAAGTTGCAGAAGGAAGTCGACAGGCTCGAAGGTATGTCCGTCCAAGATTTTATAAAAATTTTACTGAGAATGTAGGAGAAATAGCTCAGAAGTTTACAACTTTTCAATCTATGTAGCAGTATTTCAAATTAAAGTACAAGATCACTAGTAACATTCAAGTTTTATTGTTGTTTATTATGCATTTATGATTTATAGAACTTTAAGTAGGATCAAAATTAATTTCCTTATTCCAAATCCAGTACCAATTGTTATCTAGTGAACTTTATGTATTACCTACCTCGATTTTAATTTATTATCTGTTAATGCAATATTTTATAATTTCATTTTCTTATTGTTTACTTTTCATATATAATTTTGTTGTTGTTGTTATTGTGCTTAACAAAATACAACTTGCGCTGCTTGCTAAACCACTTGTTGCATGACCTGCCCTGCCCCCAAAAATGACAAACCGAAACGAAAAAAATCCCAGATGACCTCCTCAACGTGCGGGGCAAGAACAAACTGCTGCAGGAGGAAATGGAGGCCACCTTACATGACATACAGAACATGTAAACATCTAATTTGCTTATGTAAATTAACTAAACTGCCTGCTTTGACGTCAAACAAAACACCCACGCACACAAAACTGGCGCTTTCCATAATTTAAATACTAGAGAACACATCTCCACACCCACGCCCACAACACGCCACGCCCACCACCCACACGAGACAAGATCCAAGGACGCCAAGTGTCTTCCATGCGGATGCGAAAGCCATCTTCGAACGCCAAGCAACGGGAGAGTTAATCAAAAATCAAAAATAGCGTTAAACACTCTAAACATAAACATAAACTCAATGAAAAGCAGACGGAAGGGCAGAAACTAAAGCAAAACATTCTCGTAGCAAGCGCATTCCAATTTACGATAAACAATTTTCGATATCCGCTTCGATATCCATTTCGATATTCTCGATGACTGGCAGCTATCGCCATTTTACTGTAACTGTTGCAATACAATTTTTCGTTGAATCAAATCAAATTTAATAATTATTTCCTTGATTTTACTATATTCTTAACTTTTGCTTTTGCTACCCCCTACCTTGTTTTGTTTTATTTAAAAAAAACCTTAAATTATACTTGTAATTTTGTATTTGATGAGATGACAACTTGGACAAAACACGCATTGCCGCCTTCTTTTTAGTTTACGTGTATTGAATAGAGAGACAAACAATCGCTGTTATTTATATTTAAAGAGTAAATTCTATGCTAAAACTTTGTATTTTGTCGCCAGCTTAACTGTATTAATAATATGCTAATGTTTACCTTGTTTATACATTATTTAAACAAATTGTCGTGTTTGCAAAACGTTGTGTAATATTTGCCTACTTTTAAGTTGCCGCCACGCCTACCAACACGAACTACTACTCTTTCGATAGAGATTCCAAAACAAAAGACATTTAGCTAGTGCACTTCATTCCAATTGCAAATCGGTTATCCCGGTTACCCGGTTCGCCCGATACAGACCACTTTTATTTAAAAAATAAAACGAAAACCAATTTCCATACACTAACCAATCTTCTGATTCTGAATACACACACCGTGACACCCAAATGAGAAGAATGCTGCAACAAGAAATGGCATTAAAAATTCTAATTCGATCTATTTACGATTTACATAAATTAATTATTTATACTTTAATATATACCTATACAATACATATACTATACAATACATACCATGCTGCTGCAATTGCACAAATAAAGTATTTTTCGAAAAACGTATGCCCCCGTATGCCATCTCGATATCGACCGTCCAGCGTTCAGTGTTTGCCCACCCGACTCTGTGTGTCTGCTGTGTGTCCCACCCACATTTGGCCACCACTGGAGGTTCTATCGCCCTGCTCTCTCTCTCTCTCGAATCTGCTCTAATCCGACTTTCTAACCCTTGAACCACACCACACCACCAAATCACCAAACCACACCCATCCGCCATGCCAGACGAGATGATCAAAGAGATAGAGCACTATGCCCTCGTCGGCGACCAGCTGGACTGGACCTTCGTGGAGATGATGGGCATGCCGCCGTTCTACAACGAGCGCTACCCGAAGCCGCCCACTCCGGAGCTGACCGAGGAGGAGAAGGCCGCCCTGGAGGCCGCTGCCCTGGCCGAGGCTGAGGCAAAGGCTAGGGCCGAGGAGGCCGCTGCCCGCGGCGAGGAGGCCCCAGCGGAGGGCGAGGCTGGTGTGCCGGCGGAGGGCGCTGCTCCCGGCGAGCCTGGAGCAGCTCCGGTTGAAGCCGCCGAGGCGGTCCCGGCCGAACCTGTCAGGATTCCCACACCACCACCACCACCACCATTCGAGTACTCCATCGATCTGCCGCCAGAGGGTGCCGAGGTCCCATACGTGCGAAACGCCGAGCCGGGTGATTTCGCTCCTCCACCAGAGGCGCCTGCAGAGGGAGCTCCACCAGCGGAGGGAGCACCACCAGCGGAGGGAGCACCACCAGCAGAAGGAGCTCCACCAGCGGAGGGAGCCCCACCAGCAGAGGGAGCACCACCAGCAGAGGGAGCTCCACCAGCAGCAGAAGGAGCCCCAGCAGCTGCTCCTGCGGAGGGTGCTCCGCCAGCACCTGCTGCAGAAGGAGACGCAGCTGCCGCCGCACCACCAGCACCACCGGCTGAGGCTGCCCCTGCACCAGCTGAGGGCGAAGCCCCACCAGCACCGCCTGCCGAAGCAGCTCCCGCCGCTGAGGCACCACCTGCTTAGATAGATACCCTGAAAATGTTCAATTGCAAGCAGTGAAAATAGATCACAGGATCTCTAGACGGATCTCGGCGTTCAAGAACTGGCCAAAGTGTTTTCCTTTCACTAACTCTTCAAGTCCTAAGCTTCCAAAATAATATTTAACTATCCCAAAGTGTAAATAAGATATAACGTATATAATTTAAAAGTGTTCTTTGGTCTTCTAAGAATGTTATTTTGGTGTTTAGGATTTGTGAACCCTTCGCTTGCTCCATCCCGTCATCTCTTCCTGCTGTCTCCCCGCCCTAAGCTTATTCAAGTTTTATTTTTAATTTACGCTCTACTTCCTTTTCACGTTTTATTTTATCTCTCTCTATACTCTATATCCCCCGTCTCCATCGCTTGTATTGCTTTTTTCACAAACATATTCGCATACCGATCCCGATCTCGATCGCGATAACCAGACGATCTAATCGTTGAAAAAGAGCGCTATTGCCTGATTGGCGACAGCCTGGACGAGGCCTTTGTGACCTGATTGTGGGCCTGGAGCCCTTCTGGAATCCGCGCAACCCCAAGCCGCCGACGCCCAAGCTGCCACGCCCACGCCCGAGGAGTGGCCGCCATGGAGGAGGCACGAGCAGCAGCAGAAGCAGCCGCAGCGGCCGAGGCGGAAGCGCCGCAGCTGCTGCTGCCGCCGGAGGCGAACCCGGAGCAGAAGGAGAAGGCGCTGCGCCCGGCGAGCCGAAGCACCAGAAAAGGAACCCACGCCGCCCAAGGAACCCACACCTCCACCACCACCACCGCCGCCATTCGAGTACTCGATCGATCTGCCCCCAGAGGGTGCCGAGGTGCCCTATGTCAAGAACTACGAGCCACCACCACCCGGATCCGAGCCAGAGCCTGTGCCAGCTGCTGAAGGAGAGGCTGCTCCGGCGGCTGAGGGAGCTGCTGCTCCGGCGGCTGAGGGAGCTGCACCACCAGCGGCTGAGGGAGCTGCTCCTCCGGCGGAAGGTGCTCCTCCTGCCGAGGCTGCTGCTCCTCCAGCTGAAGGTGCCGCCCCTCCTGCTGAAGCAGCGGCTCCTCCTGCTGCCGAGGGTGAAGCTGCTCCTGCTCCGGCTGAAGCAGCCCTGCTGCCGAAGCCCCAGCCGCCGAAGCTGCTCCAGCTGAAGCACCAGCCGCCGAAGCGGCTCCCGCTGCTGCCGAAGGCGAGGCACCACCAGCCTAATCCCAGCTCAGCCAATCCCCGAGAGAAACTGCTGCACATCGTCGAAAGAGAACACAACTGCTACCAACTGCTGCCCTGCTTTTAAAAAAAACCTAGTTTAGAGCACGTTTTTAAAACCATTTTATTTTATTTTAAAACGAAACACAAAACGAAATTGAATTAAAAATTCAGTTAACAAAAGCATTCTAAAAACGAAGTGCTGCTTACTTTTTTCGTTTTCTTGCTACCTTTTTATTTATTTTAAATTAACAGCTAGCGCAACCTTGCCGATTTTGCGAACTCAACTGCTGGCTTTTTTATTTATTTTGCCCGAAAGAGGTAATTATCATCGGTTTATGTCGAGATTATATGTTTTTAAGTGTGAAGGTCTCAGTTTGTGTCAGGTCTTAAGTGTAATTTTAATGATTTCTTATGCATTTTTATTAATTTCGTTCCTTACTCTTGCGTTCTTTTATGATTTTCCACACACACCAACTTGAACAGACGACCTGGTCCTGGAGAAGGAGCGCTACAAGGACATTGGAGACGATCTCGACACCGCCTTCGTCGAGCTCATCCTCAAGGAATAAGCGAACCGCCCTTGACGGAACCTCGACCTCAGTTGAAATTCGATCCGCACTTCTGTTTGCCCGGCACACCTTTCGATTGTTTTTACTGTAGCATAATCGTAGGCGCACTGTACTCGTAGTATTCTGTAGCCTCTCTACTTTTGATTTGTGTGTGTTTGTGTAGCTAATAGTTTGTAGATTGATTTTGACTGCGGACCAATTAGAGGAAGCATCGAAACAATTGTGTATTTGTTTGACTCAAACGTTTTTATTTATTATTTGTATCCAAACTAAGCAATAAAGCAATCAACTTGAAAATATAAATCCTGATACATTTGCCTTTATCTTTATTTCGTTTTCTGCCGCTGCAGACGAGGTGAGCAAAGGTAAGGAAAAGTACAAAACTATAGCTCAGGAACTGGAGTACGCCGATCTGAACAACTACTAAAGTGGGAGTACATCCCAATCCATGAGGAAAAGGAACAGCAACTACAGCCAGAACAACAAATGCAGCCTGCGATCTACAAAATAAAAAGAAAAACTAAACAAAAATGGAGTCTGAAAGCATTTCGACGTCCAATTTACAAATTATTTTAGCATTACACTTCTTCGCCTAAGCATTCCAAAAAAGGTTTTCTAACATAAGAACAAAAGTGTTATCATATAGAAATTTTTTAGCAGTTATTTAATACCATTTGTATGAAGCAAAAAGTTAAGAAAGAGTTGTGTAACGAAAAAACGCTGCCATTTTCCTTGAAGTCACCTTTCAGCTCGAAAAAAATATCTGTAATTTTTGAAAAACTTAAACCCAGAAGCCCACCAGTCAATATCGTACATTACCATCTTCATAAATCTCAGTAAAGCTTGAGCCAAAGTCAATTTTCCCTTTAGTTTTCGTTGCTTGTGTTTCTTGGCAGTTCGCGAGTTGTATCTACAAAATTTCTATGGCCTTTGTATGGAATTAAATAATAAAACAAGAAAACATTAATGTAGATTATATAATGGAAGACGTATAAATTAAATTTACACATTTGACATAGCTTTTGTAATTCTATGTAACATGCAAATCAAATAAAACAATGTATGTATTTTTATTTACCACTCAATATTTTTATGATCAATAAACAATAAATCTTTTGCATATAAAAATGTTTCTAGAAATTTTTATTCAAGCGGTTGGGCCAGATTTGCGAAGCGAAATAGTTTTTGGGTTGGCAGAGCGGTGACCGATAGATATCAGAAAAAAATATTTCCCATGGCCATGGGCCGGGATATTTCTGCTAGCGACCTCTACGATATAGCGAGGAATATGCTGAGAAAAAATCGTTACTTTGTTGATCCAAGATGAACATTTTGTGGATATGATATTACAAGGATTATAGCCGCCGCACAAGAGATCGGCTGATATGACTAGGCTTTGCAGAAAGTAGATCTGCTTGGGATTTGCAGATACTAAAAATGTTGGTACCGCAAAAGTAGCTAGAGGTTTCCATTAAACGGTTTATTGGGCCTACCTGCCTGATAAACATCCGGCATTCCCAAAACCAAATGCTTATTTGTTGTATCGTTAAAGAATACTTAAAAATCAGGTTACGTCATGCACCGGTCCATAGGGGGAAGAATTTGTGGATAAATCCCCCCTCAGTTAAAGAATGAAACAAAATGTGGTATTCAAAAAGTATGCAACAATAATATTTAGAAAACCGTCCACGACAATAGCCATTATCCACAACTGGGTTACGTCATTAAAGCAGTAAAGAAATTAAAGATAAGCAAAGCTCAGAGATATTATTTTTGATTTTTATGTAAATGTTTTATGATTTTGTGGATCATTAGGCATTAATTATAGGATTATTATAAATAACATGTACAATGTACATTGTACATATACATCAACGAAATAAATAACGTCTGTTTTTTACCAACAGTTTTATACAGTTTTATATTTGATTAGCGATCAAAGACAGGTTAAATTCTAATGATATAGACCCATCAATATCTTTTTAAAGAAATCCTCTGCAACGGACACCTTGGTTACAAAATTTCGGATCATTTGTCTTGCAGTCTTCGCATTTGAGACTTTCGAAAGCAAAAGAACGGCATCCAAAACGCTGGCCGATCAAAATTCCAAATATTTCTCAATATTTTTTACCGAGCGAAAATAGATTTTCATCTTGTTAGACTTTTGCTCTTGCTGCTTGTTGCTATTTTTAGCCGTGTATCTGACGGATACACAGATACAGCCGAGAGAGCTGTGGGTAAAAAAATAAATTGAATTTAAATTTAAGAAGGAGAAAGAAAAACGCATAAATTTCACGAGAATGCAGGCGAGAGAGAGAAAGCAGAAGCAAGTAGCTTTTGGGGAAATTTTGAGGGAAATTTTCGAGATCGCCGAGAAAAGTTTCGAAAGCGCTTTTGCACATATATATTTTTTAATGGGAAATTTTTAAGGCGAGAAATTATTCAATACTGCTTTGGTGTGAGCCTCATGTGTGTGTGAGATTTTCCGATTGCCACCATGTCCATGTGTGTGTGAGTTTTTCAGTTTTTCCGAGTGGCAGTGTGCGTGTGCGTTGGATCTTGGGGTCGCTTTCTGGGCTAAGCAACTTGGTCATCATCAGTGTTCTCGGGGTTTCGACAGCGTATAGTGTGTTTGAAACGCTAAGGTTGGTCACGTAAGGATTTTCACCCGATAAAAATTAACACAAAAATAATATAGTTAAATCGCTCGCCTTTGCAGCTAAGCAAATTGGTATTTTCAACTGTTTTCGAGTGAATACAAAAATTGTGAAAAGTGCATCGCATTCGAATGCAGGGAAAACTAAAAATTTCGGACTTTCCCCAATCAAATTATGGAAAACTTAACTAATACGTCAAAAATAAATGTGCATATGTATATGTGTCAAGCAGTCTGGATTAAGTAGTCTAAAAAATCTAAAAAAAAGTGAAGAAATATTAAAACAAGTGAAAGAATGGTATTTTATGCCTCAAAAAAGGCTTCAAAAACTCTTTCAACCATTCCGAAATGGAATGCCTATAATAATTTTTCGGACATTTTAAAAATTCGCTTATAAGGAATTTTGTAACTAAATCTGACGGAACCAATACCATCCAAAAAAAAATATCTGTGTGTGTGAGAGAACATTTTTTTGCACACACACATAAGCGTCACTCGGAAAGCTCCACACGAATAGGACACATATACATATGCACTTAACACACCTATTGGCACGCACAATTTTCACACACACACACACTACCAATAGAGTTTTCCTCGAAGAAAATTCTTTAAAATTAACTGCAGACAGACACCTGCCTGTCCCACACACATACATACTTACCCATTTATTTTTAACTTTGGCTGAAATTTAGACGAAAAAGCTTTTTCCTCTAGCTTTATGTGATCTCATAAAACGAAGGCAGTCGAAAATTGTGGGTATTTATCCTTGAGATTGTTTTCGAGATATGGGCGAGAGAGATATTTTGGAAAATATTAGAGATTGAGACGGTTCCCAGATGTGGATACATATCGTAAATGTCTGGGGATACATATATGCATGGCATAGACACCCACTCGAAATTGGGGATTTCAGAACAAATAAATATTTTCTTGCCATTTTAGAATGAATTCGAAGGCCAAAAATTTTGCTTTCTTATAGATATACATTTAAACTGATTGAAAACTTAAGTACTTTTGGCAGACATCAAATTATAGTATGTGTTAGGAAAAAGCTCTTAAATTTATTATAAATTAATTAAAGTCTTCGGGAAGACATGAAAAGAATCCGGGATTTAAAATTAAAATATATTATTTCAAATTTAATCTACTTATATTACTTTATTATCACCCACCTTGGCTATCTTTTCTCTATCCTATAAATCTTCCTTCCAACAATGCTTATACTGATAGCTTTTAGGGAACAAAACACTTTAAAGTATCGAAAGACCTCCAAAATATCAGCAACTACAACATAAATGACTTTGTCCCACTTTCGGAGGAAGCAACATACATAGATACACGAATAGATACGCCCACGCACAAAATGACCCCAAAGAATTGAAAACTTTTCAAATTGCAATCTCTTCGTGGCTATTTGTGTGCGTGTATTTCGAAATAATAGGGGGAAACTCTAGAATTACATTTAGCACACAATGTCCAAAAAAGCATTTCTCCTATGCGAGTGGACTGGATATTTTTTCTCACATGCAAAAGCATATAAAGTTTATTTTTAACCCTACAGAATCGTGCAGCAAATAAATATATAGCTCACAGCCAGATCCGGATTCGGATTCAGAGTGGGCGTTTTGAAAATGGAAAATGAAAATTACGTGAGATCTTAAAAATGCTCGGCGTAGCCAAACAAAATGTGTTTACATTTAAATTTTGAAATTTATTGCACTGATACCTATTCACAGCACACACATATATACATATATATTTAATTATATGTACTTACAGATATAGACTTTAATATATAGAATCCGCCTGGAGCGTTCAAACAACCCGATTTTCAATTGCATTCGTTGAAAGTTTAAAATAATCAGGTGTCAATTGAAATACTGCAGGTTAAAGGAAAATGTTTATTTATATTCGTTTAGTTAAGCGGAACCTTGTACAGAATGTTTTGAAAAGAAACCGGAAAGTTTTAAGTTTAAAAGATTATAATCTTAAAAATCGTTACTTACGAAGAGATAACTTCTTTTGAAACCCTGCCATTATAAATTTAAGATCAAATCTTAACTGATTGATTTGCTGAAACAAAATTTAAAATATTATGTTCCTTGAGGTCTACATTTTAGAAAACCGGAAATTCGATAATAATTGAATAATATAAGTACATATATGTTTTTCGAAACGTGAATGTACTTTCATGCTTTGCAGTAATACCATACCATAATATTTATGTTCAAGAACCAGTTAGCCTTCCATTCTAATCCTTATTCCTTGCCACAGTGCTTTTTCCAGTTTTCTTTTCTCCTAAGCCAACAACAAAAACACAAACACCATGGACGCCATCAAGAAGAAGATGCAAGCGATGAAGCTTGAGAAGGATAACGCCATCGACAAGGCCGACACCTGCGAGAACCAAGCCAAGGATGCCAACTCCCGCGCCGACAAACTGAACGAGGAGGTCCGCGATCTGGAGAAGAAGTTCGTCCAGGTGGAGATCGATCTGGTCACCGCCAAGGAGCAGCTGGAGAAGGCCAACACCGAGCTGGAGGAGAAGGAGAAGCTCCTGACCTCCACCGAGTCCGAGGTGGCCACCCAGAACCGTAAGGTGCAACAGATTGAGGAGGATCTGGAGAAGTCCGAGGAGCGCTCGACCACCGCCCAACAGAAGCTGCTGGAGGCCACCCAGTCCGCCGATGAGAACAACCGTATGTGCAAGGTGCTGGAGAACCGCTCCCAGCAGGATGAGGAGCGCATGGACCAGCTGACCAACCAGCTGAAGGAGGCCCGTATGCTCGCTGAGGATGCCGACACCAAGTCCGACGAGGTTTCCCGCAAGCTGGCCTTCGTTGAAGACGAGCTGGAGGTTGCTGAGGATCGTGTCCGCTCCGGCGAGTCCAAGATCATGGAGCTGGAGGAGGAGCTGAAGGTGGGTTAACTTTTTGCTTGGGATTTAAAAGATTTTGAACATGAACTTTTCTTATAAAGGTCATAAGGTTTCCTATTTTAAAGGAAAACTCTTGCTTTTACCACCTTCTCTCAGAAAAAGCTGTTCTGTTGATCTTAAAACTTATCCAAATTCATTTAATCTCAAGATCTTATAATTGAGATCTTTCATTTCGAAAAACAATGTTGAGAGTACGTTTGATTTCAAAAGTTTTTTCTCGAATAAGTGAAAAAACGAAGATTCAAGAACTTTTCTTCTCAAAGAAGTGAGAAGACTTTTCAAGAAGATTTTCTTCTCGAAAAAAGAATTAAGAACATTCGATCTCGCATTTTTCCTATCAAAATTTTTCTGCGTGTTCTAAAAATATTTTTACATATGAAATTAGGTTGTCGGCAACTCTCTGAAGTCCCTGGAGGTCTCTGAGGAGAAGGCCAACCAGCGCGTGGAGGAGTTCAAGCGCGAGATGAAGACCCTGTCCATCAAGTTGAAGGAGGCCGAGCAGCGCGCCGAGCACGCCGAGAAGCAAGTGAAGCGCCTGCAGAAGGAGGTCGACAGGCTAGAGGGTATGTATCGCAGTCCTTATCCCCCACAACACCCATTCAGCCATCTCCCGAGGAGGCATCTCTCCACGAGACGCCGGAGATGATGCTGTCCGCAGGAAGTGATCCGACTCGATCAGCCGGATGGCTGGCTTCAACTAATGCTCGCATTGTATTTATCGCCATACGGATATTAATACTCTTACTTAGTACTCTGCTTTCATTAATTGACTTTATATAGTACATCCACCCATTTCGCTCTCGCCCTCTTTTAATTATCTCCATATATATTTGTATAAATGAACAACAAACCAAATGCTTTTTGCAGACCGTCTCTTCAATGAGAAGGAAAAGTACAAAGCAATCTGCGACGATTTGGACCAGACATTTGCCGAACTTACTGGATATTAAAAAAAGATCGAAACAGAACTCACACAGAGCCCCTTCCCAAAGAAAAAAAACAAAAAGACAACACACCTTCAGTACTCCCCCACAGTTTACTATATATATTTATAATTTCTTCAAAGATCCCCCGACAGTTTCAGTGTATTTACCAACCACCCACCCAACCCACACACTTCTGTCACCACCCACCATACACTGTAAATAATCTGTTTAGTCTCGCTTGAATGTGGCCACACCCACAGTTCCCTACCAGTTTCCCACGCCAGTACACTGTAAAAATAAGTTCAGATCAAGCCAAACCAAGTTGCAACTGTAGTTAATACAGGTGAATTTATCAATGTACATATTGTTGTTAATTGTATGCCAGATTCTTACCCGTTTTGATGTGGCATGACCTCTTGACCCGTCTCGCCTGCCCAGAATCTCAGCACTCAGATCAGCACTCAATCTCAAACTATGTGTATCTCTCTCTTCTTCTTCTCGTCGATCATCCGTATAAGTCTAAGTCCCGTCCCGAGTCATTAAATGGTATTCGTTTCGAGCTGATTTCGCTGGGCCTTGGTTGAGTGAATCTCTCATTTCCGCACAAGCCAAGGATTTCTGCAACGATTGGTTGGATAGATCATGGCTAGATCCCGTAGAGCACCCATTAGATAACCCCTAGCCCACGCACAGAACCGCTGACTAACCCATAAAATAGAAACGCTTGCCAGAACAGCGTGTCACTAATCAGAGCCGAGCTCCCAATAAAGGATCTATAAACTTAACAAGATAAGAGTGGAACCTACAATATATCATATATAAGAAACACCTTATTCTCAAGTCTATAGAATCTTTTCTCTAAAGAATTCGCACAGTGTAAAGTTTAAGTGTTCTGTGTTCGATTCAAATGTTGCTGTGTGCTAAACCCATAGTTTTGAGCATTTTCTAATATTTTTACCATAATTTACACTCCGCAGACGAGTTGGGCATCAACAAGGACAGGTACAAGTCCCTGGCCGACGAGATGGACTCCACATTCGCCGAGTTGGCTGGCTACTAAAATGGCCAATAGTCCCAGAAACCAATACCAAAACCAAAACAACAACATCGAGCAGCAGCGGAGGAAGATGGAGACGACGAGGAACTCTACTAATTGTAAACGAATATCTCAGATTGATTTTGCTAGCGACAAGAACTGCAGCCTCAGATACCAAGAACAACATCCATTGTGTATACAATTCTTTATAAATCTATATATTTCATAATAAATAAATAACAACAACAACCAGATCAACAACAGCAACCAACAACAAGCATAGATTGTGTAGAACCAAGGATAACAGCAAATGGAAACTCTATTATTTTATAAAAAATAAAATTATCTAAAAGTAAAACGTAGCAGAATGTAAAAAAAAAACCCAAAAACACGAATTTTGTATTTTTAAAGCCAATGTTTAAAAATATTAAGAAGTCAGGTAACACGAGAGAAAAAGATAGGGAGAGTGCCCGAGAAAGAGACAGAGAAATATCTAAGAATTTAAGAAAGAAGCCTGCTTCAATTTGAATTTATATCTTACAATTACACAACAAACAAAAAACACCCACAAAAAAAGTATAAAAAAATTTATAAAAACTTTGCTAAAAAAAATTATATGTTTGATGTTTGCTTTCAATGATGCATAAAACTGATTTTCTTTGCCCGTCAGCGAACTCCGCTGAAATTTGTCAGAAATTTTCGGGTTTCAGACGGATTGGCGGTTATGCAAAGTCGGATTCGGTTTTTTCAATGATTTCTTGCATTTTTGGGAAACCCCATGGATGCTGAACCGAAATAACCGAGTTCGATGTGCGTCATCACTTCATCGACGATGGATCACGATCCGCAAATCGAGGCCTTCATTGCAACATCGATAACATCTGCTAATTGTCAAAGCAATGAATAATGAAAGTTCAGAAATACCTGAAATAATATTCTTGATTGTATCTTCAGGGTGAATTTGAGAGATCTCTAGTAGATGTGGGCAGTTCACTGTTTGACCATCAATAATCCAGTTGAGGCCGAGTTCCACACGGGGGTCTGCTTTCTCGCCCAAATGGACTCGCCCGGTCTTCTTTTCTTATAATTAATCTTTAATTCCCCCATCTGGCCACCGGGGGGATCGCCCCTCGCTACGTGGTGCCATAAAATAGTTATTAAATTTTAAGTGGTGTGTTAAATTGCACATTAAAAAGCTCCAGTCATTATTTACATAATTTACATTATGGTATTAATGCGGCAATATGTTTATCTTATGAGAGTGGGGCATAAACTGGAAAAGAAAAATGTCACTTCAAGTTTAGGAAACTTTTTTATTATAATAAAACTAATAAACTATGGATTTATAGCTTATCTCATTTTAAAAAACCATTAAAACTGTAGGTACTGTATTCTGTTTTTATAATGAAAATTTCTCGAGAAATAAGAGCATATTCAAATGGAAACAGAAGACTAAAAATTACATATAGCGGTTCTATTATGATAAGTTATAATCTTATTTTCAAGCTTAATTTTGTTTCATTCTCAAAAATAAGCTAAATCAGCCTTATTAATAAGTTAAATTCAGGAAATATCTCCAAAAAAGTAGAGCATATCCATATGAACTAGGCATTCCAACTTCATTTCTTAAGACCATTAGTTTTCGCTTCAATTGACAGCCCCATAAGCCCCGTCAATTACCTAATCTGGGCCAATTTGATGGAGTGCAAACATTGGGTCGGGCCACAAAAGCTGCGAGAGATACACTGATGCCGATAAAAGCCCAATGACTTACATTTGCCAAGAGCCAACCGAAGGAGAAAGTGAAATTTTGCATTTCTCGGCGGCTGGCTGGCAGCAACAACAATGGATCTGAGGTCTGGGCCATTGCCATTGGTGGTGAGCGGTACGGAGAGACTGGAGACCGGAGACCAGCTTGGACCGGCTGAAGGCCCAAAGTCAAGCTCAGCCGACTTCAGTCGCGGTTTTCAGCTCGACGCAAGCGAACGGACGTCTAAGAAAAGCGGACGCGGCTTTAACCGCACGGAAAACGCAACGAAATCGAAAGTGTGTGCATAGCGCGCGACTTGAATCGCCAAGTGCTTCGTTTGTGGCGGGGGCAATATACCAAACCATACCCATCCGTCAACATTACGTGTCATCATGCCGCCGGCTGGCCAACAACTCCGGCTTGCAGCCCTTGTTTACCTGACTCTAGGTCTGGGACTCTTATGCAATGCCAGCGATGGTGAAACTGGGCAAAAATACGCCAATGAATCGCTCGCGGAGGCAGAGGCTCCCGTCTGGTCGCAGTTTCTCGAAGATTACGTCTTGAGGTGGGTTTAAGGAGCAATAGGAAATAACATTAAGTAAATTACCCACGCATTTTATAGCCAAGGTAGCAGTAGCAGTGGCCAGCGAAAGTCCAAAGACCTGCCCTATATGGGTGGGGATATGGGCATGAATGGTCCGCTCAACTATCACTCATCCGCCTACAAGCGACCCGGCAAAACATCTACATAACCAGGAGGATTGGCGAGGCGGTGGAGCTGGAGCCCCATCTGCGAAAGCCCGTGGAGAGCCAGAGTCCCATTGTGAATCCCCAATTTCGACCCATGACCAATCAAATGTTGCACCAGCAACATCAGCAGATGCAGCAGCAACAACTGCAGCAGCAGCAACAGCAATTGCAGCAACGCCAGCAACCTGGTTTCTTGCAGCAACTTTTTGGCATAGGTGGCAGTACTGGAGGTGGTGGAGGTAATCCTCCCCAGCAGCATGTGCGTCCTGTCCGCTGCAGCAGCAGCAGGCGCCGCAGCAACACCTCCAGCAACATCCTATAGGCGGTGGAGGTGGCCACCAACCACTTTTCGAGCTGTTTCCGAGAATGATCTTTATCTGCTGGGAGCCATTGAGAAGTTGGTATATCGAGTGGGTAAGTTGTTAAATAGATGTTTCTCAAATATGTAAAAAAAAAACAAAACATTAACCCTAATCCCTTTCAGACTATCTAGAAAGTCGCGTGCGGCGCTCAGAGCATTGATCTACTACCTCATGGCCGGCAACAATCAGAAAGAGGTAAAGGATCCCTGTCCCACGAACTTCACTCGCATCAGCGACAACTGCTACTACATCAACAGCCAGCAGCAGGTGAACTGGAAGACGGCCAATTCCGCGTGCAAGGGTCTCAATTCGCACCTGGCCGAGTTCGAAAAGGTCTCGGAGAACGAGGAGATCATGGCCTATCTGCTAAACCAACCCGCCCACAGGGGTCGCGATTACTGGCTGGGCGGTCTGAACCCGGGACTCCTTTGGATCTGGTCCAACTCGGCCAAGCCAGTGAATCCCAACATGAATCTAACATCGATTGCCATGAACCAGAAGGGTGAGAACTCCACGGTCGCCAATCTGGTGGACAGTTCGGAGCACGCGGCGGAGGAGGGGGCCGCCGAGGATGTGCTGAACAACACGGTTCAGATCGAGGGCAAAGGTCGTTGCCTGCGGCTGAGCTACAATGCCGGGAAGCATAGCTATGTTACTACGGACAGGAGTGCACCTCGCGACACTACTACATTGCGAGCACGAGGACAAGACGCTAGACAACAAGATCAAGAAGATCGCCCGTGAGCTAAGGCTCGTCGAGTGAGGATTCCAATCCAATCCGATCCTCATGTGATACTCCAGTTACCTAGCCATATCTATCGACTAATTTCGAATGAATTTATTCTTGTGTTACACATTAAATATTTATAAATATTTATACAATTAATAAACATATCTGATAGTGTTCAAAACGTTTTAAGGATACTTTGTTCTTACACAGCAAAGCTTTAAGGGATTTAACCAACGAAAATTAACAAAGAAAATAAACAAGATCGAAAGTGGAACTGGGTTCCGTTGCTAAAAGCGGAAAGTATACACAGAGATCAAAACTAGTCTGGATAAAGATAGTCCTGCAGTATGTTCTGGAAGGCTATCTTGATCTTGCCGCGATCGCGCCCATTGAGCTTCTGTATATCGGGCAGCAGGCTCATCAGAAACATGGCATCCGGATCGGACTTGCAGTCGCACAGCTCCACACCGCCATTGGACACGGATCCGCTTTGCGGGTTATTGACTTCCATGCGGGAAGAAAGCGACGACGGCGGCACCTGTTGATGTCCTCCATGCACATGGTTGTGCCCGTGACGTTGACTCAGGTAGCTATTGCTACTGCTGGGCGCATTCGGAGTGGCCACTGCTGCTGTTGAAGGTGTGGGCAGCTCCACTTCCGATAGGCCGGCATTTCCTGGAACTCCTACTCCGCCGCTGTGAGTTGTGGTGCTGACCAGATCCGCGGGCTTACTAAATGTGGGACGCACAAAGGAAATGTTTGGGTGGGCCGGCTGCGAAGCGAAGTTAACGCTGGGCACAGCTGCCGTTGAAGACTGGAGCTCTTGGGAGCGCGGTCGAATTGCTCCCCGCATCTCGTCGTGGTACGCGCGCATCTGCAAGCGACCCAAGTGCATTCGACTGGTGTGCGGCTGCTGGTTGGCATAACGACGCTGAGCCTCCGCCGACGAAGAACTAGAAGTGGGCGCCATCTTATGTGGGTCCTGTTCCTCCGGCTCATCGTCATCCGGCTCGTGCGCCTCCTGTAAAATTCATCAACCGGCTCCTCGCACTCCGACTTTATGTCATTGCTATCCAACTGGCTGTGATAGCGGCTGTTGCGCTGTTGCTCCTCCTCTATGATGTCCTCCAGCTCGGAGTTGTTGTGCTCCGCCTCGTCAAAGTAGTCCAGATAGTTGTCCAGCTGCTGAGCCGGCGGCGACTGGTGAGCGGAGGGAGTGGGCTGGACACCACCGCTGCTGCTGGCCGGGATGGCCACCGATCGCTCCCTCTGCATGCGATTGGACAAGCTGGAGAGGTGTGCCAGGGCGTCCTGCACCTGGGTGTCCAGGGACTTGGATTGCTGGTGCTTCTTGCGCAGATAAGGATGCAGGAAGAACATGCGGTCAAAGTAGGACCAGCAGGGCGGCACCTTCTCCTCCAGATAGTTTGTGTACTCGCGCCGGAACGAGATGCGCAGATTAGTCCACTTGGCCAGACTGGCGCCTGGATTTTTTCCAGCTTGAGGTCCACCTCGCGCCAGAAGTTCTCCACGTACGGGCGACAAAAGTAGTATTTGTGGCGCGGATTGTAGATGGCCTCGTCGCGTTGGACAATGTCAATCAGCTTGAAGACCTCCTCCGTCAGCCAGCGGGAAGCACTGCAGCTGGCATTTGGATTGCTGGACACGAACTGGCTGCCCCCGAAGTCGGTCGTCATCATGGGCGGGCTGTTGTGGCTCCTAGGCAACCGGTCCAAAGGATTGGCTTTCAGACGGCGTTTCCAGCGCTCGCCATGATTTTTGCGAAATATTTTTATTGTTTTTCCTAAGTGTTCTTTTAAGTGCTGTCGCTGGTTCCGCGGCGAACCAAACAGGCGGCGGAACTAGTTCCAAGCGCAGAAGGTTTCGCGAACTAAGACCGTTTATGCGTTCTCAAGTTTGCAAGCAAAATTTTAAGCTCTTAAAATAAATTATTATCTAATTAAATAAAATTTAATTAATTTTTTTCTGTCTGTAATTTCTTTTATTTCGATCCCGTTAGAATCCACGTGCATTTGCGGTAAATTATACGGATAATGCTAAAAACGCTACACGCTTATAAGTCACTCGCGTATTTGTAGTCAAACAAATGAAAACAGGGTTTCCACTATTCAGCCCATTCAGACAAACTTTCAGTGTTGCCCAAATGTTTCTTTTCTTGAGATTTGGTACGAAAACAGCATCCAAGCACTTGTGTCAATATTTGATACACCGAAAATGATAGGTATAAAATAGAGAAATTCTTTCACAGAGTTATCACTGTTAAAACAGACTACTAAAGATGAAGTTCTTCGCCATCCTTTTCTTCTGTGCGGCATTGTAGGATTTGCCGTGGCCGCAACAGAACGTCGACGACGACGGAAGCTTCTGATGCCTCCATTACCTCTACCGCTTCATCTGTCCCAGCTAACCCCTGTGCAGGCGGATCCAAAGCGCTTTGCGGCAAAAAACTTTACTTCTTTTACTAAATAAGTTTTAAACCTAAACGTAAAGGTAAACAGTAAAAACAGAAAAAGTAAATTTTTTTTGGTACTTTTGAAGTATTCTCAAAATCCTTTCGAAATAAAGTCCAATTTTTTTATTTGATAATTAAAATATATTTTTTATAGGGGTCCTAAAACAATCTTGCATACTCACTGCGCACAGCTAATTAAAATTGCGAAAGCGAAAAAGTTTAAAAATGTTGCAAAAGCAGTGAAAACCGTGGACGAAAGGATCAATTATATTGTTCCCTCTAAAAACAAAAATATAACTTGTTATATGCAAACTACTACAAATGTTAAATAATTTCTTATGTTAACATTACAGATTTTCGTATTTTATGCCATTTCTATTTATTTCACTGTTTTGCAGCTGATACTGTACATTGTACTCTGTATTACTCTTTTGGGTTTTTCAAAGAAATGTCATAACGCCAAGTACAAAAACTCTGTTGCAGAAACACCCTCTGTCTGAACAGGCATCTTTTACTGGTCTGCGGTCACACTGCAGCTTGTGCCAAAACCGATATTTCGATAACTACGCTATGGAGGAATTTTTGAAGACGTTGTTTGTTTGATTTTCTGCTCAAACTAGCTTTTCTTTCTACTGCTGCGTAAATGCTGCCTTTCGTACGAATTTATTCTGGATATTGACAGAGCAGATGGCTCTGCAGGTAACAGTAAATGGAAAGTTCGGGGCCAACTTGAGGAGGCCCGTCAGCCGACTGGACGATCCGGAGCGGGTGCGCAAAGATCTCGAGAGTCAGCGTCGCATAACCCGTTTGCAGCAGGTAAGCCCTTCAGTTTCGGAGCCCATTGCGCAGTAATTACAAGACTGACCGCGACCCGATTTCCCACCAGGTGCGTGAGAAGTCTAACACCTGGCACGCCACATCCGCGAGGAGGTGGCCGCTGAGAAAAAGCGTCAAATCGACAAACTAGAGCAGGTCAAGCAAAAGGAACTAAATGCGTGGCGTGAGCATGTTTTGGTCAAAAAGCACCAGGACTACCGCTCGGCCATTTTCCAGGTGGGCGCCGCCCATCGTGCCGCAAGGGAGGAAAACCAGCGCATCGAGCAGCAGAAACAGGAGAGAATCGAGAAAATCAAAAAATGCCGCAAGCAGGCCTTGAAAAGATCGGGAAAAACCAGTGTGGAGTTAAGAGCCACAAACGGAATGAATCTGAATTCGGAGGGACGTGCGACGGCAGGCACACAAACGCCCTTGGTGGAGGACAAGGAAAATCGACTGGCCAGCGGATGCCATAAACCCTGCTGCAAGGGTAAGCGTAAAAGAACTGCCAGCTGCAGTTGTGCCACCACAGACGAGGAGGAGGAGGAAGGGGAATCCTCCCAGGACGACTCATCCATCCTCATCAGCGAGAGTCCCATCAGCAACCGGCGTCTCCAGAAGACCCCCCCGTAATCCTTGACGTGGAAATCAATGAAACCATTTCCGAAACCCACAAAAACCCTGAAGGTTTGGATATCAACGATCGTTCATTCAAACAACCGCAAATTTAGCCATGTGGTGAGACCTAGTGAGTGTGGTGAGGAACCCCAGCGTCGGCCGAGATTCACCCAGATCAGCGATTTGGTAAGGAGAACCGAGACTACTACTACCATACGAAATGATCCAGGACAAAGGGATACAGATCATATCCCATCAGTATCTCCACCTCCTAGTCCCACCAAATCTTTGCCAAGATCTCCCAGAAAAAATATAGACCGTGCGGAGACTGTGCCCGCTGCAGCTCCCAGAAAATCACCCATTAAAGCAGCCAAAGGATCACCCAAGAAAACAACAACATCATCACGCAAACGACCAGAATTAAAATCAAATCTAGCTCCTGCCAAGGTTATAGATGCGGGACTTCGAAGGACTCAAAGGGCTAAGACCCCAGCAACTCTGCCTAAAGTCACAGCCATTCAGGAGCCAGCACCAGAGCCTCCGCGGAACCTACAACCCATTCCAGAGCAAAACATGCCACCCATGCCAAATCCAACTATGTCCCATTGTTATCCTGTGCCTCAGCCTCAGCCATATATGCACCCATATTCCCAACAGCCTATGCAACCATATGCAATGCCATATTCAATGCCATTTCCCATGCAACCACCATATCAACAAACTCATCCATGTTTGCACCACAGCAAATGATGCCAAACCAGCCAGCTGTACATGTTCCCGCTGTGACTGCTCCGCCGAGCACTGCCACCCAGTCGACCGTCTCCACAACCACTTTTGTCATGTCCACGCGGCAGGATCCCAAGGGAACTCAAGGCACCTCTGGACGCGTTCAGTTTTACGATCATGGCAATAAGTATCATCGAACATATGATGCTCCAACACAAACTGTTCAGTGCAATGAGAAGGATGCAGGCCAACTGACTGCAATGGATCATGCTCGCATCGAAAATCAACTGAGGGAACTGCGGGAACAAGAACTTGACAAACTCAGGTAGAGTTCGATTTAAGTAGCATAATGTGAAATATTTTAATTAAAATATATCTTTAAATAGAAAAATCAGCAACGATCGTGGTCAGAAGGCTTTGGAACGCGAGCAAGTGCGGCGGGATTGTGCAGAATTGACAGAGAAACTGGATGCTCTAACCCAACAGCAGCCACAACTCTTGCCTAGCGATGTGAGTGATTCAAATACAACTGTACTTTAGTTTCTATTGTATATTTAAACGCCACCAGGCCAACATTATACCAAGTCATCGGTTCGCGGATGTGGCTGCCAGGCGAGAGCAGAAAATGAACGAGGCCATGGAACAGATGCTGCTACGACCGGCTATAATCACCTGCCCCGAAGTGCGCACCAAACCAATCCTACAAACTCGGCTCGCAGCAAATCCACCGCTCCAGCAGCACTCAATGTGGGCGAACCTCCTGTTCAAATGGGTCGGGATAACCTGGGCAGCACAGAGAGCTGCTGCTCCATCCTTCTCGACTATGTTGATGATCAAAGCAAGCAGCTAAGGTCTGACCTTAAGGCCGAGCAGTCCAACTCTCTGAAGTCAATGAGGTTGCGAAGTTTGCTTGAGCGCATCGAAAAGATCCGAATCCAGCTGTTGGAGGAGCTGAAGGCGGGTGAGGCAGTCGGATCGAGAGTGACAATGCCCAGGAGATGATCGATAATATACGTCAAGAGCGAGCGGATATTCTATCCGAGAGAACTAAGACGCTGAACGAACGTGAATCAGATCTGCAGCAAAAGGAGGCTATTCTCGAGCAGCGCCTAAGGAAGTTTTATAAGGAAACGAAAAGTAAAAAGTCCAGTGAAGGAGATCAGGCAAAGCCATCCTCAAGGGACGACGGGCCACTGGAGATTATTATCAAAGTGAAGAGCGACGGCACTGTAAAGCAATATGTACCGAGGGGTAAATCGAAAGCCAAATCAAAACCGGCAACCATCGAAAATGAAAAGGAAGTTCCCGTTGGCTAACAGAAAGCACGCCCCGCGAGGAAGCTGAGAAGCAGCCAGAAAAGGTAAACGGAAAGCGACCCTTGTCACAAGATCATCGTCAGATATCAATAGATTCCAACTCCACCGCCTATCGCAGTTTGCCGCCAGTAAGCTACAAAGCTTCAATCCGGGAGTGGGTTCCATGCCTTCTCCTCCGACGGCTCCTGCAGCCGAAACATTGCATCCGTTGGTTATTCAATATATAAATCGCCTGCTTGGATGACCCGTCACAGCATAGATGAAATGGGTGTGAGCTCTTCATACGTTGCCACACCTTCAACATCGATCATCAACTCATCGAGAAACGTAACGCCTTGCGTCCAGGCTGAAACAGAAAAAACTGATGGAACTCAGGATGATGAGACTGCAATCAATGAACAACGCATAGAACGAGTGCAGACTTTCATTGCCGACAATCGCAGCTTTATCAATGATTTGCAGGACTCTATACGATGTCAGCAGCAGTTGCAGAAGGAGCAGCAATCGCAGGACAAAGAGAAAAGTGTGCGAGCATTTGATCAGATATGGAACAAGCGATTGGCCAAGAATCTTGAAGATTGTCAGCCAAATAGGAAGGAGCAAGAGCAAATAAGACAAATGATGCAGGGACAAAGGGAAAAGGCGCCCACTCAGGGAGATAAGGTTAGGCAGCAGCGACAGGCAACAAACGACAAAGTGCAACAACAAAGAGATCAAAAAGGAAAGAACAAGAGTCCGGCGGGATATCCTTAAGCCTGCCAAGCGACGGGTCAGTGGCAAAAGCACATCACGCTTTGTGGCCGAGAAAACGAAATCGCAGTCTACTAGCGAAGAGTCATCTGCCCGGAATATGGAGCGATACGCGCAGCTCACCGAGAACTGCACACAGCGGATTGCCGAGCTCACGGATCTGATCACCAAGGTGCGCGAGGAGAAGCAGCGACTGGTGGAGGTCACACTCACATCGAACAGCGATGGCGAGCGTCAATCCACAGAGTATTTTGAGCTCCCAACTGGACAGCAACAAACCAGATGCCGAACCATGTCCGATCGCAGCGATTCCCAAACGCCTTCCATATCGGAGGCGTTGCCCCTGCAGAAGAATAAACCCACAGCAGCCAGCAGGGATAGTGGCATCGCGGACTCGCGTCCAATAACGGCCCAGGGACAGGTTAATGTGGACGTTGAACCAATCTCGTTGAATTCCTCAACGCAGGGCAATACAGCACGCGGCCGAGTAAGGCTCCTCCGGCCACAATTCGGCGGTACAGTCCTCAACTGAATGCCGAGGATCTGGCGCACGAGCTGTCCACGATCACAGAAGTGGAAACGCCGGGACAATCACATATTGTGGCCGCCACACCAGTGCCCAAGCCCTTTCCCAGTTTTGATCAGTATGCCAGGGAACTCCAGTTGGATCTGGCGGGGTTGGATGCGGACCAAAGCCAGCGCCTGCAGAGTGAATTTAATGAGTTGATCCATAGTATTAATCAGCGCACTGAAGGAGCCGACTACCGTGAGTTTCCTAGCATAAATGCCTATCTCCATAACATGACTAGCACCCGCATCCACCTGGAGATAGGTCAGGACGCCACCCTGTCACCGGGAGAACTGATGCGCCAACTGCGTGTGGTCAATGATAATATACAGGACTTCCCAAAACGCAGAGAGTACTTGCAGAAACTGATGGCAAGCAACCCGCCGATCAGAGGGAACTGATTGACAGTGCCAGTATCGAGCAGGATTCTTCGGATTCCTTTAACGTAGAGCAAGAACTGCGTCAGCGAAATATACTGAGGAACTCATTTCGACGGGGTAATGCGACTGACACCACATTGACAGGTCAGGAGGTGGCCAGCAGCACGCGGCGGGAAAGCGTTGGCCCCGTAAGAAACGATCCACCCAACGAGAGTGGAATTGATCCTCTCTCCGGCAGCAACTTTTCCAGCGATGGCGAGCGTAGAGCTCAGTGCTGGCATGCCACCATGCATCAGAGGCAACAGCAGGCGGATGAATTATGCAGCAGCACCACCACATCGTCGCCGGAACGGCCTTCACGAAAATCGAGGCTTCGTGGAGGTCAGGAGCGCAGTTACAGGTCCAGGGACGACTCCTCGGTGCAGGATGCGAGTCAGATAGGAAGATCCCTGAATCTAAGAGAATTCCTCACTCGGGAGCTTCTCAAACACCAAGTGCACAATGGCGAGACTTCAGAGAGTTCGGATGAGTCGTTGAGGGTCATTTCCTCAAGTCCGTCCTACATTCACTCTCGCCCAGCAGTAATACGCAAACACCAGGCGTGGGTCTAAGCCATGCCACCGGAGCCACCAACGACAGACAAAAGACCTCCACTCCAGTGGGTTCGTTTCTCTCCATTCCAGAGAAATCCGGGTCCGTTCACAGCAATGGCACCCAACTATTCTCCGGGGAGAGTCACATCTCTCTGGTAAACTATCCAGATGGCACTCCACCCATTCCTTATGAACAAAAAAGTAAACAGAGTACAAATCAAACTCGCCAATCCTCAGGTCAAATAGTATCAGGTGTAAAGACATCCCATCGAAAGTCACCTCGAAAATGATTGCATACATGTTGTTCAACTCGTTTGTTTAGGTTTTAAATTGTATAATTGATTTTTATGACAATTATTTATATTTTAATAAACTTTGCAATTATGTATCCAAAAATGACCATCAAAAACGATCGCATCAAATTTGCTCAATATGTATGTTAGGCTTTAAATTATATTACCAATTTTTATGAAATTTTTTATATTTTAATAAACTCGGCAAATATTTATTTAGTATCTATCTAGTGTTTCAAGTACCATGGTTCAGTACTATATACAATCACTTGCAGTAATGTACAGAATATATATACAGTATATATTGGATGAACTAACTAATATGTGGTTAAGTAAAGAGTAAACCACTGATGTTTTCAGGATTTGTCATGTTATGAGTTGGCGTACTTTTCACTGGCAATCTACAATAAAGTTTTCGTACAAATTTAACATTGCAGTCCCTGGTGTGGAGATTACATCTAAGTACAATACGTATAAGGCAGCACATCTAGACTTTTCGTTTACAAACTTAACAAGACTAAGTACATGAACCATTGAAAACATAAAAAGTGTGGTGTGATGTGTGTGTGAAGGGAAAATCATTTTGGTTCGGCTTTCATTTTGGACAATGCTCTGTTTCATCAGGGAGCCTAACAGCTGCAACCTTGAGACATTATAAGCACCAGATTTGGGTAAATGCGATTTGCGATGGACGCATCGATGGGACACCGCTTCTCACTCCCGTCCTTCATCTTCCTCGCGGTTTCGCTCGTCCCGCTCTCTCTGCATCCTCTTGTGACTGTCACTGGCCGTCTTTTTCAGGGCTTCCGCCTCTCCGCCCGTGGCCTCCACCATTTGCCGGAGATGTCCTTGTGACTTCTTCAACAGCAGATACGGTACATCAAATTCCACTGCCACGCCAGCATCCATCACGATAATCCGATCCGAATCCATAACTGTATGAAGTCGGTGGGCCACGGTAAGCACCGTGCATTGCTTGAACTTGATGCGGATGGTGCGCTGGATCAGGGCATCGGTTCTAAAGGATAAGATGGGTATACATTAGTTCTGTGGAGTAATACATCCCCTTGAAAAACTCACTGTGGATCCACATTGGCCGTGGCCTCGTCGAGCACCAGAACCTTGTTGTTTCGCAGAATGGCTCTAGCCAGGCAGAGCAACTGCCGCTGGCCCACGCTGAAGTTGCTGCCCCTCTCCGTGACCATGTAATCCAGGCCGGGAATGGCACCCCGCAGTTCCACATCCTCCAAAGCGCCCCACAGCTCGGCATCCGTGTACCGCTCGAAGGGATCCAGGTTGTAGCGGATGGTGGCCGAAAACAGAACGGGATCTTGGGGAATAATCGAGATGCGGGTGCGAAGGATCTCCAATGAAATCGATCCTGTCTCTATGCCATCGATGAGTATCTCTCCCTCGATGTGTGCCAGCCGGAACAGAGCTCCTATCAACGATGACTTTCCGGCTCCTGTACGTCCAACAATGCCCACCTTCCAGCCCGCCTCGATAATGAGATTAAGGTTCTTTAGTATCGGCGATCCATTGGGATCGTAGCGACAGCTCATGTTGCGGAACTCCACCTGACCACGAGTTGGCCACAGCAGCGGTGGAGTCTTCTCGCTCTGCGCCGGCTCCTGTTCCAGTTCGGTGTATTGCAGGACTCGCTCCACGCTGGTCATCTGTTGCAAGGACTCGGCCACCTGGCGCACTCCATACTGCACCATTCCGGTCAAGATCATGGCCTGGGCAATGGCCAAGCCCACGTTGCCACTATATGTTGCTGAAAGGGTAAAGTACAGATAGTGATAAAGCTCTAACATAATCCATAAAATCCTGAACTCACATTCACTGGAGATGATGAAACTGAAGGTAACTGCGGTGAGGAAGACGCAACTGACACAATCCAGCCACAAGCCCAAAGCCGTATTCGCCGCCATGGTCAGTTGCCACACGCTGCTGTGCACATCCTGCAGTAAATCAAACTCCTTGGCCACCACTTCCTGCAACTGGCGGGATCGAATGATGGCCAACCCGGAGAGGGAAGCACTCAGATGGGAGAACACAGGACTGCGGCAGATGCCCTCCAAACGCTTGAGATCCTGCGACGGTCGCAGGTACAGCTTCAAGATGAGTATATCCACAACGGCCACCACCAGCATGGCAGCCACCAGAATGGGATTCAGAATACTAATCACAATCAGAATACCAAACATCACCAGGGCGATCTGGATAAAGTCCATCATGGCCCGTGGAAGCAACTCATCGATGGCGCCCATATCCTTGGAGAAACGATTTAGAATCCTGCCCGAGGGTGTGGTGTCAAAGAATCTCATGGTGGCGTGCAGGATGCAGGCGAACATGCGATCGTGCAGCACCTTAGACGCATGCATACAGATCTTGAAGAACAGGAATCCGCGGAAAGTGGACATGATCACCACGGCAATGATCAGACCTCCGTAGATGTACATGCACTCGAAGGTGGTGAAGCTGGTGGCCTCTCCCTGTGATCGCTGGTGCTCCTGCTGTGTCCAGATGTTGGCAAAGTAATCCGAACTACTGCACACCACCTGGGACATGATCATCACGAACACCATGAAGCTGAAGCTCAGGAGAGTGCTGCCCGCATGGAAGTACTCGTACCAAACGCGGGTGATATGCCACCAGAGGCTTGGGCCTCGGCCAGAGCATCCTCATCCACTTCTTCATCTAGCTGCGCACTATCCAACTAAACAGGTTATCAGGTTAATTAGCGGTTGATAAGGACTAACAAAGATAATATAAAACCCACCGATTTGCTGCCATGAACCGAGTTACTCTGCTTTCTCAACTGCTGATACCCATCTTTTTCGCCATCAATGAAGGGTATGTCCTCGTCGTCGCTTTCTACTGAATATGCACTGAGCGTGGATGATTGCTGGCGACTGTTTTCCGCCTCATCCTCCTCCTTGGGTCGCTCGAGCAGCTTTGCGAAATCCAGATCGCTGTTCACCAACTCCTGATAGGTGCCCTGCCTCAAAATCCGGCCCTGGTCCACAATCACTATGATATCGGCCTCGGAGAGGAAGTGCACCTGGTGGGTCACCAGTATGCGAGTGGCCTTCAGCTGGGCCAGGCGGCCTCTGGGTCCAATCACCTCATCGAACAGATGCTTGCCCACGTGGGCATCCACGGCACTTAGCGGATCATCCATCAGATAAATCTGCGCCTGCTTGTAAACAGCTCGAGCCAAGCTAATGCGGGCTCTTTGACCTCCAGACAGGGATGCTCCTCGCTCCCCGACCACTGTTTTGTCTCCATTTGGAAGCTGTTGGAAATCCGTGGCGAGAGCACAGCATCGGGTTACATCCTGGTAGCGCTTCCTTTCGTACTCCTCACCAAACAGGATGTTATTCCGCACGGATCCTGTAAAGAGCCAGGGTTCCTGAGCTGCATAGGAAAGGTCTCCCTGGATCACGACTCCACCATCGATGACCGGCAGTTCACCCAGGAGTAACTGGAGGATGGAACTCTTTCCAGCACCCACGGGTCCAATCACCGCACACAATTGCCCTTCTCAATCTGGAGATTAATGCTTTGCAGAGTCCTCTGGGGCTTCTCAATATCCCAACTGGCATTGATATCCTTGATGGTCACAGCTCTTGAGTCTCCGCCATCCTGATCTTGCTTGTGGGTTAGTCCCTGCGTCCGCTCCTCACGTCCCTCGAGCAAAAGGAAATCCTGAATCCGACGCAAAGAGACCAGGGCCTCCGCTCCAAAGCTCACAGCAAGAGGATACCAAATGGCGGCCACCAGTTGCAGGATGTTATAGTAACTGGCTGCGGAGAACACAAAATCGGCGGTAATGGTCTGCCCATGAGAGCAGCCGCGGCCAGGGTGATGTACAGCGTGGATCGCTCCGTGAACACCATGGTGCTGAGGTAGAAGCCTCGCAGGTAGGATGCATAGCGAATCTGTTTGATTTCGCGGCGCCGAGCTTCGGCCACCACCGCCTGGAAGGGTTTCTCCCAGGCGTACATCTTGATCACCTGAATGCCCTGCACCAGCTCATTCATGATGCCCACCCTCGCGTCCGTCCGCTCCGCGATCCTCATCCGCAGCACTGAGGTCACCTTGCTCAAGGCCGTCTGCACGGGTATCGTTTCAGTAGCAATCCCACCACTCCCACAATCGCCGGTATGCCAATATTCAGCCAAATTAGGTAGCACGTGAGCATCGCCTGCAGCGGCATTATCCAGATCCAGTGCATGAAAATAAAACCATAGTCCAGGCGATTCACGTCATTCGAGAGCAGGTTGATTAGGTAACCAGCCGGTGTCTGGCCAGCCGTTTTCATCGAGAGGCGCAGGGTTTTCCGGTAGATCAGCGAACAGCAGGCGATCCGCATTCGAGCGCCCATCAGGCGCTGGCGAAGATCGACGTGGTGCAGCAGGAAGCAGCAGAAAAGCGTCGAGGTCACCAGAAGGGCACCCAAGCTATATGTATCATTCCACATGTAGTCAGTAGTCTGATCCAGTATACTTCGCACAATCGTTGCATTGTGGTCTATTTCCTCTGTTGCGGGTTGAATGGGCTCCTTAAGGGGATCCCCCTTGTCCAAGGCATTCGGGGAGTAGACTGAAATATGTTTGATTTAATAATAAATATTATCAGCAACCTAAGATATTCAATCTCGTCTTACCATTTCCTGTTGAGCCGGTAGCATCGGCGACAGCCTGACTCATCACATATCTTCCTATCGAGCGAGCAGTGCGATTCAGGAATCCGAAATCGACAAATCTTTGACTTCGACAACCCCAACTTCCGCAACATTAGCTCTTTGGAACTGAATCAACAACTGCGCCAGAACAGCTGGAATCAAGGTCCTAGGAATGGAGTAGCATTAACAGATAAGCCGGGTATTATTACATTCACACTCACTTGATCACTATGTAGATTAAGCAAATGAGGCCATTTATGATGGTAGGACATAGAAAGCAGCGAAACAGAGCATTTCTGAGGTGGGCTTCTGTTTCTTGCGATGGGATCGTTCCAGTTCCTTAAACCATTGACTGAAAAGTAATTTTCTTAATACAAGATCCAGAAAATATGAAAAATTTCCGATTTCCTTGTGTTACTTGTCACCGGAAATAGGATACATATGTGTATTTCAATACTTACTCCTCTAAGCGGTCACCCAGCTGTTCAGATCGATCATTCTTGAGACATTCCGTCAGGTCATCTGTATTCA